TGAGTGGACAGAGAGATGCATGCAGCGCCATCTGCAGAGGCGCTATGAGTGGACAGAGAGATGCATGCAGCGCCATCTGCAGAGGCGCTGTGAGTGGACAGAGAGATGCATGCAGCGCCATCTGCAGAGGCGCTGTGAGTGGACAGAGAGATGCATGCAGCGCCATCTGCAGAGGCGCTGTGAGTGGACAGAGAGATGCATGCAGCCCTCATCACCCCAGAAGAGACTGCAGGGATAGAGGAAAAACGCAGCAGCAGCGGCAGCACAAGCAGCCTTCGCTGCACCTTAAGAAGTTCGACGTCTACATCGGGTGCACCACAGACGAGACTCCGCAAGTCTTCCGGCCGAAGCAGCGCTCGAAGAAGTGGAATGCGAACGAGTTGCTGCACTCCCCACGCCATGCAGCAGGCAGCTTCGAACCCTTCGCTCACCTAAACACGCAGTGGCAGCAAGCCCAAAGCATGCAAAAAATTCGCAGACACCCACACATACACATATATACACCTACATATACCTACTTATACATACACCCGCATATGCATATACATATGCATATACATATACCTCTACATATACCTGCTTATACACACACCGAAAGATACCTACTTATACATAAATATACATCTACATACATATACATATACATATACACACATATACATCTACATACATCTACATACACCTACATATCCACATACATACACCTACATATACATCTACATACACCTACATATACATATACACACATATACATCTACATACACCTACATATACATGTACATACACCTACATATACATCTACATACACCTACATATACATGTACACACACCTACATATACATATGCATGCCCAACGAACCAACGCAAAAAGCAAACGAACATACACACGTATTGCAGATACAGAGGAGTATGAAAATGTATACAGCACACGACGAAAACAAAGCAGACTCTCCCCTGCGACCTATCCGCCTTTCGCAATGCTCCTTCCTTCCTTCCCGTCCCCTGCGTGCCTCCCTACTACCCCCACCATGACTCTCATGTTAGTTTGCAAACGCCAACAAGAATATCCGGAGCGCTGCCCAGTGCTCACAGGTGCAGCCCAAGGAGACAGCGTCAGTCAGCACACGAGCCACCCCCCTGTTGGTATCGGCGGCGTTCTTTGAAGGAAACCAAGCTTACTCTGACTTGCGTTTGTATGTCTAGAAGCGCCGGAAGATCCTGAAGACGGAGATGCAGCTGCTCGTGAGCCGCCAGAAGGGGCATGGATCTTCCTACAGAGTCATCAACGACTGCCCCCCTTCTCAGCATCGCGTACACTGCAGCCGAGACTTCCTCTCGTGTCTCCTCTACGTCTTCCCCCGCAGCGGCGGCGGCAGCAGCTGCAACCGCCGCCGCAGCTGCTGCAGCCGCTTCAGCGGCGCTCCTCTCTGAATCGGCCTCTGAAGCGCGGCGAGTCGCGCGCACCGAGGTGTCTGCTTCGGAGGATTGCTTCGAAGCCTCCGCAGCAGCCGCTGCGACGGGAAGCCGAAGCTTGCGGAGATGTCTGGCTGCCAGCAAATCCTGCTGCAGCAACAGCTCCTGCGCCGGCTGCTCCCCCATGAGCAGAGCCCACGTGGCGGGAGTTAGAGACAAGTTGAGGGGGCTCATGGAGATGATAGAGCATCCCATGAGGAGCCCAAGTGCCTGCAGAGCTCGGCACACCTTTTGCCCATACGTGGAGATGCCTTGTCTGCTCCAGAAGTGCAGCAGCAGGCGCGCAGGAGCGTGCTCTTCGGCAGTTCCTTTCCAGGAGGTGAAGAGCTGCGCGAACGCCTGGCGCTGCAGCTCCCACTGCCGCTGCAGAGCGCGAAGGGGAGGGATGCCGTCTGCGGAGGTTTGCGCCTCGCTGGCGTGCAGCCGCGTCGGCTCCGCCGCTGTCGTCGCAGCGACGCGCGGAGGGGGGCGCGTGCAGAAGCCGGGAGAGGCGATCAGCAGAGGAGGAGCGTCCGTCAGGCAGCACGGCAGAGGCGTCTGCCGCGAGGCGGAAGGCAGAGGGGCGCTGGCAACGCCGAGCGCTGCGTCGTCGTCGGCAAGAAAGAGGCTCGAGGAGGAGCGCAGCCTCCTTTGTCGCGCAGACACCTGCGCTGCAGCCGCAGGCACCAGAAGCTCCCTTAGCAGCGGACTGGGGGAGAGGAAGTCTCTGCCCTCGCCTACCCACGCTCTAGCGTTGCTGGAAGGGCTGAAGAGACGGCTGCTCCTCAAGTCGTCGCAGACGGCGCTAATGACTTCCGCATAAGGACCTCCCAAGTCTTGCGCTCCCTCCCCGAGCAGCTCCACGGAGAAGCATCGCTCGCGAGCGATAAGAGCAGCGGGGGGGATCTGCAGCAGCTGGTGAGACACCTGGAAGACCAGCGAAGACGCAAAAGCCTGCTCTGGGAGCAGAGAGACTTCCTCGTCCTCTGCTCCGCCGCCAACGCTGCTCCCTGCTGCCGCTCCTGAGGCGCTCGTTGCGGCGAGGCTCCCTGCGGCAGCCGCTGCTGCTGCTGCTCCCGACACAGTGCGCCCCACAGACACAATGCCTCCCCCGACGCGTGGGCAGAGGGCTTCTTGCTCTGAAGGGAGCGGAGCTTGCGGCAGCAATCCTCGCAGCAAAAACAGCGAGGCAAGAGCCTGCCAGTGCCTCTGCAAGACGGCATCCTTAGGCGCCAGCACGAAGCCTCTCGCCAGCTGATCCGCGAAAGAAGGCGCCACGTAAAGCCTCTCCTCCGCGCTGAATTCCTCCCCTCCGCGCCGCCTTTCCAGCAGCTGCGATCGCCAAATAGAGGCAGCGCGCAAGGCGAATATGCGGAGGGCAGGAAGCAGCAACTCGCGAACATTACCCACCAACGTCTCAACAAGAGACACTGGAGGGCCCACACGGAAGAGACTGCTGCTAATAATGCTGCTGCTGCTGCTAATAATGCTGCTGCTGATTATGCTGCTGCTGTTGCTGATGTTGCAGCGCAAGACACCCCACGTGCATGCGGCGTCTAGAGGTCTGAAAGGGTCGGATACAATGGGGGCAAAGACGCAGTGGCGGAGCGCAGGAAGGGGACTAATGCTGCAATTGGCAGGAGGCGCTCTGGCGGATGCTGCTGCTGCTGCTGTGGCAGCAGCAGCAGCAGCTTCTGTCGCTCCTTTTGCGGGAAGCGAGAGCTCTGCTTCAGGCAGGAGGCTGCGGCAACACAGCCGAGGAAGGCGAGGTCGGCTCAGAAGCGGCAGACAGAAGGCTGCGCTCACGTTGAGAACGTGAATCGTCTCCAGACGCCACAAGAGCCCTCTGTGCAGCTCTCGAGGGTGGGGAGGCCAGAGCAGTCGGAAGGCAGCAGTGCCAGCCGACGCGACGGCAGCTGCATCTCCTCCTCGAGCTGCAGTCGCCGCTGCTTCGTCCTCTGCTGCCTTGAGTGCGCTGCGAAAAAATACTCCCAAAACTTCAAATACTACGGCATACGCTAGAGGCGACACCTTGGGGGGGAGAAGGATAAGTGGCCACCAAGGGAAATACACCGATTCGCTCCGAGGAGCCTCCGTGTCGAGAAGAATGTCGTCTTCTGCTCCGACTTGTGTAGTCTCTTGCACATCGCTGAAGGCTTGCGGCAAGGAGTCTGGTGCTGCTGATGTTGCCGCTAGCGACGCAGGGGCAGTAGAGCTAGCTTTTGCAGCTGTTGTTGCTGTTGTTGCTGTTGCTGCTGTTGTTGCTGTTGCTGCTGTTGTTGCTGTTGCTGCTGATGCTGCTGATGCTGCTGGCATCAGCGCGCAAGCCTCATAGGCTTGCCAGCACAGCTGCAGAGCAGCTCCAAAGCGTTGGAGGTGAGCGGAAGTCGCTACCAAACTGCCAAAGCCTTCGGAACCTTCGCCGTTCGTCCTGGCAGCCTCATCAGCATCCCCTCGCTCCGACAGATCTGAACTCCACGAAGCCTCATCCTCACTCAAAGAACTGTCGAGATCGTCGCGAGGTGAGCCACCCCAGGAGCCCTCCCCTGGAGACATCTGCGCAAAAAAAGAAACACAACAACCCCACAAAAAGCCGACAGCGGTAAACGAATCGATCAAAGGGAGGCCTTATAGCCAGACGTATCTCAGCTTAGCGAATAAAAAAGATCAGCAGCATTCGACTCCCTTTACCTCCTCCCCTTTCTCTCCACAAGGCAGCAAATACAGCAGCAAATACAGCAGCATTTGCATCTCCTCCCCCTTCTCTCCACAAGGCAGCAGCAGCAGCAAATACAGCAGCATTTGCATCTCCTCCCCTTTCTCTCCACAAGGCAGCAGCAGCAGCAAATACAGCAGCATTTGCATCTCCTCCCCTTTCTCTCCAGAAGGCAGTAGCAGCAGCAAATACAACAGCATTTGCATCTCCTCCCCTTTCTCTCCACAAGGCAGCAGCAGCAGCAAATACAGCAGCATTTGCATCTCCTCCCCTTTCTCTCCAGAAGGCAGCAGCAAATACACTAGCAGTAGCAGCAAATACAGCAGCATTTGCATCTCTTCCCCTCTCTCTCCGCAAGGCAGTAGCAGCAGCAAATACAGCAGCAGCAGCAAATACAGCAGTCTTTGACCCCTCCTCATCTCCTCCCCTCACAACATCTTCCCTCCGATCCCATCGTTCTCACCTGCGCGTGAGCCGCCCCCGCTTCTGCGTAGCCGCCCTCCCGATGTCGCGACGCTGCTCCATCTTCTCTGGAGAATTCTTCATCGCGAGCATCTGCTGCTGCAGCTGCAGCTGCAGCTGCTGCTCCCTTTGACTCCGCCGGGGGGGGGGCCCCCCGCACCCCACAGGGGCCCCCATAAAAATGCCGCGCCTTGCTGAGCGATTCTGCGATTTGCAGAGGCGATACAGATGACCACCAAGGGAGGCTCCACTCCCACAGGTTGAGTGGATGCACGAAGACATCGCCGTTGCTATCCACGCGCGTTTTGAAGCGCCAAAAAAGCGTTCTTGCGGAGGCTGCTGCCGCCGGGCGTGCTGCAAACGCTGGTGTCTGTCCACTGGGAGAGGCGAAGGGAGGAGCTGTGGAGGAGCCGCGAGAGAGGGGGAGAGGCAGCGAAGGCAGTCGGATGGCGGGGAAGGGACGGGAGGAGAACAAGTTTTGCGGGGGAGAAGGAGGCTTCTTCGCGGGAGGAGGAGCTCTGGGATCGGCTAGAAGCGCTGCGAGTAAGGCATCTGGCCAGGCTTCGTTCCACGCTAGAGAGAGCGTAGAAGCCGCTTTCCAGAGGCAGCTGCTGCTGCTGGAGCCTTGCTGGATCTGAGGCTGCGCTGCTGCTGCTGCATGCGCTGCGTCGGGAGCTGCAGGCAGCAGCAAAGCGCCTGCGGATGCTCCTGCGCCGTGGAAAAGATGCACCAACTGAGAGGACGACGTCGCGTCAGCGACAGCAGCAACAGGAGGGAGGAGGGGAGGATGAGGCATCCTCCCCCGTTGGGAGCTTGTGGGCTTGACTGCTTCATCGGAATACTCTGCTGCATGGGATGCTGCATGTGTTTCCCTCTCGGCTGCGCCTCCTCCTTCTGCCGCTGCAACGTGCCTCGGCGGAAGAGGGAAGGTAGGCCGTCCAGTGGCTAGCAGTGCCTCTGCGTTGTCTGCCGCAGCTGCTTTTGCGGCAGTGAATGCAATAGACGCAATGCCTCCTAGTTGAGACTTGATGCGACAAGAGGACGTCAAGAAGGAAGCCGACGGCGGGAGCACTTGTTTGACAGATAATTTGAAGCCGGAGAACATGTATCCCTTGAAGGCGGTGGTGCTGCTGCTGCTGCTGCAATATTTGGTGCTGCTGCAATATTTGTTGCTGCTCATGGGCGGGGGAGGAGCGGTCATGGAGAGAGACTCCCGCTCGTGTGCAGCGGCAGCTTCTGCAGGCAGTGCGTGCGGAGTGGCGTTGCCTTCAACTTCCTGCTTGAGCTGCTGCGGATGCTTGCGGGGAAGCAGAAAGGCATCTGGTGGCATGTAGTTGCATGCTTCCCAAGCCGCATGCGTCGCGTACGGACTAGGCTGCACTCTGAAGCGGATGGCTGCACAGTGAGTCGCCATAAAGCCACGAGCTCCCCACAGTGAAGGATCGCGAGGAGCTGGATACGGCTGCACTACTCGGAGAGCCTCAACGGTCGCTATGGCACGACCTGTAAGACGCAGAAAAGGCAGTAGCATGCAGTAGCAGATAGTTGCATGCAGTAGCAGATAGTTGTATGCAGTAGCAGATAGTTGCATGCAGTAGCAGATAGTTGCATGCAGTAGCAGATAGTAGCATGCAGTAGCAGATAGTTGCATGCAGTAGCAGATAGTTGCATGCAGTAGCAGATAGTTGCATGCAGTAGCAGATAGTTGCATGCAGCTGCATGCAGCTGCGTGGGGAGGGGGAGCATATTTGAGTGCGTGTTCAGACGGCGCGAGCAAGGAGGGGGAAGAAAAGCGATGAAGCAACTGCGACAACGCACCAAAACGAAGCGCAGGGATCAACGCCAAGCCACCTCCAGTTCCTAGGAGTCGCTTGAATTCTCCTACGACATGCACGACTTGTAGACGATCATCAGGAAGCTCGTGTCTGTTCTCCTGCCGCTGATCCGAGGATTGTTGCAGCTTGAAGGTACAGCGAATGACGTCATCGACGCCTAGCTGCTGCAGTTGCTGCAGCCGCCTTCGAGATCGACGCAGCTGCTCGAGCAGCAAACGCATGCGGTGTATAGACACTGGGTGCTCGGGATTCGAGGGGCTTGCCGACCTAACAACTGGTGCAATTAAGTCTTGCATCTGCAGAGGACGCAGCAGCAGCAGCAGCAGACGCATGGCAGTGCATGCAGTGGAGGTGTTGGATTTCATAACAACTCCCCAAAGCGGTGGCATAACACATGCACACCTTTAAAAGGCGTAAAACTGGCTCCACAAAAAATGCAAAAGTCTGAGGCTGCAGGAGAGGGGAGGTGGTGGAGTAAGAGGTCCTTATGCCGATATATATATATATATATATGAATGTCTATGAAAAACTAAACGCAAATATGCATATGAAAATATGCATCTACATGTATATTTACATATACGTGGATACAGATATTTATATGTATGTATAGACATATACATATGTATATACATGTATATGTATACATGTATATTCATATACATACATACATATATATACACATATATATATGTATATGTATTAAAAATGCGCATAGAAGGAGAGAAAGAAACAGAAAGAAAGAGAGATAAAGGGGAGAAGAGAGCAAAAGGACCTGCTGCTTGGCTGCCTCGAAATCGTCATGTGCTTCTTTCAATCGGATAAGCCTCGATTGGCAGAGGCACACGGAGATTTGCATGGAGAGCAACGCGGAGCACCACTTTGCCTCTTTAAGGGTGTCGTCTTCTTCTTCCTCCTCCTCGGCAGGAGAGCTTGCAGCGTCAAGGCTGTCCTCTTCAGTTTTGTTGGACGTCTCGACTTGCTGCTCGGCATGCGGCTGGCGGAAAAGTGTCTGTACAGCGCCCAAGATCGAAGCCTCAACGGAAGCTCGCCAGGTGTCTGTGGCAGGCATTTCGAGTCCAAAAGATTCCTCAGGTGCTCCCATCATTGAATTCGACAAAAATCGATGCCAGCACAGCTCGTAGTCAGTAGGACGCGCAGTTTTTGTCACCACGCTGTTGCTGTTGCTGTTGCTGCTGGTGTTGCTGCTGTTGCTGCTGCTCAGCGCAGCATGCAGAGGCTCCCAGGGAGCCGCAGCAGAGGCAGCAGCAGCAGCAGCAGCAGCAGCCGAAGCAGCAGTAGACAATGAAGGTCTGCAACTAGGGGTATCTATGCGATCCAGAAGCAGCTGCAGCATCCGCGTGAAATGCTCTCTGGGTAGCTCCACCTCTCCAGACGGTTGTTGTTGCTCTTCTTGTTGCTGCTGTCGCGAGAGCAGCGCCTGCTGCTGAGGGAACTGATGGTGGTGGTGGTGGTGGTGATGATGATGGAATTTGTTTTGATTTAACCCTAAGAAGTCTTGCAGTCGAAAGGCTTGTGCGCGGGCGAAAGCCTCCCTCGTCTCGGAAGCGGGCAGAATGGGGTGTATGGACAGGGGATGCATTCTGTCTGCTGGCGGTGTCGAGGCATATTCTCGGGGAATAAAATCTGCTGCACTGTACGACCGCAGCAGCAGCCGTTCGACATTCTCGACGTCTTCGAATAGTGCGGAGCCAGCTTCTTCCTCGCTTTCGTCTTCTAGCCGACACTGCCGGTCCCTCAGAGGGATCAATTCGCAAGCCTCCTGCTGCTTCTCGCTGCTTCGCACCAACTCAGTCTTGCAGGAGACGACGAAGAAACGGTCTGCTGGGGGAGGAATCAGAGGCACAGCACCTTCTTGGCAACGCTTCGTAGAACCTCCAGCTGCGTCTGCTGCTGCAGCCTCTCCCCTGCTGCTGCTGCCGCCGCTCTCCGAAGTGCCAACAATACGGCTGCCTCGCCTGCTTCTGCTGCTGCGTTGCCGCTGCATCTGACTTCTGCCGCGGTGAGCAGGAGGCTGTCCATACACCACAGGAACCAACCCGATCTCGGGGCCGTATATCGTCATTGCAGATGGCAGCGCATTATTGCTGCTGCTGCTGCTGCTGCTGCTGCTGCTGCTGCTGCTGCTGCTGCGTGCTGTCGCTGCTCTTTCACGAGGACGGAGAGGAATTCCTGTCGTGGCATCTAGGGGGCATCCTGCAGCGTCTTCTCTCCAATAAACTCTCAACTGTACAGTCCACGATCCGTCTAAAGCAAAGGCTTCTCGCGGCATTAAAGCTCCCGTAAGAAGATGTATGCAGTCGTCGCCAGAAGGCGCGACGCAGGAAAGCCTCACAGGCGCACTGCTGCTGCTGCTGCTGCTGCCGCTGTTGCTGCTGTTGTCACTGCTTCTCGCGGAGGCAGTAGCAACTGCCGAAGCTGCTGTAGCCTCTACACACGAACGGCGCCTTGCTCCACCAGAGCTGCCTCGGTGGAAACGCAGAGGTAGCTGCACAGCACGTCGCAGATAATTTTGCTGCTGCTGCTCTCGCTGTTGCTCCTGCTGCTGCTCCTGCTGCTGTTGCTGCTCCTGCTCTCGCTGCTGCTCCTGCTGCTGCTCTCGCTCCTGCTGCTCTCGCTCCTGCTGCGCTTCTCCCTCCGCTTCCTGCGAGCTGCGTAGCCTGCTGCTGCTGCTCTGGCTACTGCCGATCTTGCTACCACCACGGAGCATGCGCATCAGCTGAGCCGTTGCTCTGTCGAGCAAGCTCAAGGCGGAAATGCTCGGCGAGAAGGCGACCCCCTTGTCTGAAGTGCTGCTCGCCTCCTCCTCACGGAGGGGATACGTCGACGCCACGTGGTGCTGCTGCTGCTGCAGATGCTGCATGCGTTTCTGCCGTTCTTGCGTATCCAGCCTTCGAAGAACGGATCCTGGAAGAACGGGAAAACCCTTGCAGCAGTTCGCAGTGCAAGGCACCAATTGGTGGTTTTGCTGTTGCTCCTGTTGCCGATCTTGCTGTTCATGATCTCCTTCCTGTTGCTCATGCTCATGTTGGAGGTGTTCAGCTTCTTCCTGTTGTTGCTGGCACCGATTTCTAATCCTGCAGCTGCCCGTTCGATCTTCTGTCGCACAGCCATGACCTAAGGCAAAAAGTGTGTGCATTGAGCTGTCGCTGCAGCAGCTTGCCGCATAATCCACTCCGTGCCACGTGGGCGAGCTCCAGACGCTGCTAAGCTCTAAGGCAGTCACCCATGCCGCATGCTCCCCACAGAGATTCCTTATGCCAGCCTCTATCTGCTCAACGAGGGCGAGGCGAATCTCGGCTGTCGAGGGAGCAGCCGCTGTCGCAGCAGCCACTGCTGCGGCAGCAGGGCTGCCTGAGAAAGCCGGAGTGTCGGAAACGCAGCCTGCTGCCTCCAGCGACTTCTCTTCATCCACTACTTGCAGCAACGCGCCCTTGCTGGCTCTTGCCGCTGGCGCTTCTGCAGCAGCAGTCGCTGCAGCAGCAGTCGCTGCAGCAGCAGTCGCTGCAGCAGCAGTCGCCGCAGCATCCAGTCTCTCTAGAGCTCGCTGCGCATCGAGAATGAGTCGCAGCAGCTGCCGATTCTCCGCGGAGCACGGCAACGCTTCCACCGTCAGGAGGTGCCAGGGTGCAAGATCGCTTGGAGGCGCACAAAAAGTGACAGACACCCCAACAGCCTCGGGAGACACCAAAACCAAACGGCCGATCGAATCCGCGTTTCGCCCTTCTCCTCCAGCAGCACCACTCTGCTGCGTGCCAGCCCTTCCTTCCCCCCTAGGAGCATCCTGTTGCATGCGCTGGAGGGCAGCTGCTGCAGCGAGATCACGTCTGTTGCTGGCGGCGCCGACAACAGGCATTACAGCGTAAGGATGAAAACTCTCAAAAACAAATTCTCCTGAACATCTCAACAGCTCAAGAGGGTGGCCACCCGGCAGTCTGGGAGGCACCACAACTTCGATCCTGTCGAAGGCGTTGCTGCTGCTATTGTTGTTGAAGCTATCGTTGCTGCTGCTATTGTTGCTGCTGTTGGATGCGGGAAGGGGGGGGGCGAGAGATCGAGGCGCCTCGTCGTCGGAAGGGCAGACATCCGAGAGGTCTGCCTCTTCAGCGAGCTGCTGCGAGGCGTCGTTGCCGTTGGGGTGCAAGGAAGGAGCGAATTCTGTGTGTGTCGAATGTCGGAAGGAGGAGATCGCCTGTGTTGGGGAGTCTTCGTTCGCGTGGGCGCGTGCCTGAGGAAGCTGCAGCAGAGAGCTGCCGAAGCAGCTCTCTGAGAAAGCCATTGCGCGTTGCTGCAGACGGTTGGCATCCCTCCCTAAGAGAAGCAGCACGCGGTGCAGCGGAGTGTGCATGCGGTGCCACACAGCCTCTCCATCGCAGCAGCCATTGGCTGCAAGCGAAGGGGCACTCTCCTTTTGCGCGACGCCGCTAAGAGCATACAGCCGCACCAACAGCTCAGTCAAGAAGGCCCCTCCCCTGCCATACGTGACTGCTTCCGGAGCTGCACTTGCTGCTGCATTACTGCTAGCTGCTGCTGCATTACTGCTAGCTGCTGCTGCACTGCTGCTCGCTGCAGCTGCACTGCTACTCGCTGCTGCTGCAGTGCTTGAGACGCCGCGGAAGAGACGCTGAGCAAAAGGTTTGCCTCGCAGCTCGACCAGCTGAGCGAGAGCTGCTTCCACCTCCTCCTCGACTGCCACGAGGAGCAGCCCAGCGAGCATTTGAGAGGCGTAAAGCAGAGGCGCAGGCAGCCACGGCGGCACTTGAGGACGAACGAGGCGTTCACGCCACATAAGACCGCCTTCCACCCCCTCTGCGAGCAGTCCGCCTGCTAAATTCTCCACTGCGAGGGGTATCTCGATAGAGCTCATGAGATCGGCTACTCGCCAGAGGCACAGAGAGGCAACTTGACGACAGGGCGGCAAGGCTGCTGCTTTCTCGACGGGGATTGCGAGGGAGGATCGCGCAGGAAGGGTGGAATGTGGCAGCAGCAGGGGAGCTGAAAGGGGGGGAGAAGAGTAAAGGGGGAGCTCTGGAGACGCTGCAAAAGACTGCGCAGGAAGGTCAAAGCAAAGCCACGGCGCTGTCTGCGAGAAACACACACGCAGGCACACAAGGTGGGGAGGATACTCCTACTGAACAACAGAGTAGTGATTTTTGTAGTAGGAGTAGGAGCAGGAGTAGGAGTAGGAGCAGTAGAAGAGGTAGTAGAAGAAGTAGTAGAAGAAGTAGTAGAGGAGGTAGTAGAAGAGGTAGTAGAAGAAGTAGTAGAAGAAGTAGTAGAAGAGGTAGTAGAAGAGGTAGTAGAAGAAGTAGTAGAAGAGGTAGTAGAAGAGGTAGTAGAAGAAGTAGTAGGAGCAGGAGGGGGCTAATGCTGCATCAGACACAAACCTCTACAAACGTCCGAGCTACTGCGAGTGCCGTAGTCTGAAGCGGAGAAGGTGAGACTCCTCCCATAGCGTCTGCTGCTCCCAACAATGCCAGAAGAAGGGAGGGGTCGTATGCTGCTGCGGGGACTAGTGCGAGGCTGGAGTATTTTTGTGTGTGTTTGTGTGTTTTGTCAGCGGCGGCGGCAGCAGCTGCTGCGGTGTGGACTGCTGTTTCGAGGCTCAGTGCTGCAGCAGCAGAGGCAGCCTCGTTCGCGCGATTTCCGACAGCCGCGCAAACGTCTGGATGCTGACTCAGATCTTCTACCATCCACTGCAAGAGGGCTACACTGAGAACAGGAGTGAACCCATGCGTAAGGGTGTCGTAGACGCAGTGCTGATGCTGCGCGATTTCGCCATCCGACGTTGCAGCCGCAGCAGCAGCAGCTGCTGCGGCGGAAGGATTAATGCTGCTGCTGCTGCTGCTGCTGCGACACAAAGGCGAGAGCGAGAAGGGGGCAGTGCCACAGTGAGAGGGGCCTAGGCAAGCGTAATAGCCTAAGAGTTCAGTTCTGTTTGCGGCAGAAACGCAGAATCTCCAGCCGTAGAGGCTGGCATCTCCTGCTGCCGTCTGCTCGATAGCGCCTCCCGCGCGCGCGCAGCTGCCTTGCATGAAATCCGTCTGACTCGAGATGTCTGCGCTCCGAAGATGCAGCATGGTGCGCGAGACGGAGCTCCCACGGCTGTTCGCAGAGCTGCTGCCGCTGTTTCGTGGGCTGACGCTGACGCTCGTGTCGCTGTTGTTGCTGCTGCTGCGATCGCTGGTGCTAGGCAGGCGCTGCTGCTGCTGCTCCCGACGCTGCAGCTCCTGAAGGTAGTGCTCCGCGATCATCGCTGACTCGCGAGCGACAGCAGCAGCCACAGCGGCAGAGCCTCCCCACTCCCCTGGACGCCCCTCCACACCGACAGTCTGAAAGTCTTGCGCTGCTGCATGCATGCCTTCGGAGGCATCGCCTGCGAGGTTCGCTGCTGCCGCTGCGGAAGCGGAGGGAGACGACGCGATTCTGGCAGAAAGGGGAGCCAAGCTCGCCGCCGCCGCAACAGCCGCAGAAGGAGCAAAAAGCGAGGCGGGAGACGTCACAAGAGGCGTTGTCAACTCCGGTGCCAACCACATCCCTGAACCATCGCTAGCAGAGGCTGGATCCGGAAGAAGAGGAGACTCAGAATTCATCCCAAAGGCAGAAAAAGAATAATCAAACGCAAAGCCTGGAAGCACCAACGGCCTCCCCCACACCCTCGACGAGCTTCCACTACGGCACACACAAAATCACACACAAAAATTTATATATATGATATATGATATATGTATATGTGGTGTATGTATGTACATACCTACACATCTTTACATCTATGTATATCTACATATCTACATATATATATATATATATGTATATATATGTATATATATGTATATATGTATATATATGTGCATCAACACATATGTATGCATCTACACATATATATATATATATATATACATGTACATATATATATATATATATCAATATCTCTCTCTCTATATATGTATATATATACATCTCCACATATATGTCATGTACATTGTATGTACTCTATATGTGTAGAAACACAAAAAAACAATCACCACAAGCTGCCATATCATATCCCCCGCTTGAGGCGGCATCAACGGAAAGAGCCTCACGTCGATTTTTCGGCAGATTCTCAAGAAGCACATAGAATTAAAAGGCCAAGAAGGAAAGCCTCCGCCACCCCATCCCCCCTCCTTCGCTACCATCACTACTGCATGCATGAAATGCCCCTTAGAAGTATCGCAGACAGTGGCGGAGTAAGAAGCATCCTGAGCAGATCTTTCCCTCGAGCCAACTCCCAATCCGCAACTCCCCCTCTCCTCCCTACCTGTAGGCGGCGACGCAAGGAGCATCACCATGAGCATAAAAGCGGAGAGAATCACCAATTCGAGTAGCGTTGAGACGGCAAAAGCGTAGGACGCATCCTCTTGCCCATGCGAAATAGGGGGAAAGATCGTCTGCACACGACAGAGGGGATGCTGCAACAACAAAGTTTTTCTCTGCATGACAATCTTCGAGGCTCTTAAGACCATGCCTCCTTCTCTTGAAGCTGTTGCTGCTTCTGCTGGCGCCGCTAGTGTCACTGCTGCTGCTGCTCCTCTTGCTGTTGCTGCTGCTGCTCCTCTTGCTGTTGCTGCTGCTGCTCCTGTTGCCGTTGCTGCTGCTGCTGCTCCTCTTGCTGTTGCTGCTGCTGCTGCTCTTGCTGCTTCTTTGCAAGTGCTTCGCAGAGGAGGTTGCTCCTCGAGAGGAGGGGGGGAGTCGCTGCTTGGCGCGTCGAGGAGACGGGGAGACGAAAGCTTGCACACTACCAGTAAGAGCCTGCACTGGGGAGTAGGGATGCTGTGACTCTTGTTCGAGCCCACGTAAAAGACGCGCAGGATTGAGGAAGCCTTGTCTGGAGAGACGGAGATTGTCGACGGCTACGAGAGGCTGCTGCTCGCAGGCGCTGCTGTCGAGGATTTGTGCGCTCATCTCGCCGTTGCGCTCGATCAGGAGAGTCAGAGGTTGAGGCTGCCTGCCGCTGCTGCGTGGTGAGTGGAGCAGCTCTGTGGCTACCTCGCGGAGGAGCTGGCGAGACGCTTCGGAAGCTGTGGAAGAGGAGGCTTCTTCTGTGCAGGCTTCGTCGTCGCTGCGCGCGCCGGCGGCGTCTCGAGAACGCAGTTCGCCTCGCTCGCGAGACTCGACAAGCGCCTTGAAGGCTGCCGCCTCGAAGGCGAAATGCAGATCCAACAAACCCACAGACATAAGGCCTAAGAGGGCGAAGCTGCGCAGGTGTATCAACAGCTCAGCTCCCAGAGAGAAATGCGGGAGAGCTCGCGGTATGCAACCCCACAGGGGGGCAGGCGTGGCGCGCGAGGGGTGTGCTGCGGCTGGCGCATCGCGACAGCTCTCGCTTCCTTCGGAGTCTGCCACACGCAGAATCCTCACGACCACCTCTGCTACAACGCTCCTCAGAGACGGTCTCCCTCGAACGAGATGCGAAATGAGGCGTATCAACAGAGGCCAGAGCAGCAGCGCCACACGCGGATGCTGCAGCAGCAGCTGCAGCAGAAAGTTTTGCCCTTGCAAGCCAACTTCCCACTGCATGCACCTCGTCGCAGCAGCGAGCTCTTGCCGCTGCACGGCATCCACGGGCAAGAGCACTTGGAGAAGCGGCTGCTGCTGCATCGCGATCCGCGTGGCTTCGTTGCAGGTGCTCTCGAGCGCGATTTCGCGCTGCACTTGCTGCTCTTGTTGCCGCTCTGGCTGCCGCGCCGCTTTCGAAGGATCCGTGCAGGAGGCGTGGGGAGGGGGGAAAGGGCGCAGCAAGGATCGCGGATCGGCGCTCGCGTAGCGCTCCAACTCTGCTCGGGAAGCGGGGAGCAACACTTCCAGATGCTTGGCAAGGTGCGAGCGGAAAAGGATAGCAGCCTCTGCGCCCTTTCCGGAGACGCTCATCGATCCTCCAACGGCGACATACCGCGGCAGGCTTGAGGCAGAGAGAGGCGACGCTAGACTCCAATACGTCAGACGTCCATCCACACATATAGACCCCTTGAAACGAAGATGAGTGGTGGCACCTCCTGCCGCACGGTGTATATCCACATACCATCTGTCCTCGTCAAGCAAGCCTCCCTGCATCCTGCTGCTGCTGCTGCTGCTGCTGCTGCTGCTGCTGCTGCTGCTGCTGCTGCTGCTCTCTGCTGAAACTTCGAGATCCTCTCGAGACACACGCGTCAGAAAAGGAGAAGGCGGACTCTGTGCTTCCTCAGCGTTGGCATTGCCAGACCAATTGCCTCGTGAGAAGCTGCTGATCAGCAGTCTGTCTGAGGAGGGGAAGAGCTGTCCATCCTTAGCAGTGCTGCTGCTACTGCTGCTGCTGCTACTGCTACTGCTGCTACTGCTGCTTGCTGAATTCTCGTCGTCTTTCAGCCGAAACTGCAAGGCAAGCGGCCAATAGTGCTCGTCTGCGATGAGGATAAGCGTGAGAAACTTTGCAGTGGGATCTTTAATGCCTTCGATCCTCAGCGTTTCTGACTCTTTGTAGAACAAGGGAAGCAGCCGCGTGCAGCCGAGTCTGCTTAGGTGCTGGCGACTAAGGGGAGTCATCTCGACTGGAATTTCGACCGACTGAATGACTGCAGGATTAGAGGCAGGGCTCCTTTCCGTGGAGGGCAGGCAGCTCGGCTCCCACAGCAGCAAGCCAGAAGCCTCGCGCGAAGACGCATGCGACGCTTGCTCCCTCGCTATCTCTTGGAAACGTTCTTCCGGAGGCAGCAAGGGGCGTAAGGCGTCGGTTCTCAAGGCTTCCCAAAGACTGGCAGGAGGAGGAGGAACTGCGTCAAGGCTGCTGGTACCACAGGGGGCGGAGGAGGTATTCTCAGAGGCGTCGCTGACACGCGCATGACACACCGAAGGCGACACTGCAGCCGGCGAAAGACGAGGAGCAGGGGAAGGCTGCTGCCAAACGAATACTCCTGCTCGAATGCTCGGAGGATCCTCAGGCAGCAGCAGCGTGCGAGCACCGTCAAGACTCCATATGGCCTTCCGGCGGTTCAAAGCTGCCTTGTACAAGTAACACGCCTCGCAGTAATCAAAATCATCTAACCTGAACACACAAAGGGGTGGCACAGTGTATGTACACATATAACCTAGGTGTCTGTAGATCGTGATCAATATGATATATAATATGTACATAGGTATATACATATATATGTAGGTATATAGGAATACATATATGTGTAGGTATGAATATATATATATATATATATATATATATATATATATGTATATGTATATGTGTAGGTATAAAGGAATACATATACATATATGTGTGTAGGTATGAATATACGTAGGTAGTGGGAGATGAATATAGAGAGATAGACAAGCCCTACATATAGATATACATACATGTACATATATATATATGTGTAGGTATAAAGGAATACATATACATATATGTGTGTAGGTATGAATATATGTAGGTAGTGGGAGATGAATATAGAGAGATAGACAAGCCCTACATATAGATATACGTACATATACATATACATATATATGCATGCGGCGTACATACAGCTCAAAGTGCACAGCTAATGCCCAGACAGACATACGGCGAGACAGCAATAGACAGAGACAATCTTGTGATCCGAGTGCCTCCGCATATGAATAAATATAAATAAATAAATATAAATAAATAAATAAATATAAATAAATTAATATATATAAATAGATAGAGAGCCAAGAGTCGGGAGGGGGTGGGGTAGGTGGCATCAAAGACCACGTGGCATGCGTAACTACAAAGACTTTTAGAAGTCTCTTAAATCGGCAGAAGAGATGCCTGGGAGCAGCGTTTTTTAAACATTCTTGCTGCGCTGCTGCCTCCCCTCTGTCGCTTCTGCCTGTTCCCCCTGCTGCGTGCTGCTAGAGCGTACTTGCATCTGTGTCGACGTGCGCCCGTCCAAGATTTGAACTCCATCAATCCAGCAACGCAGCGACCCTCCATGTTGAGCCCGTCGCATCGCCACTTTCCTTCTGCCTCAGGTGGACGTACACCGCAAAGTTTTCTTCCACATCGAGGGCAGCGAACTTGCAATTGTGCGGAAGGGCCCCCTCGCGGCTCTCTGCTGAATGCTGCCTCCCCGTATGTGACGACACCGGAGGAGAGCGAGAGGGGCAGCTCACGCATGCTGCAGCTGCTGCTGCTGCTGCTTTCGCCGCAGGCGCTTGAAAGGCTTGCAAGGGAGGGCAGACGAGTGTTGGCGCGCTTTGATCGCAAGGAGTCTAGAGAGGGCAGACGGGCTGAAGCACAGCGGGGGCACAAACGGAGAGATCCAAGAGAAGGTGTTGCTGCTCGTGCGTGGAGCTTTCGCACCGACTCGCCCCCCTCCGAGTGGTGTCTGAGCAGCAGCTTGCAAAGGCGCGAAGTGGCGCTTGTGAGGAGCCGGCAGCTAGGCGAGGAGCACGTGCAATCGCCAGTGTGTCTGCGGAGAGGCAGCGCAGACTGCCGTCGATCGTGGAGGGAGGAAGAATGCAGATCGTGATGATGAAGGCGATGGTGAAGATGATGGTGGTCGTGATGACAGGGAGGATGCCTCTTTGCTTGCATAACTGCGGCTCGATGCATGATAAACTCCGTATCGCTAAGAGCCCGACGCAGCGGCTCTGAAGGCGTCATAGCCCTACTCTCCCCCCCTTCTAAACCTTCTTCTGCTGTCTCCTCAGATGGAAGTCTTGTGCCTCCCAAGGGAGGCAAGCGGGAGCAGACAGGCAGGAAGCCTCTAAAGACTTTCGCGACGTTTGCACTGGTGCAGCTGCTCCTGCAGCTGCTGTCGCTGTTGATCCGTCGCAGCCGCAGCTCTCCAGGGAGTCGCTGCCGCGACTTGCCGCTTAAAGGGGTTGCTGCGCTGTCAGGCACTGCATGCGTAGAAGCAGTAGTGGTAGTAGCAGCAGTAGTGGTAGTAGCAGCAGCAGTGGTAGTAGCAGCAGCAGCAGTAGCAGCCGCAGCGCTCTCCTCCTCCCTCCCCCCTCCCCAAGACGACTGCATTTCTTCCTGTTGCGCGCATGCATGCGGAGAGACACCCGTGGCAGCGATTGCGGGAGCGTCTTCTCCTGCTGCTGTCAGTCTGCCTCGAGGCTTCCTAGGAGCTGAGCTCCTTCGAAGCACCCTGCCACAGAGATCGCAACTGCCACTACCGCTGCAGCTGTCTCGCCTTACAGAAAGGGGGAAAAGCTCCGATCGCCAGCCAGATGCAGCCTCCTGATCAGACACAGTTTCTCCTGCGCTGAAGGTTTCCTCATAAATGACGCTGTGATTTCCAGCCCTTCTCGTTCGCCTCGCCAAGGCAAGATCCCACAAACTGCCTGCCCCCGCTGCAGTTGCTGCGTCTGTTGCATCCGTTGCATTCGCTGCACTTGCTGCAGACTCGACAGCAGCCTCGCGAGAGGAGGAGCTGCCAAATGCATCTCGGCGAGACGGCAGACGGTCCTCCCTCCTGCGCGGGAAGTCTCGGCGCTGCGCACTGCCCCTCCCAGCAAATCGCGTGCTGCCAAGATCGCTGCTGCTGCTGCTGCTGTTGCTGCTGTTGTGGCTGCTGCTGCTGCTGCTGCTGCTGCTCCTGCTGCTCGGGATAAGAGGCCTCCTGAGCGTTCGGCGAATGCCAACGACTCGCAGCAAACGCGCGCTGCCTGAGGGGCCCCCCCCCCCACTGCGTGCTGCTGCTGCAGCTGCTGCAAACTGCTGAATGACAGCTCCCGTCTCGGGGTGCGGTGCTTCGCTCGCGTCATCCTCATCGTCCAAACCCCCCCTGCCACTCACTCCCTCCTGACGCTGCCGCCGTTGCAGCGGAGCAGAAGCAGCAGCAGAAACAGCAGCAGCAGCAGACGCTTCTGCTGCTGTTTCTGCTGCTGTTTCTGCTGCTGTTTCTGCTGCGGCGGCGGGACGCCCCCCCGCCCTGCTGCTGCTGCTGCTGCTGCTGTTGGGGTTGCTGTTGCTGCTGCTGCTGCTATTTGCGTTCTGATTTCCGTCGAGAACGCCGCGAAAGAGTCGCAGCAACGTCAATGCATCCTGCCCGCCCAGATGCACAGCTCCTCCTTCTCCCCAAGAATCGTGCGCGCTGATCGGCAGAACGAGTTCAACGTCTGTCTCGCCAAGAGAGTGTGCATCGTCTTCGGCATTGCCTGTGAGATCTTCTTCGTTGCCATCTTCATCTTCGTCTTCGTCTTCCTCTTCCTCCTCGGAGCTCAGAGATGCCCCCCCCTCTGCCCGCTGCTGCTGCGTGGAAGCCGACGCAGCAGCAGCAGTCCGCTGTCTGCGCACAAGAGCGACCACCACCCTCTGTTGCTGGTGGTGCTGCTGCTGCTCGAGCTGCTGCCTGTCGGAGCGGCGTGCTCCGTCTGACGCTCGATCGCTCCAGCTTTCCAGCGAGTCAGCGTCGACATCGCCCCTTCGCCATTCTCGCTGCAGCAAGTGCTGCAAGTGCTGCTGCGGAGGAGGCTGCGCATCGTGCGGGAAATCCGCGTCGCTCTCGCCGTCGCTGCTGCCCTCCCAGACGGGCAGAAGCGGGTGCTGCACGGAGCGACGGAGACGTCCAGTGCTGTCAGGAGACTGTGACAGGCTGGGAGAAGTACCTGCTGTGCCTGCCGCCTGCAGTGGCGATATAAACGCCGCAGCTCCTCGCCTTCTTGGAGCGTTGCAGCAGCTGGCGCAGCATCGCGGCAGAAGAAATTGCTGCTCCAAGGCGCCCGTGTTGACATGGCCTTTAAAGGCAGGGGGGTGTCTAGACACCGCAGCCCCAAAGGATTCTGCAGCAGCAGCAGTGCTGCTGCTGCTGCTGCTGCAGAATTCCCCCCCTCCCTCCGCTTTCGCGCCTCCTGCCGCGAGGAGAGAGTCGTCGAAAGCTTCGTAGTCTCTGCCCTTCCCCGAAGACTCCAGGATCCAAGCGTCCTCTACTGATCTGCTATCGCCAGCTAAGGAAGCGGCGGCAGCAGCAGCAGCTGCTGCTGCTGCTGCGCCTTCGCTAGCCGTTCCAGCGGGAGCAGTGCCTCGCGCGGAGGCTTTTTTCAGCGAAAGAACTGCAGCCGCACAGGCTGCATGACGTCCAGCTGCCGCAGTACAGGCTACTTGATGCAAGAGCCGCTTCAGAGCTTGGCATCTTGCCGCTGCTCCTGCAGATCCTTGCTGCTGCTGCAGCAGGTGTGGGGGAAGATGCGCAGCAACGCGGCAAACATGCGACCACGTCAACGAGCATTCTGGGCAGCTGCGCCAGCTTGTAGCCGCAGCGGCAGCTTCTGCAAGGCAGGCAGCCTCCCTCCTGGATGCAGCAAGGCTGTAGATCAAATGCAGCAAGCGCTTCGACTCTTCGTCTTTCGCTGGAAGCGTGAGGAAACCCCACTGGACCAAAAGGCGAAGCAAGAGAGAAACGCGAACAAGGGGCTGAAACTTTTGACGGCTTCGATCAGGCACAGATGCCGTCGCAGCAGCAGCAGGAGATGCTGCAGCAGCAGCAGGAGATGCTGCAGCAGCAGCAGGAGATGCTGCAGCAGCAGCAGGAGATGCTGCAGCAGCAGCAGGAGATGCTGCAGTAGCAGCAGGAGATGCTGCAGCAGCGGCAGCAGTAGCAGCTTGGGAAAAGACTGCTGCGCCAGCGGCTTCTGCCGCTACTCTGCCTTTAGGGAGCGGTGAGTCAAGCTCTCTGGAAAGGGGGTTTGCGGGAAAATCTTCTTCTTTTAGAGGTGGCAGTGCTCTGGCAGCAGCGTTTGGATGGAGCGACGCGCGAGCAGCGGATGGCAGCAGACGGAGGAGGGAGAAGAAAACATCGGCTTTTGTGCCGAGAAGCTGGGCAGTGTCACTCAGCTGTCTGTGTAAGGTGACGTTTCCGTCGCAGCAAGCTTTCAGCTGCAAGCCGTTCCCTGCAGCTCCCGCGTTGCTGCCAGTGCGTCGCGCAGCGGAGGCTGAGCAGGCAGAAGCTTTAGCGCCAGCTTTGGCTGCAGCAGCAGCAGCAGCTGCTGCTGTGGGAGCTGCTGCAAGGAGGGGGAGGGCACATGAGACGAGCGGCGATACTTCCTGCAGCAGCAAGGAGATGGAGTGGAAGGCTTCGCTTTCGGCTGCATTCAAGGGGATCAGCATCGCATTGTCGAGGCGTATGGGTGCTGCGACTCTCGCCTCTTCCTGCTGTTGGACTGTACATACGGGGGAGGGGGGGAGCTGCTGCCTCGCCACATCTGCTGCTGCAGACACGGCACCAAGAACGAGCATTACATCTCCGAGAAGGCTGAGACGGAGGATTCTGGCTTCGCTGCTCGCTGCATGCTGCGGGGTGTCTGCTGCGCCAACGGAGACATCGCCTCTTTCCCTGCACACCTCCAGAAGTCTCTCGAAGATGCGCAGCAGGAACGTGACGAGAGCCGATGCTGCGGGGGGCGGAAGCTGCTGCAGCAGACAGTGCACGAAGACGTCTTCCTCTGCCTCTTCGAGGGTAGGAGCCAGCTCCTCCTGCTGCTGCTGCTGCTGCGAGGAGGAGAAGGAGCTGCCGCTCAGTGCTGCTGGAGCTGCTGGAGCTGCTCCAGCACAAGCATCAGGAGCAGCTCCAGCAGCAGCGTCGTCGTCGCATCCATCGTTTACACTTCGCCGCCGAGAAGGTGAAAGCTCCTGAGTAGCAACTGCCGGGAAGAGCAGAGAACGCCAAAGGTTGTGAAGGCTTTCTGCGTGATCGTGAAGCTCCCACACTTCTTCCCAGTAATCTGTCAGCACTGAGGGTGTCGCCCAAGAGGAAAAGCCAGTAGGTTTGGTGCTATCTGCTGCCTTCAGCTGTTGTTGTTGTTGGTGCTGCGCCAAGCCTCCGCCTTGTCGCCACGTCTGCTGCGAAGCGAAAGAGGGAGGAGAGGTACCTGTCAATTCTTGCAACATGAGATGGGGAGGTTGCGCTGCATTTCCCGTCTTCAGTGACAGCACACGCAGCACAGCCTGGATGCGCGATGCTGCTGCTCTCAGTCTCTGCAACGCGCCCTCATTCGTCTCCCAATGCAGGAAATGAAAGACACGCGAATCTGCAGGGGTGGGGGGAGTGGAGGGAGTGCTCCACGCGCACTGCAGCTCGCGAACGGGGAGTGGCTGTGAACGGAAGCTGCTAGAATAGGCTGCCACAGCATCAACAGACGCTTGGAGCTGCTGCAGGAGAGACGCTAGCAAGCCTCCTCCCCCCGCTGCATGCATCACTGCCAAAGCGTCTGCAGCCGATACGGGAGCCTGCGGGTGAGGCAGGTGGACCCCTCGCGTGCTGGATGCATTGGAGCGAATGTCTTGCAGCAACAGAGCACGTCGAAGTTTCACGCTTTGCGCCTGTAACTCCCAATCACCAAACAAAGCTGCCCAGCGCCACTGCAGCAAATGCTGCAAGTCCTTTACGTGAGCTGCTGCTGCTGCCTGCTGCTGTTGATAGTCTTTTTGCTGCTGATGTTGTTGATGGTATTGGTGCTGTTGTTGCTGATGCTGTTGATGGTATTGGTGCTGTTGATGCTGATGCTGTTGGTGGTATTGGTGCTGTTGCTGCTGATGTTGCTGATGCAGCAAATGGTGCAACTCCTGTACGTGCGCTTCTGCTCCCTGCTGTTGCTGTTGCTGCTGCTGTTGCTGCTGCTGTTGCTCATGCTGCTGCTCATGCTGCAGTTGATGTTTATGCTGCTGCTTTTTTTCCGATTTTTTTTCGGCAGCGTGTAGCCCGTTGTGTGCACGGCGTGCAGATGCGTCGAGAAAGTTGCAAGGTTCTCTCATGGGAAGTCTGTGGAGAGGCACAGGGAGAAATCCTTCAGCGTCTGTCGAGAGACGGCCCTTGCTGTTGGTGGGAGTGGCTTGCGGAGCAAGGAGATCGATGAGCGTCTGGCGTCTCTTGATGGCTTTGCAGACAGTCTCAGATTTCCGATGAGCGAACAGGGAGATGCCGTCTGCAAAGGGCTGGAGTGTGAGGATGCAGAGATGCAGATGCCGCATGGGATCCAGCGCAGGGGTGAAGCGCTCCTTAGACGAGGCTGCCGCCTGAGTCGTTTTCTTTGTTGCTGCTGTCGCAGTGCATGCGGAGGAGGAAGAGGAGGCTGTTGGCTTCGTCGAAAAGCCAGCGCTGTCTCCCCCTCCCGCAGCAGCAGCAGTAGCCATCGACGAGTTCGAAGAACGGAAGGCGCCTCTGTGAAGAATTGCATGCGGAACTGACAAACGCGCAGACTTCAAAGAACGCTGCAGGGTTGCCAGCTTGAGAACTCCCTTTCTTGGAATCGGCAGAGCCACGACATCCAGCACTCCTGGGTACATCTGAATTGGCGAAAACGTCTGTGTCGAGGATGCTGAATAAGGCGGCTGAAAGCCAGACGGACCGTGCAGTGAGGCGAGATGCTGCTGGAGCGAACTCCCTGCACACTGCGAAAACATCATTCCACACACACAAATATGCATAAATATATGTGTAAATATGTGTGTTTAAGTGAGTACATATAAATGTATACACGTACATTGAGATATATATATGTATATATCTATAGCTATCCATAGATATTCATTAATGTGTATACAGCGTAAGCCACGAATAGACTTGGACAGACCTACCCCCTACATATATATATAGGCATATCCATACATACGCATGCATAAACATATATGTCTATAAATAAATAATATATATATACATCTATATATATATATATATCTATGTAGATCTATATAGAGATACACCCATATACATATATATACATATATACATATGATGGGAACCTGACCAACGACAGGAAAGGCAAGCCTTGCACTCCCGTCGTGTGTCTGCATGCGAGGGTGATAAATCGATTTCTTCTCGCTGTTGAGCGCGAGACATGCCCGCATCAGCAGTAGCGATTAAGGGGGCAGCATGGCGTTGTTAGCAGCAGCTTGTGTCGCTGACGGTAGTATGATACGAGTGTGCATATAGCAAAACACACCCTAAGCTTCAGACGCGACCCTTCGGCATCTGTGGAAGTAAATGTCTCGAAGCGCAGTAATTGAGCGCCTTTGTGGGAAGATGGAAGCTGCTGACCTCTGCATAGGCGCCGCACCTGCACGTTAGCGAAAAAAAAGTTCGCAAAAGCTTGCAGGTGCAAAATACACGTTGCTGTATAGAGACGTTTAGAAACAAAACGGTGGAACGGCCTAAAGCCTCCAAGAAATTAAGCGTTTTTGGTGGAAAGACAAGGGAAAGAAGGGAGAGGGAGGAGGGAGGGAGAGGGAGGAGGGAGGGAGAGGGAGGAGGGAGAGGAGGGGGGGGGAGGGAGGAGAGGAGGGGAGGGAGAGCCAAAGGAAACTGCAGAGAGAAAGAAAGCTGGATAGTGTCAGAAGAAAGGCATAATTCTTTGGACGTGGATTGGGAGAAGAAGCCTCGCAATTTACATACATCGTATCCTGTTAAGGCTAAGATCTCGAATTCAGCATTAGGAATTGTAATCTCTAAACGCCACCATGTGGGAGCCTCGATGTCGATGGGGAAAGCTGCTCTTAGCAGCACGTAGCGCAGATAAATGCCTTCTTCCCAAGGTTTAAGAAAGCCTGTAAGAAGCTTCATAGGCGTGTCTACTGCTCCACGATTTGCCTCTTCTGCGGAGAACAGACGGCTCGAGAGCTGCTCCTTCTCCTGCTGCTGCTGATGCTCAGGTTGCTTGAGCTCATGTTGCTTATGCTGCTTATGCTTGTGCTGCTTCTGCTGCGGCGTCTGGCAGTCTGCGACAGCCGCGTGTCTTGCAGGATAGTGCTGCACGCGATCCTCCTGTAGCACTCCCAAGCCAGTAGCTGAGCAGAGCAGCCAGCAGGGAGGAGTTGGCAGGAGAGGCGCCGCGGAGGCTGCCACCACAAGTGCCTCGCACGCGCGCTTGCTGCTGCGTTTACAGCCGTGGCAAGGCTGCGATGCAGCAACAACTGCAGCATGTAGAAGACGGAGTGTCAGCCGTCCAAGAAGAGGTCTCCCGCAGCATGCAGCCGCAACAAGCCGCTGCAGCAGCTCGCTGCGCTGTGCATGCAGCATCCACACGCCAAATGCGCGTCGCTGCGTGTGCTGCAGCATCCAACGGAGCAGCTGCTGCGTCACTCCGATGGCAATCATCTCGGCAGTCACACACAGAGAAGGCACGAGGCTGACGCTGCAACGCAGCCTCCTCTTGTCGTGAGCCTGCCGCTGCGGAGAAGGCAGAATGCAGTGCCACACCATGTCGGTGAGCAGCGCAGTACCAGCTCCAGTCTCGTGAGGAGCTCTCCCCCCCATCAACGTTCTCTGCTGCTGCAGAGTTGGAGTGAGGTGTAAATACGCGTCTGCAGCACTCTGGATTCGACGCGCTGAAAACGATGCACACGCGGGAGCTCCAGCTGCAGCCGTAGCCTTGGCAGCCGGAGTCTGCGCTGGGGAAGGCGAGGCAATACTCAAAAGATCGAGAAGCTGAGCAGCAGCGGAGACGCGCTGCTGCGTCGCGCTCGCAGGGAGGGGAAACAACCCTCCTGCCACAGCCGGATAAACATCTGCAGTCTGCAAAAATGCACGACTAGCAAGACTTTCCTGCTCCTGCGACGCTGCTGCGTGATGCTCGAGATGCGGTAAAGCCCACTGCAGGAGTCTCAGCATATCAGCAGCTGCTGCCTGCAGCAGCGGAGAAAGACTCTGTGCCTCCTTGCCACAACAGCTGCCGTTCATGCACCCGCGACTCTCACCACCTCCCCCAGGAGCTGCATTCGACGCTGCGCTTGACACTGCATTTGACACTGCATTTGACGCATTGCTGCCACTCGATACATCTCCTGCATGCGACTTCAGAATGAATTCCCAATCCACGGGCGCTACAGCTGAGCCACAGGCTGCAAGACAAGCACGATGCACTAGCCACAGCTTATCTGCACAGCTAGCGATGGCTGCAAGCCAGCGTCGCTGCACGTCAAGAGCCTCTCCAGCCTCCCTTGCCACTTGCAGCTGCGCTCGCAGTCGCAGCTGAGCCTCCCCATGATGCGTTCCCAGAGGAGAGGCGCCTTCAGAGGATGCAACAACTCGCCATCGGGAGCCAGCAGCTGCTCTCACACTACGCCGAAGTGCAGCGTGAAGCACGCGAGGGGAGGGATGCTGCAGCTCCCCATACAGCGCGAGGATGGGGAACCTATCTCTTCTCTCTCGAGCAAGCGACAGCGCCTCTAGTTCTCCGAATGCAACGTGAACGGCAGCTGCGACTCGCATGCCAGGGGGTACAAAGCCAGCAGGAGGTCGTTCGCCTTCCAAGAAAAAGAGACGCCCACAACTGCACGAGCACCCCGACTTTTGCTGAGACTGAGAATGAGACTGAGACTGCTGAGACTGAGACTGCTGGGACTGAGAATGAGACTGAAACTGTGACATATCTGGCATCTCGTTGTCGGTAGATTTCTTGAAATTGCAGCGACAGGAGCTCGCGATCTCTGCAGCTTCCCAAAAAGCCTCTGGAGGGGGCACTTCTAACCGCAGAAGTGGTCGTGGAGGTGTCTTTTGCAGCGCAGGATAGCGGCGCAAGTAGAATGTCAAGAGCGTCTCCCTGCCCGAGCCTGTCGCTGTTGCCGCATCGACGAGAGTCGCCTCTACGCACTGTGAACTCTTGCGTCTGCCTCTGGCTGCAGCAGCTGCCGAGGAGGACGCTGCATTCTTCTCGAAGGCTTCCTCCTCGTCAGACTCGCCAGGTGCTGGCTGGGGAGGCACACGGAAGCTCTGCTCCTCAGGCAGCGTGAGGCACGCAGCTGCGTCTGGAGCACCCCATAAATCGACGATCCCCAGCGACACCGGCGTGCGCCTGCGTCTGCCGTTGCTGCCGCTGTTGCAAGCGGTGCTGCCGCTGCAAACGCTGCTGCCGGTGCTCGCAGCAGTGCTGAGCGCCTCATTCGACAGCTCCGACAGCGCTCTTCCCACACTCCGAATCCACACCTCCACGAAGCAAGAGCCTCGCGCCGTCCTCAGCAGTCTGCGCTGCGATCGCTTGAAGTGCTGCTGCAGCAGACGCGCAGACGTCGCGGAGCAGGGGAAGCTGCCAGGAGCGCCGTCTGAGCATGCAGAAATTTCCTCCCACAACGGCCCCTCCGACCAGCCACCCAAGCCGGAAACGCTGCTGCTGCCGCACTTCCGACGCGCTGCGTCTACTGCAGCAGCAGCTGCTGCTGCATCACCATCCTCATTCCGAGAGGCTGGCAGAAAAAGAACTGCAACGTCCACCAACGCCTCTGTGGGGCAAACCTCCGGGAGGGGGGGCCCCCCCCCCCTGCGTCGCAGTTTTTTGTCTTGGGGGGGCCCCCCCCCCCCTAGACAAAGTCTGTCAAGACTCGTGGAAACGTGGGGAGCTGCACTCGCAATTGCCTCCCGCGCAACAAGCTCAGACTGCCAGCGAAGCAGCCGCTGAAGCGCGCCGCCAGCTAATCGCAACACAGACACGCAACAACGTGTCACACTTGAAAGATCCTCGGCAGCAGCCGCCACTGCCCCCTGCAGAGAGGCTCTATGCCCAGCTGCACAGACACCACAGCTTTCGAGCTGCTGCTGCTGCTGTTGTTGCACACTGTGGTGTTGTCGTTTCATCTTTTGTTGGGCTTCTTGTGGTTCTTGCGAGTGCATGCTATGCTGGTGTGGCTGCATGCTATGTTGGTGTGGCTGCATGCTATGTTGGTGTGCTTTCATCTGTTGGTGCTGTACAATGTGCTGCTGCTGCTGCCGTACGAGCTGCCCCCAACTCGACCGCAGCGTCAACAAGATGCAGTACAGCAAACAAGGGATGAGCCACGATCTGCTTAGCACAGCCATGGAAGCTGTCAGCGCATGCACATCCACCCCAACACTGCGGAGTGACTGCGCTGCTGCCGCATTGGGAGACTCCCACAGGTGCCTTGCCAAGGAGACACAAAGGGCACAAAGACCACGAAGTGCAGTGCACCCCCCAAAGCAACCTCGCCAGTCTTGCAAAAGCATGCGAATGAGGGAAGGAACGACGGGGAAGAGCTGCTGATGCTGCCCTTGTTGCTGCAGCTGCTGGATAGAATGCTGCGCTGTCAAAGCAGGAGATATCAAGGCGCCTTCGAACAAAAATGCCAGCAATGGGCGACACGCCAGCTCGTAATCCGTCACAAGGCACCTAAAAACACACCAGCAGCAAGGGTGCATGTGTGGATGTGGATGTGGTGGTGTAGATGTATATGTAGGTGCATGTGTAGATGTAGGTGTGTGTGTATGTGTAGGTGTATGTGTATGTGTAGGTGTGTGTGTAGGTGTAGATGTAGGTGTGTGTGTAGGTGTATGTGTAGGTGTATGTGTAGATGTAGGTGTGTGTGCAGGTGTATGTGTAGGTGTATGTATATATATGTGTACACGTATATGTACATGTATATATATGTATACACGTATATGTACATGTATATATATATATATATATATATATACATGTATATGTATAGATGTGTATGTATCATATACATATATGTATTTATGTATATATGTACACGTATACATATACATATATATATATATATATTGCATATATACATACATATATCATATACATATATCATATACATATATATATATTGCATATATCATATACATATATATACATATGTACGTATGTGCCCCGACAGACAGACACCAGCGCGGGAGGGTGCCAACGCATGTGCGCTTTCCTCTGTACGTCTACCCGAGCCAACGCGACATTCAACCATTGATATTCCAGGAAGCAGAATCTTCGAGGAGCAGCCAGCTAACCTGTGCAGTTCGGAGGCAACAAATGGAGCAGGCAGCATGGGCGTGGAAGAGTTCCCTAGGAAGGCAGTCGCGCAGCTTTGTAAGACACGCAGCAGTCTCCATATCGAATCGACGACAAGGCAGGTGAGATCTGGATTTCCAGGATACTCCAAGAGGCGCGTCGCATTATGCAACGACGACGCACTGTCTGCAGTTGAGAGACTCGTGGAATTCGTGCGCGAAGGCTGCAGACGCTGCAGCAGAAGTGCCAGACCTTGTGCTGCAACTTCCACGCGCAAACTCATCCCTTGCAGCAATTCCAAGGCAGTTCGAAAGGCGATGGGGTCGACATCTCCGAGAATCAGACGGAGTGCAGCTCGCAAAGGGGGGTGCTGCTTCAGCTTTTCTGTCAGCGCAGCGAAAATATGCCTCAGAGACAGCTGCTGCCCGTCGAGCGCTGCATCGACGCCTCCTGCAAGGCTCTCGTGAGAGCTCCTAAGAGGTGTGTCTGTCGTCGTTGCTGCTGCCGTCGCTCCGTTGGCTGCCGAAGGGAGGGACGCTCTGGCTCGTAGTGCTGCTGCACTGCTTTTCGCTTCTGCGCTGGCTTTTGCTGCTGCTTCTGCTGCAGTGACAGAAGCAACAACGAGAGATACAGCGTCCTGCTCCTGCAGCTGCATTTCAAGATAATAGGCGCTGTGTATGTCGATCGCACGAACGGCAATGAGGGCTGTCTCAATAACTCTAGCAGCACTAAAATAAAGCTGCGGATTTTTGCGTGCGCGTTCCCCCCCCTGCCCGATGCTGTGCTGTGCCTTCGCATGCAAATGACGCCTCGCAAGTTGAGCTGCGTGATGCCACAAGGCTACTAGTAGGAGTGGGCGCGGTTGTTGTTGGTGGTGGTGTTGTTGCTGCTGCTGGTGTTGTTGGTGTTGCTGCTGCTGCTGGTGTTGTTGGTGTTGCTGGTGTTGTTGGTGTTGCTGGTGTTGTTGGTGTTGTTGGAAGGAATTTCCTTGTTGTGCAGCTGGCTCTGAGAGCTCCCCACGAGTGGCAGGCGGCAGTGGCTGCTCTAGGGAGATAACAAACGCTTCGAAGATCTCATAAAGCGAAGGAATCGCCCACAAGTGGACAGCAAATACTGCTCGTTCCATCCATCGCATCCTTAAAAAGGGGCCAGGCAGCAGTGGAGGCATCTGCTGGCGAAGACGGTATGGCAAGTGCTCCGCGAGAAGCGCCTCCGCTTGACGCATGCGCAGAGACTCTGCGCTGATGAATTCAGCAAGTACATCTCCAGGAGATTTCGCTGATCGAGCGAACAAGTCGAGGCTGCTGCGATCCTCAGCGAGTTGCCGCCTCCCTTCAGCCGTAGTTGCTGCAAGGCCAAGACTGCCATGGACGAGTTGCACTTGTTGCAGTTTCTGCTGTTGCTGCAGTTGCACTTGTTGCAGTTTCTGCTGTTGCTGCAGTTGCACTTGTTGCAGTTTCTGCTGTTGCTGCAGTTGCAGTTGTTGCTGCTCGGCGCAAAGAAGCTGTTGCTGTTGCAGCTGCTGCAGTTCTGCATCTGTTGCAGCAAGCGCTGGGCGTGCTGCTGACCAGGGGACGCTGACGCAAGGCATTGCGGTGTTTGGAGAGCCGTGATTGGGGAGAAGCCGCGTTGCATGCGCTGTGGCAGAGGCCATAGGAGTCGCTGCATGCGCACACCAAAGCTCTGCAGGCTGCAAGCGAGCAAAGCCTGTCTGGAGAAGCGAGGCAAGCGCTCTGACAGTCTGAAAAAACTCCTTCCCCGCGAGCTGCTGCAAAGAATCTGCATCTTTCTGACAGCTGCCTCGCCCAATCCATGGGCGCAAGGGGCTTAAATCGTCTGCAAGATGCAGGAGCAAAGCAGTCGCTGTGTCTGCAGAGGCCAGCTGCAGTTGCGAAGCAGCTGAGGCTTCAAAAAGCAAACGATGACGCGATGCCGCTACTACAAGCCGCAAACCCCAGTCGCCTCCCTTTGGATGCAGACTCACAAAGACCTATAAAGCGCAGAAACAACCATCAAGCTTTCCGTAAAAATAAAAATATTTACGGTTTTTTAAATAGATACATATTCATGCTTTTTAGACATATACATGTTCATGGTTTTCAAACACATACATGTTCATGTTTCTCAAACACATTCATGTTCATGCTTTTCAAATACATACATGTTCATGTTTTTAAATCCCATACATGCTTATGTCTTTCAAACACATACATGTTCATGGTTTTTAAACACATGTATCTTCAGGGTCTTAAATATATACATGTTCATATTTTTTAAACATATACATGTTTATGGTTTTTAACACCTATATGTTCATGGTTCTAAATATATACATGTTCATATTCTTTAAACATACATGTTTATGTCGTTTAAGCAAATACATGTTCATGTTTTTCAAACACACACATGTTTATGGTTTTTAAACACATACTGTTTATGGTTTTTGAACACACATATATTTGTACAAATAAACATACATACATAGATATACAAAAAAGCATATATACATACAAATAAGCACATGTATATGCATGCAAATAAACATACACACACACATACATGAACACCTACTCAAACATGCAAATAAGCATACATAGAAACAAATCCGTATACGCATACAGATATGTGCACAAGTAAACATGTATGTATATATATATATATATATATATATATGTACAGATAAGCAACCACATACACATAAACACACATGGACATACAAAGAAACACGCATTCACAGACATCAGGGATAAGTATGAAAGGGAAGGGGTAGACAGCGAATAGCATTGCATTCCAGGGAGCAGCAGCGGCAGCAACACCACGAGCACGCAAAAAACTGCGAGAATATCTCTTTGAATATTGCAACTCATACAGCAGGTGTTGCAGCCTGTCTACCCCCGCGTCCACAAACCAGATTCCGAACAGCCAGCACCACACATTTCTCTCTGCTTGCTTGCCTCTAGTTTCTTGACGTCTTTGAAGCGAAAGCGGGTAGGCATGCCTTCGCGCAGCCTCTGAGACTTCAGACCATGAGCAGTCCATGCCTGCAGCAAGCCGAAGATATCCAAATAGCACACCATCAGGAATAAGGCCCCCCTATCTTTCTTTTTGCCCTTATCTTTCTTTCTCGATCTCTCTTCTATCGCTCTTCTTCCTTCTCTATCTCTCTGCTCTCTATCTCTCTGCTATCTCTCCCTCCCTCTCTCTCTCTCAATATTTTTGCAAAACAAAAAAGCCTGCACACAGCGCCCTCCTGCCGTACAGTGAACGCGTCTCTTTGCTGTAGGTGCACCACATGCATGCAAGCAATCCACACACAAGGGCCTCCTTTGGCAGTATCGGCCTATGTATGACGACACTGCCAGACTTGAACACGCCTACCTTGATGACAACTTCGCCCTTCTGTGCTGCAGGAAAGCTTCTCTGATCTATCTGCACTCTGACACGCCTTGCGATCGGGGGAGGTGGTCCCCCCTCGCTTGGCATCCAACAAGCGTTGCCTGCCGACTTCGCTGCTCTAGGAGATGCTCCCTGACTGCGGCTTGTTGCATCTTCGTCTCCTGTATTCGAAACAGCCGTCCCACTCCCTCCTCCAACGGTGCGTCTGCTGCTGCGTGCCTGAGTGCCACCTAAGGAGCCTGAGGTGACTCCTGCCCCACCACAACCACTGACGGCACTACCAGCAGCAGAAAACGAAGAAGAAGATGCAGGAAAAATTTCCGCCTTTGGCCAGCGGCACGCGAAGTCAATGACGAAACGCTGAGGATCAAAGGGCACTGTGGGGTGCGGTGTCTCGAGGACGTAAACGGCCACCTCCTCTCTGCTCTCTTGACTGTATTCATTCCCCGAGAAAGAAGCTTCCAGAGGCGCGTCTGCGCTGCCGTTGCAGCAGCAGCAGCAGCTGCTGCTGCTGCAGCACTTGCTCAGGACGAGCAGACGCGCTTCTCCTGCTCCTGCAGCGGACGCCACCTCGGCGTGCGCTGCCTCTGCGAGGATGCGCCTCCCCGCACTGCCGCTGCTGCTTCTGCTGCTGCCTAGGAGATGCTTTCTCATCTCGCGCTTGCAGGATGAGAAAGCATCTCTAGCCACAGGGGGGCTTCCCGGGAGGGGGCAGCAGAGGGCCCCCTGAAGAATCATGAGTCGAGGCAGCACGCGCAGAAAAAAGGCATCCAACTCGTGCAGCAGCAGTGCCACCCGCACGCTGGGAGCCTCCGACGTGGGGGCCCCCGGGGGGCCCCCCGGGGGGGCCTTTTTCATATACAGATGCAACGCGTCGAGAAGCGAGTGGCGCCGGAAGCGTATCATGAGCTGCAGCTGCAGCAGCACGAGCGACACCACTTGACGGAGATGGCGATAAGGCATTCGCATGAGGGAGCCTCGCTCTGGCTTGCTCCTTGGGGTGGAAAAGGCTTCCATTGCAGAAAACAAAGCGGCGATGGACTGCGAAAGCAGCAACAAACGATCGTGAACCTTCGCTCTCAGACTTGAATCGGTAGGATACGTCAGGCTTCTTCCCATTCCTCCTGCTGCTTCCGCTCCAGCACTGGCTCCTTCAGCACGAGCCTGTTGTGGCTGCTGCTGATGCAGCAGCAGAGGCTCCAAGAGATGTCTCCTTTGAGGCAAACGGTCCGCAACATACTCCAGGGTACTTGATCCTGTAAGCCCAACAGAAGGGCGTACTACAGAGGCTGCTGCTCCTGCTGCTGTTGCTGCTTCTGCTTCTGCTGCCGTTGCTGCTGCTTCTGCTGCTGCTGCCTCTCCTTCTCTTTCTCCGCCTTCTGAGACGCGACGACTGGGAGCCTCTAGAGCCCTCCCCCCTTCGTCACTGCTGCCCTCCGAAGAAACCTCGAAAGACGGCTCAAAAGGCTGTGCTTGCGATGCTGTTGACGCAGGCGTTGCTGCAGCAGCAGCCACGTGTCGACGCACTCTGACAGGAGGCGACGTGCTGCTGCTGCTGCCTCGCGCTCTTTCGGGAGCCGTCTTGTGCTGCATTCTCCTGCCTCCCTGCCAGCGACAAATGAGCACAGTCTCTTCCACTGCATGCAGCATGCCACGTCGCACACCTGCGAACTGCTGAAGCAGCAGTCTCCTCAAGGCGCGCAACGCGAGGCTTGCGAAATGGGAGACTGCTACGACACGATCTCCATGTGCTGAGCCTAGGGAAATAAATTCAGTAGCGTGTGCCTTCTCCGCCTCTTTGCCTTTTTCATTCGTTGCCGTCGGAGTGCCTGGGTAGTGCTTGTCGGGGGAGATGCTGCCGCTGCGAAGCAGCGAGGAAGAGGAGGCGTCCTCGAAGCCAAACGCTGCTGCCACTGGGGGCGGTGGTGGTACACTGAAGCGCAGGAGCAGCTGCTGCAGCTGCAAAAGCAACGGCGCTGGGCAGTGAGCAGCGGCTACTGCGGAGAAACTGCAGTCGGCAAATGTGTGGAGTGCCTTGGAGGCGATGGTTCCCAACGCTACAATTGTCGCAGGATCAACTTGAGAAGGATACGGGTGGGAAGTGTCGTGGAGGGAGTAGTGCTGATGATGATGATCATTCTGCTGATGATGAGGATTCTGCTCATGATGATGATCATTCTGTTGATGATGATGAGGATTCTGCTCATGATGAGGATTCTGCTCATGATGATCATTCTGCTCATGATAAGGATTCTGCTGATCCTGTTGATTCTGCTGCTGAAGTTGCGTGAAATGCTGTGACGTGGTCGGTGGTGGTGATTCGAGGACGGAGGCCAAGCTGTCGAGACACTGCAGCACGAGGGGCAGCGTTTCTGAGAAAGCGGCAGCCGCTGCTGTAGAGACACCTGCGCGTTGGCTGCCGTTTGTGACTTCGTCTTCCCACTCCAGAGCACGTCTAGAGGGCTTGACGTCTGCACTCGTCTTAGCAGCGGAGAGAGCCGCTGTTCGAGCTGTCGCTACAGCCGCTGCGGCAGCTGCAGATCCCCCTGCGAAAGGCAGCAAGCCTGCAGAGGGCAGCAGTCGGAGAGCAACCAAGCGAGTGCTGCATGCAGCTGCAATGCATGCAGCTCTGAGCTGCATGCGCCACGGATACGACAGTGGCTGCTTGAAATCCAGGAATTTCCCCCAGCGGCAATTCGCGCAGCCGTCGCTGCCGTTCTCAGCACGAGTGGGGTGGTTTTCGGCGCGACTGCAGCATAACAACATCGCGTGACTGTCTCTGTGCGCAAGGCATTCTGCAACGGCAGGCACAGGAGGCAGCAGAGGCGTTGCAGCCTCCGCTTCTGCCATCACAGACTTGAGGGGAGACGCCTCCTCGGCTAGCCATTCTCGTGCATTCAGAGCTGCCGCTGCAGCAGACGCTGCATACGTGGATCCTGCACCGACTGCGAAGCGGGGAGAAGCGGCTGCTGCAGCGACTCCAGGAAGCAAAAGGCTCCAGAGTCGCAACAAAGACACTGACGCAGCAAGCAAACAACTCTCTGTAGCCTGGGCTGCAGCTGCAGTCGCTGCCAAGCCCCCTGGCGCAAGCCGACCCTTCGACATATCACGCATGCCGTCTTGTTGCATCGACTTTTGAGAGGAACAAAGCGCTGGCTGCTGCGTTCCTCTTGTACCCCCGCCGCGAACGGCATCTGCATCTGCTGCTGCTGTTTTTTCTCCTGCTTTTTCCGCTGCTTTTTCTGTTTTTTTCTGCCCTGTTGCTTCCGCCTGCGGCGTCTCCGAAAAGGCAGCCTCGTGAGCGTCTAACCCGCGAGTCGGGGAAGGCTGCCGCTGCTGCTGCTGCTGCGGGAAGACGGCCGCTTGAGACGCGGCAAACTGCTGCAGCTGCTGCTGCAGCTGCATGCGCACAAGCTGCTGCTGCTGCAGCGTGTGCATGCACGCCGTGATACAGGCGTACAGCAGCCACAAGGCAGCAGCGTCAGGCTGCAGAATAAAGGCTTGTCTCTCCATTAGGCTGGCGCTGCCGCTGCCTAAGGCACTCTGTCGACGACTTTGCTGGTGCTGCAGCTGCTCTTGCAGCTGCCGCTGCGAGCAGACGCTGTCGGCAGCTTCTCGCTGCTGCAAAGTAAGCCTTGCTCCCTCAGCTAGTCGCACCAGTGCCGATGCCACAACGGCGAGCAAAGTCACTGGATGCGCAGCCGCATTCCGAACATACAAAAACTCGGTGCTCCGATGCTGCAGCTGCTGTACCACCAGCTGCCGAAGCTCTCTCCCCCCCAGTGCAGGCAACGCAACGAGGGCTGCAGACTGTGCTGGAGAAGATAACGCCACACAAAATCGATATCCTAAAGAGCAGCTCCTCGGAGAACCGCGCAGAGACGCCGGAAGCACTGGGAGGCAGTGACACGCATGCACCTGCGTTTTAAAAAGCCAAGAAACAGCAACAGAAAAAGAGACAGAGACAACAACATTCAGAACAGGCATATATAGACACATAGGTAGACATATACATACACAGAGAGAGACACACACAGACAGAGAGAGAGAGAGACAATAGACACATACATATACATAGACACATAGGTAGACACATACATACATATACATACACGTACATAGACACATAGGTAGACACATACATACACGTACATAGACACATAGGTAGACACATACATACATGTACATACACACAGATAGACACACAGATACATATACATACACATACATACATACATAGACACTTAGACAGACACATACATACACGTACATAGACACATAGGCAGACACATACATATATATACATACACATAGATAGACACACACATACATATACATACACATACATACATAGACACATAGATAGACACATACATACATGTACATACACGTACATCGACACATACATACATGTAAATACACATAGATAGACACACAGATACATATACATACACATACATACATAGACACATAGATAGACACATACATACATATACATACCCGTACATCGACACATACATACATATACATACACGTACATAGACACATAGATAGACACATACATACATGTACATACATATAGATAGAAACACAGAGAGAGAGGGCATCGTTTAGACCCCCCCGCTTTCACTCCCTCCTCCCTCCTCCCTTCCCCGAACTAGCAGCAGCATCCCCTGCAGAAAAATTCTTTTACATAAAACATCTATGGATCCCCCTTTTAACAACTTTAGCTCAAATGTGATAAGGCCGCCCATAAAAAAAACACTCCATGCGGGTAGTGCCCATACATTTGTATCTATGAATATACATAATATTACATATATCTGTATCCATGTATATACACATATCCATGCATATATATCCATATATGCATATATCTATACATGTATATATATATATATTATAGACACACATAGATATCACTGTCCACATTTCGAGCTTTTAAGATAAGCCCCCTTTGACGGCTGCGTGTGTTGGGAAGCTTGCATAAAAGAGAGACCACCTACCTTACGACCTTCTACAAAGAAGAAGAGACTGCCTTGATTTGCATCTAAAATCAGTGTAATGATCCAACTCCTCTGCCCGCCTCCAATTTCACCTCCCCCTAAAGCCATCTCCAAACGTGAGCGAGTGCCGCTTTCGCGACTGCAGCATCGTGGCTCAGCCACAGCAGCCCCCGTGCCTCGTGCTGCTGCTGCTGCTGCTGCTGCTGCTGTTGCTGCTTGCATTTCTGCACCTCCCAAGTTCTCTGCTGCCTCGGAGGCGTGATGGTGCTGCGGTACGGAGGAGGCGTTTCTTCCAGAAGCGACATTTGCTCCCCCTTCTTGAGGGAGCCGCTGCCTCGCCAAACTGGTGCTGCTGCATTTGTTTCTGAGGCTGCCGCTGCCTCCTGCACCCGCGAAGGGGGGGGGAGCCGTTCCGTGCTGCGAAGGCACGGCTACGCCTCCCCACGTCGCTCCGCTGCTGCTGATGGCACAACAGCCAGCAACGTTCACAAGGGGCCCCTCCAGAACGCCACAGCGGCGAAGGCATTTGGTGTGGGGGGCTGTATGCATGCGGTGGCAGCACGCCGATGCATGCACGCCATTTGAACGAGGCGGCGCTCCTACTGCCGCTGCTGACGACAGTTTGGCTGGGGAGACGCCTGCCGCAGCCCCCTCCTCTACAGCATACACGACTCCGTACGCATCTGTAAGAGCCACGCCCACTTGGAAAGCATGCAAAGGATGCGGAGGGGGGGCAGTACCCTCCACTTTCGCAGCAGCTGTCAGCGTCTCAGACAGTCGCAGCTGGCATATGTGGATTCCCTCCCACACCCATTCCTTGGTTTCTCCGACGGCGAAGCAGTCTTCCCTCCGACCTGAGCCGCGACTTGCTGCGCTGCCGCTGCTGCCTGCAGCGGATGCATGCATCGGGGAGGCTACGTCTCCGGAGCCTTCCCAAGAGCCTCCAGGGGAGACAGGCGATCCGACTGCGTCTCTGGCTGCAGAGGCGTTGCCGCCGCCGCTGCCGCCGCCGCTGCTGCCGCCGCCGTTGCTCATGGTGGTTCGCCTTGTCGCTGCCGCTGCAGCAGCGAAGGCTGCTCCGGAAGGCAGCAGCGTGGCTGTGGTGGCATGCGCGATCGCGTCGAGCTGCTGCTGCTGCTGCTGCTGCTGCTCGCGCCAACGGCGCTGACAGGTGTGCGATCCGGCTCCAGCAGGCAGCAGGGGGGGAGCCAAGTCTCGCAGTCGCTGCAGCTCCCGCGGCTGCTGCTGCAGCAAGACAAGCGTCGAGGAGAGCGTCTCTTCGCAAGTCAGTCCCATCACCCCATCGCGCACCGAGAGAGGCAGTCTCCAACCACAGCCGTCTGCGAGCCACAAGGCTGCGCGCACATGCGCGTGATCCGTTAGGCCTGGCTCCGTTGGAGCGACGCTGTCGATACACTCGAGATCCTCGAACGAGCTGCCTCGCGGCAGACTCATGTAGGAGAGACGCGTCTGCTGTTGGTCCTGCAGCAGCCGAATGCAGCAAAAGGCGTTTCTGGGAATATCGCGCAGCCGAATGCCGCTCCACGCCGGGATCACGAAGGGGGCTGCATGCAGTTGTAGCGTCTCCGCATCCCGCTGTAGCTGCTGCGTGAGGAGGTGGCGCTGCTGCTGCTGCGTGAGCAGGTGGCGCTGCTGCTGCTGCATGTGCGAGGGCCCCTCATGAGTTCCTCTTCCTGCTGCTGCTGCTGCTGCGGCGGAAGCGACGACTCCTGCATGCGCACCAAGCCCTCCTTCCTCGTCTGCTTCAGCAGCCGCTGCCTCAGCAGCCGCTGCCTCAGCAGCCGCTGCTTCAGCAGCCGCTGCTGCAGCCAAGCTCCTCCTGTCCGTCGACACTACCGCATACGCATCACTCTCCTCATCCGAAGAAGAAGCTCTCGAGTCGCTGCTCCTGCCGGCTGCTGCCGCTTCTCCAAGGGGGGGGAGGGGGGCCCCCATCGAGGCATCCGGTGCAGGGGGCCCCCCAGAGGAAGCCGTCAAGACAGCACCCGACGAAGCGGAAGACGATCCCTGCTGCTGCTGCTGCTGCTGCTGCTGCTGCAGAAGCACGTCGCTCTCCCGACCAAACCCTTGCGCTGCCGAAACGCGCGGAGATCTCCACGAGACAACTCGAGAGTCAGAAGTCACAGCGAGACTCCCCAGTCCCCTAGGCGCCGCTGCTGCTGCTGCGAGTGGCGTCGCGTAAGCCGCTGCCGTCGCTCCTGCACACGCAGCGCCTTCGTACACTCGCGCAGACCAAGAAAAGTCTCTCAAAAGCGACAGCACCTGAAGCTCCTCTAGAGCGGCATCCCCCCACGCCGCCCCCTCTGCTGCCACAGAAGAAAAAATGACTCCCTCCTCGATGGCAGCGCCTCCCGCCGAGACTCCCTGGAGGCTTCTCGCTGCTCCTCTGGAGATCGGAGGCAGAGAGGCTCCCTGAGTCTCGCATCCCTCCCCCTCGAGCTGGCTCTGCTGCTGCTTCTGCTGCAGCGTCGCCAAACACAGAAGCAGCAGCAGCAGCACTTCTCGGAGGCATCCGTGTCTCAGGCCCGTGCTCAGCACCGCCTCACTGACTGCAATGCGCGCTGTCGCGGCGGCAGCAGCTGCTGCCGCCGCTGAGACGGCTCCCCCCCGCAGCTGCATGCACACCCACAACTGCTCCATGAGGCAAAGGGCCTCTCTCTGGGAGGCTGTGGGAGTCGTCGGGGAGATCCACGGCATTCCGACTTCTCGAGAGGCTCCTAAACTCAGAGGCGGATATGCGCGAAGCTTCTGCAGCAAACGCCGAGCGCGCGCATCTAGTTCTTCAAAACAGGCGGCTGCAGCAGCTGCAGCTGCTGAAGCTGCAGCAGCAGCTGCTGCTGCTGCTGCTGCTGCAGCTGCTGCAGCTGCCATGGGCTCATTCTCTGCAATCGCCGTCGAGGCTCCAGAAAGCGCCGTCACAATGCCCGTTGCCGATGGAGGGCCCCCTGCTGCACTTGCACCTGCCACTGTTGATACACCAGGATCAACACCGCTGCCGCCGCTGCTGCTGCTGCTGCTGCTGCTACCACCATGAGCTCTGCCGCGCATTTCATCCGCAGAAGACTCGTCTGCAGCCGACTCCAAGGCGGCTTCAACCGCGGAGGGAGAAAGGGGCCTGAACAAGCCTCTGTCTGCAGGCGTTCGACTGCCTAGCCTTGCCTGAGCGCTCACCTCCAGTGCCTCCCCCCACGAGACGCCACTAGCACAGTGGGAAGAAGGCGCTCCAAAAGAGCCCTCTCCGCATGCATCGGAAGCCCACAGTCTGCTCCCCTGCTCCACGCGTCTGCGAGGCGTAAGAGGCCTTAACGACTGCTGCTGCGGCGACTGCTGCTGCTGCTGCTGCGGCGACTGCTGCTGCTGCTGCTGCGGCGACTGCTGCTGCTGCTGCTGCGCAGCCACGCCTGCAGCAGCGGCGGCAGTCGCCGCCGCTCCTCCCGCTCCCTGCTTGGAGACTGTCGCCCCCCCCAGCCCCCCTCCCGCAGCTGCAGCCTGCCATTCCAGGGAGCTCCCCGAGAAGCCAGCGTCTGCTGGGGGGGGGAAAGGGGAGCGTCCAGCGTCTTCGCTCCCCTTCGCCGCTGCGCGCTCGAGCCAAGGATCGCCGCGCCGCAGGAGCGCTCGTCGAGCAGCCTCGCGCCTGAGCATCGCCTCCGTGAAAGCCTCGAGAGTCGGCCTGCCTGCATCCACACTGAGCATCAGAGCAACCTCCTGTTGGAGAAGGAGGCGCGGCAGAGAGGCGAACCAAGGAGGCAGCTGATCAAGGGGCCTCTCCAAAACGTCGATGCCTGCGCATCCGATGGCAAAGGCGCCTCCAAAGCCCTCTCCCTCGGGCCCCCATGAGGCGTCGCGAGGCGTTCCCGAGGGGGAAGGTGCATGCGCATGCAGCTCCTGCACTTGCCAGTGAAGAGGCGAGGGAGGGGGCAGACGCGCAGCCGCAGAAACGGCGGCGGCAGCGGCAGAAACGGCGCTGCTATGGAAGCTGGGAAGGGGTCTGGAGGGGGTGTCTCGTGGGAAGCCAGCATCTGAGGGGGGGGTGTTTCCAGCTGCGCATACACCGGGAGCACTCGAGTCAGCCAGCCGCCTCGGGGGGCCCCCTCCCTCCGCACCGGCAGTCTCAGGATGCGCTGCTGCAGGAAAAACTGCCTCCGTCTGAGCGTCAAAGGCAGCCGCAAACGCCTGCAACGCCCACGATCCACTCGGAAGGCAGACAGGCAGCTGCACGCCACAGGATGGGCTCCCCGGAGGGCAGGGTGGCGTTGAAGACGCCATCGGAGGGGGCAGGGGGGTGCCTCCACACGACACTGTCTTGGAACGTGTTTTCCCACAGGCGCCCTCCCCCACGAGAGGAGGCAACAGGGGGGGGAGGGGGGGGGAGGGAAGGGGGGGAGGGCCCCCTTGATGGCGCGTTTTCGCAAAAGGAGCTCCCACGGTTCCTCACTGGAGCAGCTTCAAAGACACCGCAGGAAGCACACATGCATGGACTATGCATACGATATGTGTACGTGTAGAGAGAGAGAGAGAGAGAAACGCGAAGCCATACAGCAGCGTCAAAGAGTCAGAAGGGGAGGCTCCAAGGAGGGAATCCGCTTGGAAGCCTCGAGGCAGAGAGTTTGATGGCGACAAAGGGAGAAGCGGGGGGCAGACGGGGGGTCTGCTCTCTCGTAGCACAGCTGGACTTGTCGTTTTCGGCGCGAGCTGTCGGTTGTAGGCTTCCAGTTGCCCGTCCTGTCTGTTTAGATGCCGTAAATGTCGACGCTGATGCCTCCGATGCAGCCGCTGGTGCAGAAGGTAACTTTCTGTGTCAAGGGGCCCTGACGACTGAGCCGCGTGCAACAATCGCAGCAGACACACCGGCACAGAAAGCCGCGAAAACGTCCCGTATGCCCCCTCCAAATACGTCAAGCACCCCAAAATCTATTACATTTAATGTATTCAGAAGGAAGAATATCCCCAAATGACTCGCCAGTTCCATTTTTATGTGGGGCTGCTCCTGCTGCCGCTACTGTGAGCGGCGCGAGGCGACTTCTGGCGGCCAAGGTTCTTCCCCGATTATGGGTATTTTCCGCTGATTTTTGGCTGGATCTCCTTCTTTTACCGCGGAGACAACTGCCAGAAGCAGGCAATTTCCCCGCTGTGCATGGATGTAGGTATGATGACGTGCGGAGCGTTCGTGTGTCGTTGTCTGGCTGGCTGTGTATGGGTGTGAATGGAAGTGTGCGTGGGGTGTTTTCATGTCTGCGTCGAAACAAACGCTCCTGAATACATTACGCACTACCTCGGCGGTCCTGGAGGATCCGCAGGAACCCCATATGTGTTCTAGCGGCTCCTCTGCCACACATTGTTTTCTCCCCTGCGCGCTTCTCGTCTACACACTAAGCGTTGTTGCCTCCAACCACTGCCTAAGACGCATGGCTCCTCCCCAGCACACTGGTGGGAAGAGGACAATTGGCTGTGGGTGGACATGGCAGTTTCTCAGCTCTTTTTGCCATGTTTTCTCGCCTGTTCGCAGCAGTAGGCAGCAGGTGGTTGGCTCTAGGGGAATGCGTCTGCCATCGTCTCTACCTCGACACAAGAGTGCGGCCATCAAAAATCGGGGCGCAGTTTTAAAACACACTTCTAGTTATGCATCAAATGGGGGGGAGGATGAACACACAAGTCTATTTTGTCTCTGTCGCATGCCCCTTTAAGCGGAAATACACTGTAGAAAGAGCTGGCAGAGCGCACTTCAGCAGCGGCGACATGGAAACGTGGCATAAAGTCACAGCGTCTCCCTGCTGGATCCTACGCGCTGTGTGTGGGGCCGGGGGGTGTAAATTTCTATATTCTGTGAAACGCCCTGTGCACACAGCGGGCTCAGAAAACTGCACTTTTTGTCGCTCTCTACAACACTGGTTATGGGTAACAATGTATGCAGCGTTGACTTCATGTTTTAGCCGTTCCTAGATATGCGGCGAACTCCAGAAATGATTGCTAGCTTTACCTCAAGGAAGAATGAATGCTGGGGCCCGTGCCTGCGGTAAGCTGTAGGCAATTGGATGTGAATGCTTGGAGGGTGAGGTGCACACGCCAATGCAGCAATGCTGCACCCGAGATATCCTTAAAATGATGCTTCCTTCGGAGCTCCATGCATACTTATTTGATAGGAAGCTAATGCGTATTTTCGAGACAAGGCCCCACCTTTCCCTGCGCCCACCCCTCGGGTTTTTCTGCTGAAAAAAACAAGGGGCAGCGAGGCACCTAGGATCCGCTTAGGTGCAGCCTTTTTGAGCATTCATTTACATGGCAGTTAGTAGTTGCGCCTAGCGTGCACCGGTGCAACAAACTGCGTTCTTGCTTGAGTAGAGCGAGCAGAAAGCCCTGCAAGAAACAATGCATCCTACCCCAATAGTCAAGGGCTTACTAATTTCGACATGGAAAGTTCCCGATGTAGAAGAAAGTATTCAAGTTTGACTTCGCCTAACCACACAACAAACTGTCTCGACCCTCCGGGGAACTCCGCGGGCAGAGAGCCAGGAAGGGAGGGAGGGAAACAACTTTGCGGAAGAAAATGTAGTTTTCTGTAGAGCTATGCTCGTGAGATGGTGGCGCTGGGGGGCCCTCATGCAGAACCCATATGAGGGCCCCTGCTGCACCACCACGAGCCTCAGTGTACTGCTGCGGGGGGTTGGGGACGGGGGAGGGGAGTGGGATCGCGGAGCGTTAGCCGCAAGCACTTCCTGCAGCAGTGCCTCATGCTGGAGTTGGTGTCTGTCTTCAAGTGCAGGCAATGAGCACAGCTCCGAGCATACGCGAGGTTCCCACTGCTTCCTCAAAGGCACATTTCTGGAGGGCCACACCGCTTAAATCTGAGCAGGGAACCACCCCGAGGTGTCTCAAGGTGGCAAACTGAACGTACACACGCAACCAGCAGTAAGATATATATCGGATTCACCTGCAGCTAGAGACCTCGAATTGGTTGATCCATCCGTGTTGCCCTTTTGCTAGCTACTGATGGCTAAAACCTTACTACATATATACATAGCTATATGCATACATATATATAGGTACTCGTTTGCGCTTCAATTTCACTGCGCACATGCCTTCGCTCTCGTTTCCATCTAAGGTGAACGATGAAGTCAGTGTCTACAGCACCTCCGCCACTCACACCGCCTGCACGTGGGTGAGCACCTGATGAGCGCGTAGCAGTGCTGCCTAGTTTGGAGGGCTAAACCACACTCAATCCGTTTCCCTTGTATTGCTTATATTCAACCACTATTAGTGAAGACTCGGCGGGGCCGCAGGTTGGTTCGTATGTCTTCTTTCCTTCAAGTACCACTAGTTCGATACAAAAAGACGCGATCACATACGTGTTTGCATGCCATGAGCAGTTAGCTCTGAAAAATTGCTCTGAGTATTCAAAGGATGCAGTTACGTGTGCAATCTGACTCCCTCGCTGTTTCTCGTTCATCTCATCCGGAGCCTGAGGGAGCCGGTAAGGGATGGCGCGGGCATACCTGAAACCACTTGATAACTTTTTATTGCGAAAGTTTGCATGGAATCCGAAGTTAGATGCCACCCTAGGAAGATCTGCGCTAAGGCGTGCGTTACAGCCAAAGCTTCCCAAGCGAGACAGCGCGTTTTTTTAAACTGTCCAAACCCTGCATTCGGAGGGATGGCAGCAGCGACGCACATAGGCCTCTGGCTCAAGTGCCGCAGTAGATGTGGCAGAGGCGAAGCAAGGTGACAGAGTGCAGAGAAGCGTGCTATTTTAGGGGGCTCTTTGGCTCCACACACGGCGTATTGTGGAGAGCCGGATCTCTCCAAGCCTCGTGTCTTCTTCCCTGCATATGAAGCCTGCAGTACACGGAGGCGGCTAATGCACTTTTGAGCATTTCAGGCGAAGCAAAACTATTGAAGGGGCCTTTTATGGGGAAGTCGCCGACGAAAACACGCACAGATACACCAGCTCCTGCAGCGCAGGAGGTGGCGCACGGGGTGGTAGGGGAGGCGGGGCCTTGCAGGTGCCTCTATTGAGCGGGGTAGAGTCTAAATGTTTGCTAGCTGGGTTGCATGAGACTAATAGGCGAGCAGAGAAGGGGCGCTACAGCGGCAGAAAGCACAGTGTGTTGTTCTATTCTCTCCCTCTCTGTGTGTGAAGACGAACCTGCAGCGGCAGCCGCAGCAGACATGCAGCAGCCGAGGCGGTCGTATCAGGCAAAGGGAATGCACGGGTGGTTGACTCTGAGTTCTTAGTGAGCTAAACGCTTTGAAATAGAGCCTTTCTGAAGCTTAAAAGCGCCGTCGCGTGGTGTTCCTCGGGCTGCAGCAACAGCGAGATACCAAAGGCCACACGCAGCAACCCCGGTAAAGGCAAGTCGGCGCTCGCTTCCTCGTCCATCCTTTTTTGCTGTATGCTTTTTCTGGGGATTTCTTTCTTTCTACCGTCGCTGTTCCCTTAAAAGACTGCTGCATCGCGGTCAAACGTCCGCGTGCGATCTCCGTCATTCGCTGCTGTACGTACAGCTCCTGGGGGCCCCTCCCTGCAGGTCGCCTGTTGTGTGTTCCTCCTTCCTGCGGTGTCGTAAAAGCCCTCGGCATTTTTGCCTCTGCGGCTCTTCCAGTGAATCACCTGGGGGCCCCTGGTCTTCCCGCTCTCTCCCTCTCTCTCCTTCTGCCTGCCTCTCTCTGCCTCGCGGTTCCCTCCCTTGCCACCGCGCAAACGCGGGTGCTTCACAAACTCCTTCGGATATGACAGGGAAACTGCTTACGCGCAGCGCCGCTGTTGCCTGGTGTCCGTCGGCTGCATGCGCGCGTTCTCTGCGGCAGCAGCAGCAAGGCGGCGATGCTAAAAGTCGCAGCAACCCCGTGGGGGTCTGTGGCTCCCTGGGGGGGCCCCAGCTTCTCGCCTTGGGTACTATGGGGGTAGATCCTCGCCTGGAGTTTGCCAGTGTGGATTTGTCTTCGCCTTCTCCGTCTCTGCCGATTGTTGCCTCTGTGAACGCTCCTGCACCCTTCCAGTGCATCACCTGGGGTTACCCGGGGGAGTCGAATGCCGTGGATGGCTGCATGCTCGCGGGAGGCATGGCAGACGGCGATGTCACTCTGTGGAGTGCTAGCGAGATTCTCAGGTCAGTTGGCGCCTATGGGTAGGGTCGGGGTTGCGAGGTGTTGAGACACCGGGGCGAACCAACGAGAGGCAAGAGCGAAAGCGGGCCAAAGTGTATCGGCAGCTATCTTCGCAGTCCTTCTCCTCTTTGCGCAACACCGGCTGCTTTCGTTTTTGTGCATTATATAGCGTGCGCGGTGGGCTGCTGGCAAGGGGAGCGTCTGCCGCGAAATAAGGACGAGGTGACGGAGGTTCCCTATAGGGGGCTGGCATTAGTCAAAAGCTCGTCTTCCTGTCGTGTATATATATATATATATATGTATGTATATATATCTATATGTATATATATGAATATACATATCTGTATATATGTACATGTACATACGTGTATGTATATACGTGTATGTATATACGTGTATGTATATACGTGTATGTACATATCTATATATATATGTATAGAAAGAACCAGAGCAGCGCTGGAAAGGCGGAGCCGAAAGTGCGTGTGTCTATATGAAGACGGAATGATAACAGATACTCCCCTTACGGTTCTGCATGTGGGGTGGTGGTGTGCCTGTGCAACGATACTGCAGACAAGGAGTTTCCCAGAACGACTGCGTGTCTGGGGGGTTGTTGTCGTCTATTGCCGTTCAAAAGGGGCAGAGGGTACAGACTTTGCAGTTCAATCCTTTGCGCCCAGCTCTCCTCGCAGCAGGCTGCAGTGGGGGCGGTCTCTCTGTTTTGGATGTGGAGGTTCTCGAGGAAGCGGTTGCGCACCACCCAGGGTCTGAAGGGGCAGGTTCGTGCTGTTCGCTGCTAGTCGGCGGGAAGCTGGCTAGCTGACGCGTAGCGTCTCGCAGTTTGTTTTTTTTAGCAGTTGGCTAGCTTACAGAGAAGAGGGTTTATTGGGGCAGCGGCGAGAAGACGGGCAGAAAAAGCGATGGAAATGCATGGTTTTCTCGCTCTCTTTTCCCCAGGAGACCCCTACTAACAAATGCAAAAGGCTGCTTTTTCCCATTCTTTGAACGCGTTTGCGATTCAGGTGCTGACGAAGGAGAGTGCACATGTTTGAGTTGGAATGGATCAGTGCCTCACATCCTTGCAACCGGCACGGGGACTGGTCAGACAGTTGTGTGGGACCTAAAGCAGGGGAAGCCTGCCATTAGGTTAGTGCATATATTGTTTCTCTCTTGCGTTTCCTTCCCAACCGCTCTGCAGCCTCTGGAAGCACCTGCGAGGACCATTCGTGCTGCGCGCACTCTCTCTCGCTGTCGCTTTCTCTCTCTGTTTCGCTGCTTGGGGGTTACTCGATCGAGAAAAAGCCGCAACGTTGGAAAGCAGAGCGATCGAAAATAAACACGCACAGGAACGAACGGCTTTCACTGGAGCCGCCTATGGTGTGTGTGTCTATGTATGTGTGTGTCTATATATGTATGTGTGTATATGTGTGTATATGTATGCGCTCTCTTTTCAGCTTTTGTGACCCCCAGCATCGTCATTCCCGCCCTAGCTCAGTATTGTGGTTGCCTTCACAACCAACGCAGCTCCTCCTCGTATACGATGACGACAGAAATCCTTCTCCCCAGGTGTGTCTGTGTATCTACGTATATTTGTGTTGTATTGCATGTGCATTACATGTATATTTGTACTGTTTTCTGTGCATTATATGTATATTTGTATTGTATTGCATGTGCATTACATGTATATTTGTATTGTACTATATGTGCATCTTATGTATATGTGTATTGTATTGTATGTGCATCTTGTGTAGAAGTGTGTATTTGCATGTTTGTATATGTATCTGTATGTGTCCACATTTATGCATCTATGTATGTATGTTTATACGTGTGTATGTGTGTCTATGTGTGTACTTGTGTTCGAGTATGGGAATATCTATGGGTGTCGATATGCGTATATGTGTGTATACGTATGAATATGTGTATGTGTTCATGACCCTCGTTTGCATTTGCCGCTCGCCTGCCTGCCTGCCTGCCTGCCTGCCTGGCATTCTGCCGCGTTTGACTTCGTATCTTCCTATCTTGCTGTCTTTTTGCGCATCATGCGGCCTCCTTTCTGTTTCCTTCTTGTTCCCTTGCTTACCGTCACAATGTCGCTCTCTTGGACTGGAAGAGAACTGCGCATCTGGCTCGCTTCGCTGATCCGCATGACTGTTTTTTTTTGAAAATGCTCGATTGTGTGCTGCATCCAGCAGGGGACTGTGTGCTGCTTTGGATGCTTGTATTTCTACAGTTATGGGATCTAAGGAATGCTACTTTTCCTCTAAAGGAAGCTCTCGTGCAACCGCCGTTCGGGCATACGCGTGGCATAGTATCGGCCTCTCTTTCCCCAGCAGACAGCCGCCTAGTGGTGAGTAGGCTTTTTCATTCTAGGATAATGCTGCAGGAGGTGCTGCCACTGCATCTGTGGTAGTGGCTCTAGCTGGTGTGGGCAGGTGGGAAGGAAAGGGGGCTGGCGATGCAGAAGGTGGTGGGGTCGGTGGGGTGCCTCTCGTGTTGGTGTGTCTGGATATATGTACTCTCCTGCGAGTGCTGACATGCATATGTGTTGTTTTGATGTATTAGAAAAATGCATACTTACACCTATAAAGTACACACGCATACATATATATATATATAGACACAGATACGCAAGCATATATTTTCATATCCGAGTGTGCATGGAGATGTGTATGTATGGCTTGTACGAATATGTATTTGCGTATGTATGTGTGTATCCGGAATGCAGCTGACATGTGGACGCGATAGCCGTTTGGTGTGCTGGTGGTTAGCGGAAGAGTTGACGCAAATGCAGCAGACGCACAGCAACGGAATTGAGGTGTATCTCCAGCAGCAGACGGCGGAGCCTTTTATGCAGATCTTGTGGTCACCCTCGATGCCAGGTGTCTATGCAGCGGCAACGCCAATGCAAATTTCCGTCCGTTCGCTTCTGGCCTCCGCTCTCTCAGGAAGTGGGATCCAGCCTGGAACAGATAATTTCTTTGGGCAGGACGATTGCACAATGATGGGTTCAACGAGCAGCAGCCTTATTCCTTCCTGGTTGAAGGTGTGTGTTTTCTGCTGCTGCTGGGAGTCGCACATGCCTTTTTCGTTGTCTTTATGGTTTGCTGCTGTCCCTATATACTTTTTGTCCATGAAAATGCTGTATTTGGATCCTGAAATGTCGTCTGTTTTTATTCTTCTGGCTGTGCCCTTGTAGAATCGGCTATGTGCTCTCTCTCTCTTTCTAGCCTCTGCAGAAGCTGCGCGGGATAGGGGGCCGCCCGTTATATGCCTTTTTATGAATATATACGTAAATATGTGGATGATTTATATATAAATCTATAAATTTTCATAAATGCATACATATACACATAGTTATGGATGTACATATACCGATAAATATTTGTATATGTATGCATTCCTTCCCACGCATCTGTTCATCTGTACGTGTGTCTTGGGGGGCTTATGCAGAAGCCTCGCGGGCTCGCCTTTAGTTCGGACGGCAGGCTAGCGTTTTCTTCGGCAACGAGTCGCTGCGTAGAGTTGACGCAACCCTCCGGCGATGAAGGCGGCAACGCTGCAGAGCAGCCGGAAGAGGAGGGGGCCATAGTGCAAGCAGCGACACTATGCGCGCAGGTGCAGCAGCTGGATGGTTTCATACGACAGCAGAACTGGACAGAGCTCTGCATGCTACAGCTTCAGCAGTTTGAAGAGCAGCAGCAGCAGCAGCAGCAGGATAAGGAGCCGAGTGATGCTCTGTTGGAACGGGAGATCTGGGAAGCACTCTTGAATACACTACAAGGGGTGTGTGTTTCTGTCCTCGTCCTCCTTCTCCAGCTGCCGTTGTGTGTGTGTGCGTGTGTGTGTGTGTGTATGTATGCTGCTCATATTCTTGTTTTGCTGCATCATCATCAGCCTGTTGGCTGCTTGTGTGGCTGCTGTCTGCTACAGCGGATTTCCAACTTCGGGTGCCCTAGCAAAGACGAATTGCTGCAGCAACTCGAAAGTGTTATAGGACGACCTTTGCCTTCTACGCTGCTGGCGCAACAGCAGCAGCAGCAGCAAGAGCTGATGATGCAGCAAATGCAACAGCAGCAGCAAATGCAACAGCAAATGTACGGCTACGGCATGCAGCCTCAGGGTTCAGATATTCGATCCACAGGTTTACCGGGGTATCCCATGATGAATGGCACGATGGCTCCTCTACAGCCGCAACAGCAACAGCAAGTGCAGCAACGGCAGCAGCAGGCGCCTTCCCTCTCTGCAGTGGATCCTGAGAGTACGATTTCCTGCCTCACCATTTCATTTTCCGCCGCTGGCGCTGCGTAGGATGGCTAGTCCCCTATCTAGCATCACGGAGTGACACACACGTTTTCAGGCTGCGTCTCTCTCTCTCTATGTGTGTGTGAGGCGAGGCAGGGTCCATTGCCTTTTCAGCAACAAAAATGCCTTTGCATGCGATGCTTTGTGCCGGCTGCTGTGTGGCTGTGTGTGTGTGTGTGTCTCTCTTTCTGCGCAGAGTTCTTCTCTCAGTTGGGGGGGGCAAAAGATCGTGAGGCATCAACGGAGCAGCAGCAGCAGCTGCTGCAGGAATCGATGACTCCTTCTGAGCACGCGCATGAGTTGCAGCACCAGCATTCGCAGCCTCAAGAGCAGCAGCAGGAGGAAGACAAAGAAGACTCCGTGAAGGGCAGCCTCCTCGTACAAAAAAGCTCTTCTCAGCGAGGCGACATCGACTGGAGTGCGTTTATTTGTTTGCTTTTGCTGCCGCAGCTTCTTTCCCGCGTTTCGTAGTTATTGCGGGGTCTCATTTATTCTGACTGAGTTTTGTGAGATATGCAGCCTCGGTTGGAGAGTATTAGCAGCCGCACATGTTTATACAACAGGGTGTGTATATGTATGTATATGTATATGTATCTATATGTATGCATAGGTATATGTATGTATATGTATGTCTATGTGTGTATCGCGTGTGTGTGTTTTCGTCTTGATGATGATGATGCAGCTGCTTCACCGTGGCGTTTGCTGCGGGAGTGCCTGCTTAGCGGCTGTGTGGAGGGAGCTGTCGAGCTGCTCAAGGAGCACGGCTCATTAGACGATGCACTGTTTCTAGCAGGGGCGGCAGCTGCCACGGCTCCTTCACAGCCACAGCAAGGCAGCAGCGGCTGCCTTGCGCAAGCCGCAGAAGGTCTAGGTCTCACTATGTGGCGTAGCGTTGCAGAGGCTTACGTTGAAAACATGCGCGATCCGTTTTTCAAGGTATAAAACGCTGCAAGCTGAGCTGTTTAGACGTGCTGCTGCTGCTCGTTTGTGTTGCTGCTGCTGACACGCTCTTGTTTTGCGTCGAGAAAAGAAAAGCCACCCGCTGCCCTTTGCCGTGTGTCGAGAAAAAAGCTGCTGCTGTTGTCGGGATGCTGGGCTGCTCTGCAGCTCTTTGGACTAGTTGCACTTGATCGACTTGAGAACTTAGCCGATTCTGTTGACTTGCCGGTATGGCGAGAAGCCTTGCGTCTTCTCGGCTGCTATGCTCGAGACGCAGAAGCGTCTAACTGCCTAGCCCGTAGGTTCCTCCTCCTATTAGCCTTTCTTCTTTTTTCTAAGCTTGCACAGCGTTTGCCAAAGAAAGCTTTTCTAGCGTACAGGAGAGCCCTCTCGCGTCCGCTTTCAAGTGCATCTGTATAAACATATATATATATATATTTATGTATATATATATATATATTTATTTATATTTATACTTATATATATATGTATGTATATGTATGTGGCATCCTCTGCGGAACTGTTTGCGCCGGAGAGTTTGTAAATTGCTTCTGGTAAGGGATCGTGTTAGATGCGTTTGTTTGAGAGTGCCTTTTCTGCTCCGCAGGGAGGCTTGGGCAGAGGCTGGCTGCTGCGGGTGATCTCTGGGGAGCGCTTTTGTGCCTCATCAGCGCGAAGGATTTCCAGGGGGCATGCAGCATCTGGATGCAGCAGCTGCAGCAGCGCACGCAGCAGCACCGTCGGCGTCGCAGCGGCAGCTGCAACGGCTTCTTTGCGCAGCAGCTTCTCGACACGCTGAAAAAGATGCTTGTCTTGAGGGCAGCTGCCAGCTACAGAGGGTCCTGTGCTGCCTTCGAGCGGATCGTCATGTAAGGAGGCTGTCGCTTAGCGGCGTTGGGAGAGGGACGGATTCTCCGGAGTCGCTTTGTTCTCACCTCCCTCTCGCGCTTGCTCGTAGAAATTGCATGCGACGAGAGGAGAAGTCTTAGGCTGCCTCTTTGCCCCGAAGGGTGTCATCCTGGCGGCTGCTTTCTGTCGACGTAGAATCAAGACTTGCGCGTCAACGAGCTGCTTGCGTATGCGGGTGTGCTGCTACCTTGCGACTGCTTCAGCGCATATGCCGACGAAGCCTCAAGCCTCTCCTGTGTGACGAGTGCGATGCTGGTGCTAAGCCTCTACTTGGATGTGTGCAGCAGCAGCAGCAGCAGCAGTGGGGCAGCAGCAGGAGGCTCAGGAGGGCCCCAAGGAATAAATCCAGAGGTGCATGCTGCTGCTGTTGAGCTGGCTACAAGGCTTTACCACAGCAACCCAGTCGCCATGCAGCAGGCCGGATTTGTGCCTCCCCAGCTTCCAGCAAAAACTCCCGCGATTGGATCGCACATGCAGCACCAGCAGCAACAAAGCCATGCGATGCTGTTGCCAGGGCAGCAGCAGCAGCAGCAGCAGCAACAGCAGCAGCGTGGATTCTACCAACCGCAGCAACCGCTGCAGCAGCAGCACAGAAGTGTAGGAGGGGTCCCTTCCTTCCAAGGGCAGCAACAGCAGCCATCCTTCAGCGCAGCTCCTGCTCCTCGAATGCTGTCAAACGCGGCTCCCCCACTCCGTCTCGTAGGTGCACCTCCCCCCCCACCGACTGCCTTGCAAGGCAGCAGCACGCAGGATGGAAATCTGCGTTCTCAGAGCCTCCTAACCAACGGTAAAGACTCGAACGCGCTTCTACGTGGCTATTCTACCGACGTAGCGGGGGAGGGGGGCGGCGAAACCATGTTTCTTGCATTGCGACTGCAAAAAACACACTTTTCTAAGTCTGAGCTTTTCTCGCCTCGAGCATCTTTCCCCTGTGACTAAACAGTCACCCTTCCGCCGTTTCTGCTGCTGCTGCCTCTGCTCCTGCTTCTGCTTCTGCAGGAATCTCAAGGCAACAGCAGCCACCGCCTATGAGCATGGCGCCTCTTGGAGCTCCTGCTCCTCCCCCCCTTCCTGACCAGCAGCAGCACCTACAGCAGCACCTACAGCAGCAGCAGCAGCACCTACAGCAGCAGCAGCAGCACCTGCAGCAGCAGCAGAGGAGTACCTATCCTCAGAATTCCAGCGTTGTGCCGCAGGGGTATGCGAAAGCTTCTTCGGGGGCATTTGGGAGTGGAGCAGTCGACTCTGCTGCGAATCCGGTAGGCGAAGACACTGGCAGAGGCCGACTGCGTGGAGTTGCTGCTCCCCCTTCTGCAGCTTTTGGAGGCGCTCAAGCAGCAGCTCTCGGCACTCTTCCGCCTCCCGCTATGGCGTCTCAGTCAGCGGGGGGTGTCTCTGCGATTCCCGCAAGCGCCATGAGCGTTCCTGGCATGTCGTCATACGCCTCCTCCTCCGGAGGGGGAGGGGGGGGGCCCCCTGTGGGGGGGCCCCCCCCTCCCAGCGAGGGGATAACCACTCCTGCGCCTTACACGGCTCCTACAGTGGGAGCTCAACCCGTAAAGCCTGGCATGCCTATCCCTTGGCCTATCCCCACGGCAGCACAGCTCGTAAGGCGGAGAGAGAGGGAGGCTGAAGGGGGAACGAGGGAGGGAGGGAGGAAGGACTGACAACAGACGCCTGCTTACTCGGCGATCGATATTTAGTGTGGCACACATAGGGGAGGGGGCAAAAAGCAGATCGAACCGAAGAATCTCACCTCTTTTCTACTCATAAATTGCGTCTGCGGGGTATACTCAAGCCGTGGAACTGTGTATAGTTTGTAGCTGTGTATCTGTGTGAGCGGCATCTCCTGCTCCTAGTGTTATATCAGGTGTATGGGGTGTAAATCAATCGTGTAACTATGTGTGCCTGTGTATAGTTTGTAGCTGTGTATCTGTGTGAGCGGCATCTCCTGCTCCTAGTGTTATATCAGGTGTATGGGGTGCAAATCAATCGTGTAACTATGTGTGCCTGTGTATAGTTTGTAGCTGTGTATCTGTGTGAGCGGCATCTCCTGCTTCTAGTGTCATCTCAGGTGTATGGGGTGTAAATCAATCGTGTAACTATGTGTGCCTGTGTATAGTTTGTAGCTGTGTATCTGTGTGTGCGACATTTTTCGATGCCGCAGAACCAGCGGTCTACGCGCAGTACGTATGCGGCGAATATAGGCATCAACAGAGCGTCTGAGAAGGGCGGAGATGGCAAGGCTTTGGCGGCTGATCAACTGGTAAGTCTTCTTTTCTCTCTCGTAAGTGAGGCAGGCAATGCGTGTTTCTGTTTCGGGTGTACAATGGCATGTTTTGGGGGGCTCTTTCTAAGGGTATACATGCGTCATGTCATGAAAGATGGGTGAAACATGTACATCTTTCCTGTGCTGTTGCTGTCAATGCGTGCTACAGGCCTTGGTGCGCGGTGTCTTGAGCAGCCTGGCACAAATGCAGCAAGGCTCTGCTGCCCACGATCTGATGAATCGAGTTGAGGATCTCCTTCAGAAGGTGAGCTGTTTTTTAGGTGTCTTTTGTTGTGGCGTTCAGAAAGGCGGCTGGGAAGAAAGCGGAATAACCGGAAGAGGAGGGCCCTTGACGCTGCTAGTAAAGGGGGTTTACATGCCGCCTCCATCACAGTTGCTGCGAATTTTGTCGATGCCTCAGCTTCAGCAGGGGGAATTAAGCGCAGGGGCGTCGGAGAAGGTGGTAGCGCTCTGCAACGCAGTCCAAGGGGGAGACATCAACCAGGCTCAGCGCCTTCATGCTGATCTCTCGTCTACTGAGTGGCATGCGTCAAACAGACAGTGGTAAGAGCTTTAGAGAGGAGAGTTCAAGTTTTGTGCGAACGTATGTATATTACTGCGAGCATGCAATAATGTCAAAGTCTCGGGTGCTGCTGCCTCCTGTACGTCTGCCAGTCGGCCTCCTTGCAATGCTGCTTTAGATGTATATATGTACATATTTATGTATATACATATATATATATATAGTGCCTCCCAAATTGTTCACTCTCTTGAAGCAGACATGCCATGTATCATTTGCCAGCGTCATGGAGTGTACTTGCATGTGCCTCGCTCTTCCTGAACGAGATTTTTAAAGCGGCCTTTTTTGCCGCCCTTCATTCCCCCTTTCTTTCCTCTTCCCCCCACTGGATTCGCATTCGGCGGGCATGTCCTGCGATGGACGTTTCATGGTGTGTGATACATGTGGACGCGTAAACGTTCTTTGTTGATTGCACAAAAATGAGATGGACACTTGTAAATTTGTTGTGAAAGCTCATTTAATTTCGCAAAATATGCGCGTTCGCGTCTACGTTCTCGCAGGCTGATGGCGCTCAAGCGTCTCATTCCCAAATCGTAGGGTGGCGGCTTTCCGCCTCCCCCCACTAGCGCTACATCTCCACCTTTGGCCCTCGTGCCTCGACGCTTAGGGGAGTGTATATTGATAAGGGTATATCTATAAATAAAAAATATATATATATATATCAAGGAACGCATGCACGCTGGTACTTGGGGCTCGTGCTGCGCAAGCAGCAACACCGATGAATCATGGACAGCAGCTGCGATAGTGCCGCTGCTGCAGCTGCAACTCCTCCACCGACGCTGCAGGAGGGAAGGGTGGCGAAAAGCGCAGTTGCCAAGGGGCACTGTTTCTCACGGACACTGGAAAGACCAGAAGCCAGCCAGCACCTCATCACTCGCTTCGTAGCCTCCATCCATCTTCTTTAGCACCCTAGCTTCCCTCTACAGAGTTTCTTTTTACTTCATGCGTCAGCAGAAATGGCCCGTAGTGCCTTCCGTTTGCGCATTTCATCCACCAGGACGCGACATCCGCATTAACGCGCTTTGTACGAGTTTGCGGAGGCGCGTGAAACCTGAAGGACTGCACAGAATATAGGCCATGATTAGTTGCACGCACCATCTTGCAACCATCCATTTGACACTGCTAGCCCTACAGCGTAGGCTTAGTTACACAAGTTGCATCGCTGTCTGATTTTATTAGCCGGAAGCGCATAAACCTGCTGTGATCGGGGCATAGGATCTAGAGGTAATTGCGCACAGCGACACGCCTGCAGAGGCCGCGCCGTCTAAGCCAAATCGCGGAGTATCCCCCAACCCACGCTTTTTCTGCGTTCACAAGTTTGGTAGGCGCCAAGCTACACTGAAGCACTTTCCGCTTCACCAGTTTAAGTAAGAATTCGCTTATTTTCAAAGGTTGACTAGGTGATACGTCTTTTCGAACATCGTCGTCATTGCAAAGTAGCGGTAGCCTGCTTCCAAAACATGCATATTTGTCCGCTACTAGCCAGGAATGCTCGACGTGCTTCAAAAGTGCAGCTACTGGCCCCTTCAGCTTCCCTCTTTCCTGACGTCGGAACCATGAGGCGAGCAGGCAAGAGAGGGGGGAGTGAGTGAGCTTGTGTTTTTATGAACAAGTAGGTATGTTTTCGGCCAAAAAGGTGTATTGTATCGCTAGTGAAGGTATATATATGTATATATTTATATATACTTCGCCCGGGCCTACACCCGTAAACAGGAGGCTGCAGGATGGTTCTACATACAACAGCACATGGTGTGCATGGAAACAAGGGGCCAATGAGGGAAAGCACTGCTCGAAAGTCCCGTTACCACCAATGCAGTTGTAGCACTTCTGCTAAAAAGAGCTACTAAAGTGTATTATGGAGAGCGTCGGGTGCTCAGGTTGAAGGGTCTTCAAGAATGCAGAAATCCCCCAGAGTGCCACCGTTTACTGAGCGATGAATCCTGTACATTTTAGCGCTGATCAACGATTGCTTAGATCTACTGGAAGGTCCTCGCCACGCATTACTTTGAAGAAAAAGCGGAAACGAGCAGTTTCTCAAGAAATTCCTGCGGGGTTCTTGCGCTCTCGCTGGTGCATAGTCGGCACACCAGCACAGATTCAGGAGCGCAGCCCCTGCTGCGAAAGCAGGAGGCGGTCTCTTTTTGCCGATTAGCGGTGCCTTAGGATGCACTTTTATCTTAGAAAGATCTCTGCGATGCATGTTACTCGTACTTTTCTCCATTAAGGAGGCACGCTTGGTCCTAGTTTGCCGCCCGCGCGGCAGTCGGCTGTGCTCCCCGGTTCACCAGCGGGAGCAGCTGCACCACCAGGAGGAGCATAAAGGAGGCAGAAACACACATATACGAGGAAAGGCAATGTAAATAAGCGCAAGTAGTTTGGTTTATATAACCTTCAGAGCGCCTTGGCGAAGCTGTATCTCTTCAAGCCGCTGCCTGCAGTCCGGCAGGCAGCCAACACGATGCTGCTCCCCAACGGTGCCAGCATCGCAGTCACAAGAAGACGCGCGCGGCAGCAGTCACAACTGCGATCTGAGCAAGAGCAGCCTCCAGACGCAAAGATCAAGCGGCTTGCGTCATGCCTCAAGTCTAGTAGACCTCTTCGGACTGCCCTGCGATCTTCACTGGCAGCAAAGGCACCCGAAACACCTTCATCAGGCCCTGCCCACATGGCCTGTGCCGTTCATGCAGCGCCTCATGCAGATCGTAAGGCACGTCCTCTTAACGGCTGGCGCCGCGGTTCTGGACTAGACCAAAAGACGGAGGGAGTCTGTCCACCAAACCACTGCAAGCAAAACTCCGTACGCACCGCGCATGCGCCTGCCAGGCAGCTACCCAGCCGACTGCTGAAGCAGCAGCCGCATCCGCATCAACAAAGTCTGACTGGTCGAGCACCGACTCGCCAAGCCTTCAGGGGAGGTCGCCGCCTTATTGGGCATAAAGGGTGTGACGAAGGAATTTCCCCTGGGGAGACGCCTCGGCTTGTCAGCGGTGCAAAGACAGCATTCAAGGAGCCTCGAGTGTCCAGACAGCTCCTTCGCACCCGTCAGAAAGCGGATAGCGAAGCTGCACTGCTGCCTCAGGAGCAGTCCTCGTGTTGTATTGTGCCCCCCTACCACAAATACCCCGTGCATGCAATTCACCTGCCCACTGCAACAGCGCAGAGGCAGGAAGAAGCCATTCCACCGCCTCAAGTACTTCCATCCCCCCACTCGCCATTGCTGAGCGAACACGCGGATGATGCGACTGACGTTACACCAGAAATCTTCGAGGAAGAAGGAGTTACAGCAGCATGCATGCTAAGGGGCTTTTGTTTTGATGAGGGACGGACCCTCGCCGACGGGCTTCTCTGGGAGTGTGAGGAGGCGCTCAAGAAAGCTCCTCTCCCATCTACTGCAGAGGCGGCAAGTGTCTCTGCTGCAACTTGCCCGTCTTTGCAGTCCAAACGTAAAGAAGCAGCAGTGGCAGCAGCAGCGGAAGAAGCAGCAACACCAGACGCAGAAGAAGCAGCACCCTGTAAGGACCCTGAATGCAATGGCAGCAGCATACGGTGTTGCAGTGGGCAGTGGAGCATTTCCGATCTTGACGATCTGCATACGGGTGTAACGCCACGTGCCTCTCAACAGCAAGAGGTAGGTTCACCGTTCCCCCCGCTGACAGTGTCTCCCCAGAAGAAGTCTTCGTTGAACGCATCTTCGAAAAGCCAGTGCAGATGTTGCGGCAGCACCCGCTGCTGCAAGAGCTGCTGGATCGGCTGCATGCCCGTGCAGACAAGCATCGGCTGCAGCAGACAGCGGCTCTCAACCTCCTCCGCTTGCAGCACCAGCTCCCTCGCTAGCTTCGCAGGCATCTCGGCTGCAACAGCAACAACGGCTACAGCTACTGCGCGCAGGAGACTGCTGCAACAAGTCTCTCTGGTTCTTAGCAGTAATGCCTGTCTCGCCGCAGCCTCTACGCCGCTTCTGTTAAAGGGCAAACGCTCCACAGCTGCAGCAGCGGCTGCTGCAGGAGCAGCTCCACCGAAAGTGAGGGCACCCCCTCCCGCGACATCCAGGAGTCGCACCAGCAATGCGCGCAAGTCGGAGCAGCCTGACAGGGAGGGAGCTTCGAAGAGAGTGTCCTCTCTGACGACTCCCAGCAAGAGGAGTAGGAGTGGGAGCACCTCAATCAAAAGCCGCAGAGGCAGCAACAGCGCCAATAGGAGCAGCCTCCGGCTGCTGCGGCGACAAGAGGCAGCAGCGGCAGCGGAAACAGCTGCTGCGGCTGCTGCTGCGATCCGCAGCGCGAGCAATTCGGCAAAAAAACAGCGGCAGCAGCAGCAGCAGCAGCTAGAGCAGCAGCACGCACAACTGGAGTGCCTGCTGCAGGATCTGCAACGGGAGACAGCGCAAATCTGGTGAGTGAAGCCTAAGGCCCTTTTAACGCTGGATCTCTGCATTTATTCTTCTCTTACTCTAGCAGCCTAGCAGTGCGCGTGCGCACCACGAGCACCTCACTTTATAGCGTGAGCTGTGGTAGGGATGCAGAAAAAACAGCAGAAAGGAGCAGCAAGCCACTGTGCGCTGACTGCCGTCTCTCTCCGTGTGTGTGCGGGGGTGTCTTAGGTCGTGTGACGAGGAGCAGCCGGAGCTGGCTGCGCTGCCTCCCGAAGAGGCAGCTGAAGGCATCCCTGGATTTTTGCTAGATTCTCTATGTGTGTAGCGCCGCAGGCGCTGCTCGACTCCCCCCGCAGCCAACACCAGTCGTAGACGCAGAGGCGCCTCTCTCTGAGAGCCGCCTGTTTGAAGGGCGCACAAGCGGCGCAAGTTGTTGCTCTCTATCGTGCTCGCAACACGGCTGCGGGCAGAGAGAGACTTCTTTTAAAATGCAGTTGAACCCTCCGTCTTACAGAGTCTCGGCTGCCCCTGCTAAGGCTCTTGAGATGCCTTTGCCAGAGGTCGTAGGATTACTTTTATGCTTTCGCCGGTATGAAAAATAGCTTTTCTCGTGGATCGTGTATCGTGCTGTCTCATAAGACACACACCCCAAGCGTAGCCCACAACGTGCCGAATCCGCTGCCGAAGTAGTAGCAGAAAACGGCCTGGTGTGGCTCTCTCTGCACACACGCACACAGCGCCTCCCGCGCGACGGCGCACATCTGCAAGACTTTACACACCAAGACGCACAGTCTCTAGAGAATTTTGAAATATGTGGTCCCAAGGGGGGCTATCTAACCCGGCGCTGGGAATCTGTAGGCCCCTAGCTAGCTACCTATCTAAGTAGACAGCGCTAGCTAGCTACCTATCTAAGTAGACAGCGCTAGCTAGCTACCTATCTAAGTAGACAGCGCTAGCTAGCTACCTAGCCAAGTAGACAGCCCTAGCTAGCTACCTAGCCAAGTAGACAGCGCTAGCTAGCTACCTAGCTAAGTAGACAGCGCTAGCTAGCTACCTGCATGCTTCATGGGAGGTCTACGTGGGCGAGGCACTCGTAGGCGCCTTCGGTGGTGCTCGAGATGGAGTTGAGCTGTACAGACGGCACACGGACGTGACCGAAGTCAAAGCCCCGCATATCTTGTATGAGCTGAGAGGCATCAAAGGTTCTCTTTTGCATGTGCTGCCGTTTCTGATGCTGCTGCGGTTTCTGTCGACTTCCCTCCTGCGACTGTCCATGGTTCTCAGAAGTCTGTTCCTGCTGCCGCTTCTCGACTGCTCGCCGCCTATACGTCTCGTTGAGCAGCGTCATGTGGAAGATGCAGTCGAACTCGCCCTGGGTGCCCAAGGCGTACTGCTGCTGCAGCTCTTTGCGGGAAAGCAAGCCTGCAGCCTGCAGCCTCTCCGCGATCACGCGTGTCACGGTATTCAGCATGGCCTTCGTCTTTGCTAGAGCCTCAGCGCCTTCACTGCAGCAAAACAGGCAGAAACATACTGCAGAGTGCAGCCTGCGCGTGCGACTGAAGTCTGCCGAGCGAACGTGGCTGCCATATGCATGCAACTATGAGCCGAGCCGGAGCGACAAGGTGCAAAGCCACCCTGCAATTCCCCTGCGATGCCTTTGGGATCGTGCATGCGCACACCTGGAATATAGAGGAGCGAAGACAACAGAAACAGCAGAGGGGTCATCCGAGAAGCAGCTGTTGCCCTTCAGATGAAGCCGCAACGTACGCGTTCCTACGGCATCGTAAATCTCCGCTGACGCTGATTTCAAGGCTTCTGCTGCTGCGGCAACTTCTGCTGGAGTCAACAAACGCAGCACCAAGAGTGTAATATGCAGCTTTTCCTGATTGATGAAGAGCGTCTCGTCAATGGTCTTGTAGCCCGACGCCATGACGAGGTGTCTGTACACCTCGAACCGAGCAATCATATCCGGCAGAGAGAGAGGAAGCGATACAAAATGCGTTACTCGGGCGCTGCAGCGCATTTGAGTCATCAGCCGTTGAGTTTTCTGAACGGCTAAGCAGACCCTCCTTTCCGTGGAACCCCAGATGGGGAGCACTACTTCTTCCCTTCGGCCTGCCAACATTTTCCCTCGGCCGACTCGTGCACCTATTGCATCAAGGGAAGCTGTCAAGGGGCCCTCGGAAAGCGTCCTACCCACAAGGCGGCGGTAAAGAGGACGCGGAATCCGTATGTCGGCACGCCATTGCTCGCCGTCTTGAGTTGCTGAACACGACGAGATGAAATCGGCGTCCAGCGCCTCCTCCTGCACCTCGATATCGCCTTCTGACATCTCTTCTTCTTCTGCCAGCTTTAGGTCGCTGTCGCTGGTGGCAGCATCACTGCCGGATGAATCTGAGAAGTACTCCTCAGAAAAGTCGCTTCCAGGCCCCGCCCGTTCTCTGCTCGGGATACCAGCAGTTGCGACAGCGGAAAACCTCCTAGAATTGCAAGATGCTAGAGATTCGAAGGCCGCCTGATTCCATTCGGCACGGTTCAAGGGCTCTGCGGAGGTGGGAATATCCAGTACGCGATAGGTGGCACCGGCTATGGAGAAATGTTTGTACTGCGGCCTCTCCATGCATTCTGGAAGGCGCCAGTGAGTCCTACCGCTCATAGGACGCATCGCCCTCGTCGGAATGAGAAAATTATCGAGTAAACACACTACGTCCAGGAACGAACTCTAGTAGTCATCGGAGCGACAAGGCTGCCCAGTGCAACAAGACCTTTATCTGCCAAGAAATGGAACTGCAATATCATGCAACTCAAACAATAACACATTTTTTCTGTCCACTAATGATCAGGCAAGCCGAGAACGCATTCTATGGAAACGGGGCTCCAGCCCCAGCAGGACTTGGATGAATTACCTAAGGGAAACCAATAGTTTGAAGGCAGGCGGCAATGACAAAAAATATGAGTCCATACAAAATTGCATGCAAAATCCATTACATGCCCGTGGAAGTGCCCCCGGTAGTGCGGTGTACGTAGAACGTGCTTCACCTGTGGCATGACGGTCAGAATCCAGTGCGGGTCACCAACACAGGGGTTATAAGAAAGCGGTTTCGTTTTTTAAATCCATTTTGTGTGTATCATAACACAGCATGATTTGATGATGAAGGGTCCAGTTGTTGACGGCGAAACGTTTTCTCGCATTCATGGAGAGCAACGAGTTGAGTTAAAACAGACAGGAAAGAAAATAGTGGATCTTCGGCGCTCATGCGGATCAGTAGGCCAGCCCTGACGATTGCTTTCAAAATATCGCATTCATGCTGGATGAAACGTGTCTTCTTAGTTGAAACACGCACTAGCGATGGCGAAACACCGACATGCAGTTGCTCAAGCTCAGCTGACGCACCAAGAAGCAGAGCAAATGGGAATCCATCTGCAGATCGCGCGGCTATCCGAAGAGAAATTAGTTCTTCTTATGGGTACAGAGTCAATGATCGCGCGTTGAAACTGGGTTTCTGCCTCGCAACAATAGCTGCTTCATGGCGGACAGCCAAGCGTTGAGTTTGCCAGCAGGGATACAAAATTGGCTGCTAATAACCCTGTCTTTTCAGAGCTCGAGAGCATCGAATTAATCACCCAACGAGTATCGGATGCGTCACGTCAGCACGTTGAGTCAGTCTTGTCCGTTTCTTCTTGAGGTGCAGGTTACCCAGAATTTCCATGTAGAGAGCTCACTGCTCTAGCTTCAAAGCTTCGCCAGGTGCTCAAAGAGCGGGAGGAGTGAGTTTTTGTCGAGTGTTCAGTCTGCTTCTCATGTGCAAATAGTGTCTGTTAGGTTCTATGCCGACATGCCCGATGGCCGATCATTACAAAAGCTAAAGTAGGGCTTTTCATGACGTCTTCCACAAAATGGGTGCGAGCAATTCATGTCATGTTTTATCAAGAGACGAAGTGGAGCAGCTGGAGCATCTGCTTGTGTGCGCAGTTGTGGCGGAAAGACAGAGCGAAGCAACGCTGGAAGTACGTAGCCACGAGTCAAGTCACTTTCTGCTACACTTCTTGCACATGGCGTCTATAAGGATGCGAAACGAGGATTTGTTGTGGAACAGAAAATCGCACAAGCAAACGCCTCACAGGCACTCATGAACTTTCAACTGAACACCTCTTATAAGCAAACACACTACGCCTTGCAAGCCTTCCCACAGCAGCAACAGCAGGAATACCGTCACGCCGGTCCGGAGCAGTCTCAGGTAGAGCAGCTGCCCCAAGACGCACAGGAATATGATGACGTTGTGCAGCGCATACGTGGCAGAAGCATCTCGGTAGAACGCGGGGGGTTCCCCAGGGAATGCGAAATCAGAGTTGCACTCGATAGCTCATCTGTGTCATGTGCTGCTGAGAAGTGCATGGCGATCTCCCGTCTTCATGAAAGCGTCCCGTGTGTGCCTTCTTGCGAAAGCGTTTGTAATTCTGCGGCGTCATTGCAAAACACCAGGAGCAGCTGTAGGAGCTTTCCGCAACCTGTGCATCCATTACAACGGGCAAGCCATGGCTGCTTCCAACGACTTCCAAGGGGTGTTGCGTCTTTCCAGAAAGCCTCCGCGCTTCTGAGGGAGCAAGGGGAGCCTCAACAACAACTACAGCAGAAGAGCTGCAGCGGTGCAACTGCCGCGTCTCTCGCAGCCAGCGCAGAGCAGATGCAGGCGCTGCACGACTTAGCAAAGGTTCTCGACGACACCAGCGAGTCATTGGACTGCCTCGCGGAGAACGGCGTCGCTCTTGCGGGATGTGTCGCTGGAGTCAGCGCCGCTAAAACCTCACGCCCTCGAGTCGCCAAGCGGCGAGAACGCCGCCCAGCAAAGAGATACTCTCATAAGAAGACAGCAGCAGCCACGATGCGTTGGAGAACTCAAACACCACTCCGATCATCACTGCCGCAGGTACCGATGCTGCAGATATCGTCACAAGGCACCTTGGGGCATCCCGCTGCTGACGGAGAAGAAGCAGCAGCAACGCAAGCACCGACGATTGATATTGGAAGCCTGAACACAGACCAAGTGCTGGCCTTATATGCGATGCAGGTTTGCACTTTTCAAAGGTTGCGCAGCCACGGTGCGCCTCAGAGGTCTGTGTTGCTCCTCTCAGCGCAAGCAAGCGTGTGCAGTAGAACCCCCCCTAACGTCAAGGAGCTGCAGAACCCACAGATCTGTACGAGCAGCAAACACGCTTCTAACAGGTGGTGATCCTGGTGCCCCAAGGCCAGAGCGCGTTAATAGTGGGCGCGCTCGCAAGAGACATTTAGACAGAGGCCCCCTGAAAAATCCTCATAGACTTAATGCTTAGTGATGGTGCAACTAAATTCAGCAGCCAGTAGCTGCTTGTACCCAAGAAAGCTAAGTGCGACATGCCCCTGACACGTTGGTGGTGTGCAAATCTTGCTGCTGCTCTTCGTGTTCAACTTTATGGGGGCCTGCCTGCATTGATAAACGGGATTTCTGCTGACGCCGCTGCAAAGAAGTGCGTTTGCGTTGCATTCTCTCTCTTTTCGCGTTGACTTTATTTTTCACACGCACGCCAGGAGGCACCGGAGGGCATTCAGCGCCGCCATCGCTCTTTTCCTCTTTTCCTTTTCTCCCTCCCTACCCCCCTCCCTCTGGTTCTCTGAACTGCCAGAGAATTTCTGGCCCCAATCTAGCAGGATGCCTCTATTTAGTTTTAATTCGCACCTAGCAAGGAGTTCATTAGATGGCACATGCGTTCATAATCTTATGTGCAGCGCAGTAGTCCTGCTAGCCCGTTCCATGATGAAACGAAGTCGTATTTGTGTGTGCATGTGCGCCTCGCTAGAGGGTCTGGTTAGCTAGCTGGGAACGCTAAGAGACGGCGAAAAACATGCAGCGTCCTGCGCGCTACCCGATACATGTGACCTTTGCCAGAGCCTTCAGACGACTGCTGTTGCAGAAAGCAGCGGCTCGGCTCTGCCCTCAGGGCAGCAGCCTCAGCCCTCCGCGTAGGACGGCACCCGTTTCGCGACAGTGGGATTTGCGAGCAGCCGGCAATGGCGTTAGCAGACCCCCTGAGCGTCGGGGATTAAGAACGCAGCAGCATTACGCTGCAGAGGCTCGGGGTGCAAGGGTGTAAAGTGATTTGCCTCGGGTGTGCCATGCTCTCCAGCGAGGCTTTGGGCATTCGTGAAGAGCAAATGGAGGGGCGCTTTCTGACACCCTTCAGTCCATCCGAACACCTTGCATAGCTGCAGGCGCCGGGAAGGCTGTTGCCGGCCCTCTGGCAGCCTCGACTGCCTCGACTGCAACAGCGCCAACAGGATTTGCTGGGGGGGAGCCCGCTGCAAGACAGAAGCCGCAGTGCGGCAGTTGCGGCTCCCCTCTGCGGGTTTTTCTCCGCTTTCGAGTGTATAGACAGCTATGGGGCGCCCAAGGGCATGCGCCAGCGCCAAGATCTCCGGCCCGCCACCCCATGTCGTGCGCTCGCGCATGCAGCGGCAGTATTCTTGGGGAGAGCAACCGAATTGCTGCGCTGCCAGACGCAGCAGAGCCTCTCGGCTGACGCTCTCAGGCCCCTCAATCACAAAGCTGTGCACGGAGACGTCCGTCAAGGTGTCCACTGCCAGCTGCGAAGCGCATGCAACCGCGCATCTAATCACACACCCATGCAGAAGTGGGCAAGCCTGTGCAGGCGACACAGAACGCCTGCTCACACCCTAGTGAAAAAAGCCTAGAAGGTACAGAGGCTTGTGAAAGCTCCTGTGGGGGCGCGTTGAGCTTCGCAGGAGGGCCGTCTGCGGAATTTTCCCTTGCATGCATCAACCGCGCAGCTTGCTCACCTTCCTGAGGGAATGTGCTGCCCTGCACAGCGCCTCGGAGCGAAACGCCGCATGCACGCCGAAAGAAACAACCCAGAGAGCCGCAGCTACGGAGGCAAAGAGGCAGGCTCCATCGCCAGTGCTCTGCAGAGAAAGGCGCAAGCACCGCAGAGGAATTTCTAAGGAGAGGGGCTTTAGAAAGCTAACGGCGAAGGAGGCGAGATAGAGAGATCGCCTACTGCCGAAAAGTACAGGGTTGCACACGCGTTCAGATGCATAGGGGCCCTTCGATGTGAGCCAACAAACGCCGCAGGAAGATTCTGAAACAAAGCCTGCCGACACCCCAATGCAGGCACGTGTGTGCAGGCATGCATGCATGCACACAGCTATTCGGCTCTCTGCAGAGCAGCTACGTGAGCACCTCTCGCCAGCAGCAGCACCTCCATCCCCCTACAAGAGCAGCCGCATGCGCTGGTTCGCCTAGACGGAGCATTCACGGCGAGAGCACCAGCAGCAATAGAAAGGGGCTGACAGAAGGACCCCGACAAAAAGGCATAGAGCCGGAGAGAGGCTCCCCGAGTCTGCTTGCAGTGAGGCATCCCCTGCAAATTCCAGCAGCGACAGGCGAGGCGCTCTTGGGGAGGCACTCTGTAAGCCTTCGACATCATGCTTTGCGCTATCGCGGCTGCAGGTCGAGCCGCACGCGCAACACTCCGTGTGGCTGAGATCCTCGCTTTCGGCTGTCACCCCCTGGGCATGCACTAAACTTCAGCCTAAAACAAAGCGTCTCTGTTCACCTGTCTGGCTCGAAGGCGCAGCGGGAAGCCTTCAAGCTCGAAGGTTAGAGGACTCCAGTCTGGATAGGTTTCCCAGGCAGTCGGAGCCGCAGCTTGGAGCAGCAGCTGCTGTAAAATGAAAGACTGCGCTGCTGTGGAAGCCTCAGCGTCTCCCAGCTTTCCCTTTTGGCTGCGGCGCTCACGAGGCGCTAGCAGCCACGTACCCCACAAAACGCTCCTTCTTGCGAATGCGCGAAAAAGGCAAACCGCGGAAAGCAGCAGTGGCACTGCAGCACATAGTAGGAGGCGGTTGCGTCTCGAGAAGCCGCACGAAGCGGCTGCGTAATTGGGGGGGGGTCGGGAAAAGCCTTCTCTCCTGTGCGGAAGAGACGCTTGTTGGGAAAGCGTCCTGCAGCACTCAAAGCCAAGTGCTCCTCTGCAGGGTGCGCTTAAAGGAGGCCTCTGCTTTTGGAAAGGGGATTGGTGCTGAAGGCGCTCCAAGCAAGCTTCTCGGCTGTATCCTGCTAGTCTGCGGGCTGCAGCAGGGGCCCTTTGGAGGCTCAAAAGCGCGAAAAGCAGCAGAATAGGAGCCAAAGGGCTCATGATGACGCATTCTTCGCGAGGAAGTGCGGCATCGGGGAGTGCAAGTTCTCCAAGAATTTCGGCGGGGGGGCCCCCCTCCTCTACGTCCCTCAAGAGCGCGCAGCTTCGCGAGAAAGAGAGAGGAGCACCAACAAATAGAAACATTCAAACCTGCACATACAGTGCAGGAATCGACATTTTTGCCACAATTGCAGCGATATCCCACCAGCGAAGGCCCCTGCGTTTCCCTTCCTCTGTCTGCTGGTGCTGCTGCTGCTCGGGGGGCCCCCCACAGCCGACAGGGTTTCCGTGGGAATCTGAACACTCTCGAGAGGGGCCCACCAGACTGATTATTCATGACGATTTTTTGAATTTGTGGCTTCTCCGACTTGACCACCGAGCTCGGCTACCCAAGAAAGTGATAGACAGAGCACAGATGAAGGGCAGCCAGCAGTACAGATAGAACCGTCAAAGGATGGAGGCGCTGCGGCTCCCAGCAGGTGCAAGAACACCAGCCTCAACGACGGCAGAAACAGTGCACGCAAGAGGGCAGATGCAAAGCTTTGCGTAGAGCTGCGACTATCGTAGCCGAAATATCGGGAGGCAGCGGAGGCTTCGCATGCGCTCTGCTGCACACGCACCTTCTTCAACGGTGTAGCAGGAACCCCAGCAGCAAAGGCAGACACGCGATAGACGGGTGCAAACTGCTCAAGCAGTTCCTCCTCGAGAGGCCTCCCCTTCCAGTCTGCTGGCTCTGCGAAAAATATCTACGCCGCGGGTGGCTCTACACACACACAAGGCGATGGAGCGAAAAAAAAAATTCCGAGGCCACTTAGGATCGATTGAGGCATCCGGCGATGTGCAGAGGGCCCTTCAGCTGGTGTCTTCCGTAGATCTTGTTGCAGCAGATGAAGGCGCTTGGTCGTCTGTCATGACACGCTACGCCCTGTGGCTAACGCCCCCAGACAGCACGGGCAGTGTCTTATGGGGGGAGAGCCTCCCTCCGAGGCTTTGCTCGCTGGAAGCTTTCAAAGAGATGCAGAGGCGGGAGCGGCAGAAGCAGCTGCGGGGAAACATGAGGGAAGAGCAGCCTCCAGTGCCTCCCTTTGCAGCGCGCCGCGCGGAAACAACAGCAGTCGTCTTTGTGTCGTCTTTTCTTGAGAAAGCGCTGCCTGCGCTCGAGGCTCTCGTCCGACTGCTGCCGTCGCTACGTCGGCTAACACTTTGCTGCTTCTTTTCTGTACGTGACGCCCTGCACAAACATCCACTAAAACCTTCATGCAGCTCTCTCTCTTCCCCCTTTCCCTCCCTCCGAAAGTAATGTACTTTCCTTAGGCCAGAGAATCTTGCCAAGAGGACTTGAAAGCACACGCCTCCCGATGTCTACTTGTCTCCTTAGGATGACCAACAGCGGTGGCACGCCCGATGCATGCAACAGTCGCCGCTGTCTGTACAGCGCGCTGTTGCTACATTGCGCAGGCTGAGGGCCTCTGCATGCACCCCCGATGCCATCTCTGACCTCACAGTTGAGACGCTATACACCCCGCTGCATGCGAATACTCTCACCAAGTGCTCCTTTCTCATGGCAGGTATTTTCAGGAGACCCCTTGCCCTTAAGAAAGCGCGGAGAAGATGAAAGGGGTCTCTACTAGATTCCTCTATTGGGCGTTCTCTGTGTGTACATGCGTGAATACATGAATATTCTTGAAAAATACATGTATTATTCATGTTTTCATGTATGTATCTCTATATACTTTTCATACGTTCATATGAATATCCATATGTATCCATACATGTGTATCTGTACGTACACTGTACATATGTCTGTCATGGATGCGGCCCTGCATGGCTGCAGCTGCTGGCAAGACAAGCGTGCAGCTGCAGTGGCGTATTTGCCTCCTGCCCGCAGCTTCTCCTGAAATTCCTTTGATTACTGCTGATTCGACGAAGCGGCTGCTTTCCGCGACGGCAGCAGAAGAGAGGCTGCTGCAGTGGCATCCATCAGGAGCCGCATTAGCACCCGCAGACGCCGACCAGGATGTGCAGCTGGAGGATCTAGCGCTTGAGAATCTTCCGCTTCACCATCGCGTAGGCCTCTGAAGCTGCACAGTGTGGCTCTCAACTGCCTGCTGGGAGGGGGGAACGGGTTGTGCTGGTGAGCTGTGTCTCGTTTTCCAACACGTGTTGGCATGTTTTTGCTTCTCAGGAGGCATACAGCACCCTGGCTAGCCGTCTAGCGGAGTGCTGTGTGGGGTGGGGCTGTCTACCCTCTGCCGTGCATTGCAGTGGCGCTGCTTCGCGGCTGTTAGGCCGTGCCGTTGCTGAGCGAGTTGCTCATAAATCGAGAAGGATGACTTCTGACGCTTCTGCTTTCGGAGGGGGGCCTCCTGGAGAGGCGCAAGGCAGACAGCAAGACTGCGAAGTTGTGCTGCTGATAGTGGACAGGGTGAGGCTTGTCGGCAGCACACGGAAAAGCAGCGTCGTGATTTGTGCGTAATTCGTCTTTTGCGCTTCTAGAGCGTCTGTTTCTGAGATCGCTAATGCTGCATGCAGATTTTAGACATGCAAGGGCCTCTGGCATTCGGAAGCCTCCTCATGCCCTCAGCGCCTCCAGACGGGGGTACAGCGATGCTGCAGCTCTTACAGCGTGTGCAGCAGCATGTGCAGAAGAAGCAGCAGCAGGAGGAGCCACAGGAGCAGCGTGCGCAGCAGCGGGAGCCGCAGGAGCAGCGTGCGCAGAAAAAGCAGGAGCAGCAGCAGCAGCCACAAGAGCAGCACGTGCAGCAGCAGCAGTGTTTTACTTCTTCTGTGCCGCTGGCGAATGGCGATCTGTTGGGTGATAATGTGCGCTGCAGCGCGCATAACCACCGGAGCTTCTGCCTGCCAAATTTTCGCAGTTTTTTGACTAGCGAAGCAGAGACAGGGCTAAATCTGCCGATCTCTTCTGCTGAGTTGAAGGCTGGCTGTCTAGAACGAGAAACCTTTCCTTGCCTGTATCCTCTGGTTTGCGGTTGTTGCGTCGTCTTAGGCTCTAGGAGACTGTCCGCTGCTCCGGTGTCTCTTGAGATGCGGCATGCCAGCGGCACCAGCACTGCCGAAAGGAGCTTCGTCTTTCGAGGCAATCGAGCTCAATGCGCTTGTCAGATTTTTTGCAGCCTTAGATTTGAACCCCTGCATAGCGCAACAGCAGCAACAGCAGCAGCAACAGCAGCAGGAACGACAACAGCAACACCACGAACTCTTGCGCCTCCAGCAATGCCTCGAGAACCGAGCAGCTGCTTATATTGCGAGTGGACGGCTGTTTCAATTTGTTGCATGGGGATCTGAAGGATGTCGCAAGTGCGATTTTACAGCGTGTTATTGTTAGTAATCTCTAGAGGCAGGAGGAGCATACATGGGGGGATCTTGCAGCGCAAATGCCTCCTGATGCGGACTGAAGTTTCTGGCGGGGTATGCTGCTGTTCGTGCTGCTGCTGCTGCTGAGGCTTTGATGTCTCCGCAGGCTGTTCGCTGCTGCTGCGGCTCACAACGGATCTCCTGCAGCGTGGGAAAGCCTCATGAAGGCACTTGTTATGGCCTTTTCACTCCACAAAGACAGCCAGGAGCTCCTTACGGAGAGCTTCCCACAGCTACCGGTGAGACGATGAGGTTCGTGCTTGCTGCGTGGCTCTTTTACTGGCAGCGGATTCTCTGCAGTGTGAACTCGCGAGGCGTGACACACACCCCTGCAGACGTTGGAGTGTTGTGTGTCTCCTTGATTCAGGCAAGCAGCAGCATCACCACCAGCACCACACAGGAGGGGAGACTGACTACGTTGCTGCTTCTGCAGCAGTTGCTAAAACGTGTCTGCGCTGCAGACGCTTGTAGTTGGCGGTTCGCGGCTTTGCAGGTGCTTCGAGGATGATGTTGCTGCTCTTGTTTTTGATGTTGCTCTTGTTGCTCTTGTTTTTGATGTTGCTCTTGTTGCTCTTGTTGCTCTTGTTGCTCTTGCTGATGTTGCTTATTTGCTCTTGTTACTCTTGCTGCTCTTGCTGCTCTTGTTACTCTTGCTGCTCTTGTTGCTCTTGTTGCTCTTGCTGCTCTTGTTGCTCTTGCTGCTCTTGTTACTCTTGCTGCTCTTGTTGCTCTTGTTGCTCTTGTTACTCTTGCTGCTCTTGTTACTCTTGTTGCTCTTGTTGCTCTTGCTGCTCTTGTTACTCTTGCTGCTCTTGCTGCTCTTGTTGCTCTTGTTACTCTTGTTGCTCTTGCTGCTCTTGTTACTCTTGCTGCTCTTGCTGCTCTTGTTGCTCTTGCTGCTGTTGCTGCTCTTGTTGCTCTTGTTGCTCTTGCTGCTCTTGCTGCTCTTGTTGCTCTTGTTGCTCTCGCTACTGCTGTTCTGCCGCACTTGCTACCATTTGTGCTGGAGAGAGCCAGCCGCTTTAGGGCTTTTTCGCAGTGGCTTTGCATGCGGTGCCTATGCCTGTCGCTACCCCTACCGCAGCTGCTACTCTGCTGTTGCTGCAGGCGCATGTTGCTCTATGGCCGTTGCTTGAGTTTGTGGAAGAACTGCTGTTACCAGCAATACTGCTTGCAGCAGATTGGGTAGCAGCTGTAAGGGCATTTCCTGCGCTGCACACACCACATTCCGCTTTTTCCCCTAGACCTTATGCCTGCTGCTTGTGCTCCTTCCTTTCACTTGCTGCATCGACTTATGCATTCAAAAGACTAGATGAACAATCCCTATCCAAGGTGTTTCTGCTCTGTTTTCTCGACGCCTGACCGCAGGTACATGAGCAATCAGAGGCGAATAGCTCTCTCTCCCGCGGTGCGTTGCATTGCGCTCCTTGTTCCCCTAGAATTTCCATGCAATATTCTGCAACTGCCACACTGCTGCTGCTGGCGTCTCGTAAGCAAGAAACTCGCTACACAAGGCTAGCCGCCTACCCAGCAGGCGGCTTTCTTTTCTCCTCGCATTCTGTTGCGCCTGTTTGCCAGATTCATGCAGAGTGCTGCGAGTATGTCCTCCCTCAGGCAGTCCTGAAGCTCTTCGGAAATCCCTTCTGCTCGCTGCAGCTGCGGCTTCCCTTGCTGTACATCTTCTTTTGCCCCTAGTGCCTCCTCGCTTCAGAGGAGTCGCCACTTTCTCAAAAACTCGCGCACTTGCCCTCCCTCACGCCAGTAAACGTCCCCATGAGGGAGATTCAAATAACAGCTCCGCTGTTTCGTGTCATGAATGAATGTCTTTTTCAGGGCCCTGATGCGGCCCCTCCAGACCTTTGCAGCCGCTGCAAAGACAGCTGCACCTGCTGGAAGTGCCTGATGGAGAAATTTCCCGACATTCGGAGCAGCAGCAACGGCGGCATGGCCAGAAGCGCTGCCATCGCTACCCGCCTCTGGAGTGTACAGCAAGCTCGCGCCAGCCTAACGGATATGCGGTAAGCTGCGAACGGGAGTTGACTGATTAGGTGGACGTTGTTCTGCCTATCTCTTTGCGAAATTTTGGGGGAAAGCCTCTCTGAAAAAGGGCCTCCTTATGAGCCCAGAATCCGCCTTGCCACATTCTACCCAAGGCATCATTGCTGTAGCATGATGCATTTTAGTTACAGCTTTTCCGTGGATCTCTGTCTGATGCACTGAGAGAGAGTCAACGGTGGCTTTGGTCGCATGCGTCGCATTTCAGGCAACTATCTCCAATACCGCATCTTCTGGACATGTACACCGGGGCGGCAGAAAAGGTGGTAGGGGCCCCCGGAAGCCTTCGGGGGCCCCCCTGGTTGCTATCTCTTGCTCGTGCTCTAAAAGACACTCCAGGAGAGACCTCCGCCTTTGCAGATGCTCCACAGGCCGAAGCGCCTCTCCTCGAAGGTTTCCTCAAGAGAGGCATTTCGTACGGGAACCACTCTCTTTTAGAAGGTTCCCAAAGAGAGTCCCCCTTTCTCTTCTTCCATGCCAAGCCTCCCTTCATACGAGTCTCTTAGATCTGCCTTTTAAGCCGCCAGTGTTTCTGGCGCTATTTGGAGCTGCACTATTGTGCCGCATGGGGGGAGGGGGCGGAGCAGGGCCCATAGCACTAGCGCTTCTAGAGTTTCAAGGGCCTCTCTCCTCCGCATGCGCGCGCGTGTGTTTACCCCTTATGTGCGCTTGCAGAACGATGAGCTTTCTTTGGGGAGTCGCAAAGAGCGGAGCCGAGGCGGTGGCTGGCAGGGACCGTTCCTCCCCGGAGCAGAAACCAACGACGCAGACGGCTCCTAGGCGTTCTGTCATCGTATTTGTGCTTGGGGGACTGGCCCCTGCGGAGCTTCAGGCATTCGAGACACTTGAAACCAACAAAGAGGATATCGGGTGCTCAAACGGCACACCTTTCCTCGTCGGGAGCACCTGCCTGACATCCCCGGCCCGACTCGCCTCGGCGTTGTTCGGTGACCTCATAGATGAACAAGAGGCTAGCCAGATAGCCATTTAAAGATTTAGCAACCTTCCCTAGCATTACCCTGCTAGTGAACGTCCTCTAAAGCTATATGTGATGCCTTGGGCTCCTTTCTACGTACTAGCTGGAAGGGAGCAGTGGCCAGTCTCGCACACGCAGCGTAGGCTGCTGTAGTTTAGCCTCATGAGACCTAGATGCCTTATTGCCTCCACTCCAGAAATACTGCTCGTAAAACACAGGGATCTCAAGGCTCGAGAAGGAGGCTTAGAAGATCACAGGATGAGATACAGGGGGAGAGAACTAATTACAGCCGCTGTGCAGGTGCTTTCTCCTCTCGGTTCTCAGGCTGATTCTGTCTATATATCTCTCTCTCTCACCACTAATCTGCCTATGCACAGACTTTCAGGGCCTGCTGTCATTCTACGAAGCCACAATACATCCAGGAGTTTCAGTGCAGGCACTGTATCTCGAGCTTCTGTATTTCCCAGACAACTGGCAGGCTGCAAGTGTTTGTGATAGAGGCACTCTGTAATGATTCTCCCATTATGAAAAACAGAAACTTCTTTTACGTGATTATGGTGGACAGTTCAAAGGTTCTTAGGGAACTTGGTGCGGGTACAGGTAACATTCTCTAGCTTCCTTTAGCGGCAGCAAAGTGAAAGATTCATGGAAATTTCGTGTGCGTGAGGACAAAAAAGCCGGCGCAGTGCTAAGCAGTTGCCTATTACAGCTGATAGTATGCTTACATGATACTCAGAGAAAAAATGATATCATGAAGTTGGAGTCATACAATGCAGTTAACCTTTTGTGCCTGCATGGTGAACCAGGAAGGCGTACTGCTGTACTGGTTGGCAGCGCCCTGTTCTAGCAGTTTCTCACTTTCTCTCCAAGTGTAGCCCGAAAATTTCAATCTTAAAAAGGAACATAATGATATTACAAACTCTTTTGTAGGCAACCAAAGTGCAAAAGATGCAGATCACCGGTCAAAGAGAGCAAAAGCAGTGGACCGGGCACACAGACCGTGTGGCAGTCGCCGGACAAGTACGAGGGATGCTTCCGTAGCGCGCCCCGATATCTTTCTTGTTTAATGCCAACTATTTTCTAAATGCCTTCTTTCTATTAAGAGGAATTCATGTATGTCGACAGTCTTTTGTTATGTGCACGCCATTTCGTGCTGCTTTCGGGTGCTCGCGAGGTTCATGGCGCCGGTGCTGGTATGCTGAGATGCAACGTACAATAACGGAAGCCGTTTCGGCTGAGGCAAAGTGTAGATGTCTTATGAAGTCTTCACCCGCCCTCTGTGCGCTATCTCGTGTTCGCCCCTTGCTCCCCCGCCAGGATCTGTGGGCCCCTGCCACATAGTTCTGTGGTTCACTTGCATACACGGTACACGTATGCCTGTTTTTCTCTCTCAAGGGAACTACTGGTACTGCAAGCACCCCGTCTAGTGTCTCTCTTTTCCCTTCACGGGAAAGTTGTTTCGAAGTTGTTTTTTTCTAGCCCGTAACTTTTTCTGGGCTTTCCTTGTGAGGGGTTTCATGTCTTTTCTCCAGATTCCCCGTGACGAGGGCATCCGCTGACATCGTCACCTCAAGGTTGTTGTGCAAACACCTGAGGACGCTGGCTACTCCGACCGATTTGTTCATCAAACGCGCACCAACAGAGTAGCAGAAGCAAGCAGCAGGTCTGGAGTGTACAGGACCCGTCCGATCTGCAACGGGGGCAGATACGAACGAGAAACGTTTGCTGCATATGTGCCCTGAATTTCTTGGGCATTCGCCGTTTCCTGCTGTCTCAAAATGAGTAAATCGCTCGTGGCAGCAACAAGCGGTGCCCTTGCCGCCTGCGCTTCCACTGTCGCTGTTTTCCCGCTGGACACATTGCTCGTGCATCATCAGGCCTCGGTGTCAAAACAGCCGAGGACGTTGTTGCAGCACCAACAGAAGCGGCATCGGAGTGTGTTGCAAGCACTCATAGATGCGCTGCAGGAGTTGTTGCAGCAAGAAGATGCAGCCTCCGTCGCGGGTTCTACCCCGAAGACGCGTCGGCACAAAAGCACACTTACTGACCTCGTCAACCGTATCAGCCGCCTGTACAGTGGCCTTGGTATCAAATTAGCCGAGCAGGTTGCACGGAATTTCGTCTACTTTTACTTGTATGCCTAGTCGTGCCTCAAATAGACTCCTTTTCCGCACATTCCTGTCCATTTCTGTACTTTTCTAGAGAGAGCCTGTTGCACTGGTGCCATTTTCTGAGGCGCAACAACTGCACACACAGTCCCTTGCGTGTCTCCCTGGCCTGTGGTGTTTGTGGTTGCGCTGCTTGCCATGCGGCGCTCACAGATATCAAGCCTTGAAAAGCCGAGCAGCAAAACGCTTCGGCTCATTAGGAACGGCTGGAACCTTGTTGATGGCTGTTCTTGCGGCACTGGGAACGCAGCTTTTGACGGCTCCTCTTGATGTTACCAGCACGCATGCGCAGCTTTGCAGATTACCGCTGCGCACGATCTTCCTTAGAATCCTCCGCACCGAAGGTCTCCCCCAGCCCCTGCTGCCGTTGTTGCCGCTGCTTGTGCGCTTGCTGCTGCTGCTCTTGCCGTTGGTGATGTCGGCGGCAGAGGGCAAACAGCATTTGTAGACGTGTTCCTGCGAAGAGGCCAGTGGTGCTGCGTCTGTGATGGTGCCTTTTTCGTCAGACTGTGGGCGCGCGCGCACTTATGGGATGCCTCCACGGTTGCAGCCACTGCTGACGCTGCTGCTGCTGATGCAGCCACTGCTGATGCAGCCACTGCTGATGCTGCTGCTTTGCTGCCGATATTTGTACCTGCAGCAGGAGCGCTATGAGCGCCTTTGTTTGTTGAGGCTGCATGTGCTGCATTGCGGTGTGTCTGTCGCGACAGGCCCGTGGGGCTTTTATCGTGGGTTTGGAGCTGCGCTGTGCCTCTGTGCAAATCCTGCCATCACCAACGCAACTTTTGACAGCCTAAAGTACGTTCCGGAAGGCAGCAGCACGTGCAGTCAGGGGGAGAGGCTTCCCGCCTCTCCTTCTGTTGCCTCGTGCGTGGATGCTAGTTACTGCTTTTAAAAGGATGCGAGGCTAGGGAAGCGCCCAGCGGTGCCTGAGGTGCAGGAGCCTGTCCTATGTGTTGCCTTGATGATTGCGGCGCGACGTTTTCAGGCTGTGGCTGCAGATGGTCAATTTGCTAAGGTCTCGTCGTTTTATGGATCCGATCACGGATGATGATACACCTGTTGAGCGCTTCGGAGTAAGTTCGCCTTTCGGAGGGCTTCCTGATTCGTTTTTTTCGCGCTTTTCCCGCTGCCAGACAGTTCCTAGCCACAACACACTCTGCACTCGAATGTGGTGTTTTTGGCTTCACGACATGCGTGGGCATGCGGCTAGAGGTGCTCGAAAACCTCCTCGTCCGCTTGCCTGCGGCACTTTAGAGAGGCAGCGAGCTGCTGATGCTCTGTGGAGTCGGCGGCTTGGGCTGCTTTCCTGCAGAGCCAGAGGGAGAGACTTGCTCCTGCGGTAGTATTGCTGGCTTGTAGGCAGATTGCTGGAGCAGATGTAATTGCGTTCACTTCTGACGCTTGCTTGCTGTCTGTGAGCTGCGCTGCAGCAAGTCTTGCCGCCCCTCACTGCCCTTCAGAGCTTTTTGCTTGGAGCCATATCGAAGGCGTTCGCCACGGTTGCAACGTATCCCTACATTCGCGCAAAGGTGCTTCCGATCGTAAACGCTAGACTGTACCGGTGCTGTCTGTTGGGAAGCTTGTGTCTCCTGCCTCTTCCTAAGGGGGGAAGGGGAGTGGAGGGGAAGGGGAGTGGAGGGGAAGGGGGGCAGATGATTCTTTGGCTTCCAAGAGGCCTTTTTCTCCCCCCCCCCATTGCTCCACTGCCTGTAGAGGAGGAGAGATGCGGTGTTAGATACACCTGCACGTCTGTTTATTGCCCCACAAGCGCGCTGTCGGGAAAGGGGTATGCGAGGGGGGAATGGGGGGAGGAGGATGACAGGGGTTGGCTGGCAGAGTCAGATGCCATCGTATGGAGACTCGACAGGAATCCTTATTGCCCTTAGGTGCTGCTGCAAGCTCGCCTTTTGGAGAGAGGCGCAAAAATGCATGGCAGCTCAGACAGTTGCCAACAAGAACACCAAGAGTGAGAGCTTAATTGCGAATTTTGCCTCTCCCGTTCTCTCCACTTGCTTGCCGCTCCTGCCTCTACAGCCGCAGCTGCTGCAGAAGACAGCAGCCCGTGCTGCAGCTGCTGTTTCCTGAACAGTGCATGTTGTTTGTGCCCCCTGCTGCATCCCTCCTACTCCTGCCTTTTGCACTCGCTGATGCCAGATTGGCTCTAATATCGGGAGGCACTGGCTCGTCTTCTACGCCTTGGCATGGGGTGGGGAGACTGCCAAGTCATGCAACTTCTGAGGGGGAAGGTCTAGATATTCGAGAGCTGCCAAGGGCAGGATCTATGGAGCCTCAGCAGCTGCACACGCTCACGCAGCAGCAGCAGCAGCAGCAGCAAACAAAAGTGCCCCGTGCGCTGTCTGTACAGTCGGCGCTGGATAGGGAGTTGCAGGTGCAACTGATTGCTGCAGCACCGACCTCGGCATACATCTGTTCAGACGTGAGCGACTGCACGCATGGGGGGAAAAAGGAAAGGGGGCTGCTGGTCGTAGGGGATGTACTAAACGCTGGGAAGCCATAGTGCAGTTGGGGGGCGTATTTGGTGTCTTTCTCGATGGAACGTCTGCCTGGAAATTTGAGGAAAACGCCTCTCCCTCAGGCCCTCTTTCTGCGGTGCAAAAACGGTGCTCATTATACATGTCTATCCGTGTCTGCATTGCGTTTCGTGCGGCAGCAGAATTTGCGAAAGCCGGCATCCTTTTGTCTCTCCGATTGCAGCGAGGTAGGGAAGGGGGGGGGGGGGGAAGGGCTGCTAGCTTCCTTCTCCCACGCCTTTCTTTATCCCCTCTTTCGTCTTTTTCTCCCCTCCCTGTCGCACTCTTGCCCTCTCGTTCCTGTCTAGTGAAGGGCCCCTGCGGAAGGAGGATAAAATAGTGACGGCAGGCGCCTCTCACGCCGACAGAGACCACGGGGAGACTGTGTATTCATGAGGTTTAGAGCAAGAGAGAGAGATATATGTATATCTATATATCTATACACATATATATAGGCATATTTTTCGCGAGAAGTGCGTCAGAACCCTCCAGACAGTTGTTGATCGGATGTCGGTGTGTAAGAGGAGGCGAAGGCTTCGAGCCGGCTGCTCGGCGCAATTTGTGGAGGACTGCTGCGACGTTTTCTGAACGCAGGCGGGAGGCTTCGGCATTTGCACAAGTTCGGAGGATAGCTCCCCTCCGCCTTCTGGAAGCTCTCGACCCTCGAAAGACGGCTGTCTGCACTCGCCCCTATCGGATGAGGTTCGTCTCTCGACGTCTCTTTTGCATTCGCGTCTGGTGTAGCAGTCCGCTGCCCACTGAGAGCGCGGCTCCTTTTCTCCTGCGTGACACACACGCACCAGCAGGGGGCAGGCGGGAGGGGTGGAGAGAAGATCGCTGGTAGAGGCCTCTCTCTGTTCACGAAAGCGCTCTGTCGCACTCCCTGAGGTTTCACAGACACCAAGTTCTCATCGTATCCGTTCGGTGAGGGGCGCAGTCCGTCAGAGCGGGCTGCGCTCGCTGATGCTGCCTTGCGATCGGCGCTCTAGACGTTTGTTTGCATGCATGCATGTGTGCGTCTGTCTGTGTCTGTGTCTGGGGGGGGAATGGGGGTGGCTGCAGGAGGGAGAGGGAGGCATGGTCGCCGTGCTAGTCTCCGCGCTCATGCAAGAAGGCTTTACGGGGCTGTATAGGGGGCTTGGACTGCAGCTCCTTAAGACTATATTGGCTGCTTCCATTCTTTTTCTCTTGAAGGAAAAGCTACAATCGCAGACGGCACAAGTAGGCTTCCCTTTCCCCCGCCTCCCTCTTTTCGAGCGGCGTTCTGTGAGTATCGGCATGCCAGGCCTCTTGCGCGTAGAGCAAGCAGCGCCATCTTCAAGCCTCTGCTGCTGCTGCTCTCCGAGTGGTTTGTGCTGCCGTTGCGCATGCATAGCTCATCGAGGCACCAATGCATGCTTTCGAGTCACACGGCGTCGTGGACGGCACAGACCTGCTGCTGCCTCGAGGCTGCCGCCTTGTTCTGTCCTGCCTCTTCTTCTCTTTTTTCGCAGACTTTCGCGCGCGTTGAAAGGCTATTCGGCAGCAAGCGGCGAAAGGCTCCTTATACTCAAGACCCCCCCCCTGCGCGTGGAGCGTTTTAGGCCGTCGAGTGGCATTTTATTGCCAGAAGGCGTTCGCAGTCCGTGCATGCACGTCAGGTGCTGCTACACACCTAAACGGGTTTGATACGCCGCTCCCTTCTGTCGTGATTGTATCTAGGAGGTGTTAGTATGCCTTGTGCAAGGCGAGAATATGCGGCCTCTAAAGTCTCTCACGGGGCCCCCTACACACCCCCCGCAGTGGGCTGTGAATGGGGGAGAAAGCCTCGCACTGGCTGGCACTTTTCTCGAGTTTCTCTCCTCCCTGCCACGACTTGCGACGGCAACACGCAGTAGGCGGCGTTGCGCGTAGGCTCAACGGCCGCAGCACTGGAAGCCGATGCTCGCCTTAAATTACAAGCTTACTTTACACTCCTATATTTAGTGTCGCTCTTGCACCTCTCTCAAAGACGCCCAACGCGCATGCGCGCATTAGCGCCAACAGGAACCAACCAAAAAACTGAGGGCGACAATACAGGCAGGATACGCGAGGCTTTAAGGCGCATACCGTGGGAGAGGAGAAAGAGGTCTCTCTAGGGGTTTTTCTTGCATTGCTACGCCGCGCTACGCACTGTGCTCGAAGGCAGGAAACGCATGTGCGCCCTCGCCACAGAGCATGCATCATGCAGTCCAAAACGAGCTGTTTTCCCCTCCAATATAGGGGGTAAGAAGGCGGTGTGGGGAGAATCGCACAACCCCGGATGCCGCTGTGCAGCGCAGCGAGATCAGTTTGACGGTAGACAATTTCTTGGTGATGCACGGTTTAGAGAGGGAGGGTCACTGCTGTAGATGCCTGTGTGAAGGGTGAAGGTGTATTACTGCTCTGCAAGACTACACCACTAAACACCCAGAGATATATAGAATGTGAGTGCTTTCTCTGCAACTCTGTCCAGATACGATAGGGCAGGTGGCGAAGCGCATCTCTGATAACGGCTTGCCAAGTTTCCTCTTCGCCGCTCTTGGTCGAGAAACGCACATTGGTGCCACGAAGCCTTATTTCGTCTCTCTAGGATGCCCCTGTGTGTGGCGCTTATTTGCACCCTTCTCCCCCTCCACCCAACTGTCTGCCCCCTGCCAGCATAGTCCGTAGAATGGCATGGCGATCTAAAAGAGAGCTAAATCCTCACGACCTGCAACCGCAAAGCATGCGAATCAATGGACCGCAGTAGTACACACACCCACACACGTCCTTCCCCCTAGTGCCACCTTCGACTGTTTTTCCTCCGCCCCCCTCAAAACAACGCAGACATGTGCATGCGCAAAACCACGAGCAGACGGAAAGGGCAATAAAACAAGGGGTCCATGCAGGCTGCGCTACCTGCGGCCTAACATGCCTCTCATAAGACTGATCGCAGATGTGCGGGTCCATACATTTTCATGAAGGCACCAACCACCCCATTGCACGCTATATGACCAAATCCACATGTATGAGCAGATACATGGGCTGATGCGGTTTTAGATGTGGCTTCACTTCATAAGGATGTGCTACGCAGAAGCATCAGTAAGAGGCAACCGATACACACACACCGGTAGGTGGTATACACAACCAAACGGCGGCGATCACCAAGCCTGGCCTTTACGTAGATATAGATATAATATCCATGTTGCATTTATATCTACGTGAGTTATGGTACGCCTGCATGTATTTTTTTAAAACCTCAAGCCTTCTTTCTGCCCACCCAATCCACGCTCACCTTCACGCCCTGCCTCTGCTCGCGCCTCTGCTCGCGCGCCGCCTTCTTGGCCTGTGCTTCTTGAGCCTTCCGTCTTTGCTCTTCAGGCAGCTTCTCGATTGCCTTCTCCTCTTCCCTCTTACGCTCCTGGCGTCGCCTCTCGGCTTCCTGTAGACGCGAACATAAGGCGGCACTTGCAAGCCAAGCCGACGTTTTAGCGAAAGAACACCAAACACGCTAAAAAGCAACATCAGGGCTTTACTTGTGCTGGAACACACAATGCAGAATCGCATTGATGAACATGTACACATAAAAGGCGAGAGAGAGAGAGACCGATATTGACAGACAGAGAAAGCGAAAAAATATAATGAAGGGAGGGCTGTTATTCTGGCGAGCCCGTTGTAGCTTCCTGCCCGCCCCTAAATTCATGAGCATTGTCTGTCTGCCCTTCTGTATGTCTTCCCTTCTGCTTGCCTGAACGCCGATACACCGCTGTCAGGACGGTCTTTTCCCCCTCACTCCCTGCCTGCCTGCCTGTAGCTCGTGGCATCCGCTTACCTCTTGTTGCTCTTTTCTTCGAGTCTTCTCCCGTTCCTTTTCGTATGTCAGACGCATTTTTCTGACGGACTCGCGGCACTGCAGTGGCAGGCGCATGCATGTACGGGGAGCAACAGCCGCTTTTCGTTTTGCTGATACAGTTTCACGACTGGAGTGCGCGGGCTTTGCGGTGTACAGGCAGATAGGTGTACGTGCGTCCAATGTATCCCATTTCGCGGCTTCCTCAGCGCGCCCGCCTCTAGGAGGCCCTAAGTGTTTGCTTGCAACAAGCGTCAAGAACAGAGAGTGCTGCCTTGGCGTGCCGCCAGCCGTGAGAGAAAGGGAGAGACGCCTTCACAATTTTGCTATTGGGTGCAAAGGCAGCGCCGCGGTGCATAGCAATAGGACCCTCGCAATTGCACTCTTCGCCCCCTTGAATGCCCAGCTCTGTCCTTCTCTCACCGCGTCACTGAGGCGGAGAGATGCCAAGGCATCTACCAGCTTGCAAGCGACAGCCACTGGCAGTCTGCAGGCAGCACATACACCCCCTACAAGGCATGCGTCATCATGCGGAAGGACCCCTAATCACACTCCACACTTCCTCGTGCGCGCTCTCTTGTGCAAGAGGAAGTTAATAGCAACCTCACTGGCCCTCGACGTAGTCATATGCTTCTCTCAAAGAATATGCCATGCATATTTAAGTATTAGCTCTGCCACAGACTCCGCATCCCCTCTAGCACCCAGCAACGTTTGCAGCGGCTGGCTGCGCTACCTCGCATCAAACTCCTCATCTTTCTCGGGCAAGATGTAATTCAGCCGGAGAACCCGCTTGCTGTAAACACAAGCAGCAGTAGCGGCAGCAGCACAACAGCACCGAGCTCGACGATACGGGATTGGCTGTCCATCCATCCGGTTCCTTTCCAGTTGCTGCAACTTCCTCATCAGCATTTGCTTCAGAGTTTCTGCTGCCCGTTGTAAAAGGCCGCATGCACAAACGTGCAGGCCTTTCAGTAAAAGGTGGGTGCGCGCATGCCTCCTCCTCTCCCGCCTCTCCCTCCTCTTCCTCCCTGCCTCCCTCCCTCAATTCCCCCATCTCCAGAATCTATCTAGCCGTGTGTCAGTAGCCTTTAGCATGATCGCAGGCAGCAGCAACACGCAACAGCAGCTCTGGGCCTTACGGCTTGTTGGCGCCTGCGGCGGCAGTGCCATAGACGGCGGCGATGGTGGCACTGAGCGCTGGGGGCGTGTTCGTGCACAGGTCTGAGGTGTATATACACCTTAAGTACGGCGCGAGCTGCTGCAGTAGCTTCTGCAGTCCTGGAATATCCAGAATTTTCTCTGCCGCCTCCTGTGTATCCGAAATCACGGAAAAGCCCTCGGGCACTTGGCTGAGCAGGTTAGCCGATTGACGGCTCTTACAAAACTCTGTCTGACGCAACACAGCATGCACGCACGCAAGCATATACATGCACGCATGCATTCAAGAGTACCAGCAAATGCAGCGACATCCCATGGGGCAGGAGTGGCGCTACTTGGGATGCGCCAGCACAGCAGCGAGCGGCAGCGCTCGCAAGTGTGGTAATAGTGAGGGTTGCCCTTACGACATCCCATAGAGCTTCAACAAACTTGCGTTGCTCCAGCCGCCTGCAGATGCCGAAGATCATTCCCTCTCCGCACTCAGGCAACAAGAATTCCAGTGTCACTTCGTCTCCCACACAATTCAAGAAGCGGCGGAAAACGTGGCCCTTCCACAGGTCTTGGCGGGAGATGCACTGCAGTCACATAACGCTCAGCACTTTCGAAATAAGGATTTCCCGAATGCCACATGCAGTTCGCCGGAGCTGGCGGGAATGATGCATACGCGGCATGCGGAAGCTTCTTTAACTTCAGCAGTGAGAAGGCTGCGGCGGGGATGGGAAGCGTTCATGTTTCCCTGTCCCGTTGCGTGTAAGTTCATAAGTGTTTGTGTGTGTGTGTCTGTGTGTGTGTGTGTTTGTGTGTGTCTGGGTGAATGCGGAGGGCTGTAAAGGGGGGCTAACTCCCGTAGCAGCCGCCTCCCGCCGCAGCTGCTGGCTGCTACGGGAGTTAGCGTATTCGTGTTGCGTGTGGAAAAGGTGGACGGACTTGCAGCGTGGCATGCATAAACATGCAGTTGCGCCGTCCAGAGCAGAAGAGCTCAAACTCGTTGTAGGAGCGTGCAGAGAGAGCGCCATTGTTTGCTTCCGCTACGGATGCAAATTGATTTTCAAGGAGTTCCTTAACGCTTTGAAGCCTGCACGAGACCACAGCAAGGCGAAGCCTTCAGAGCGGCGTTGCCTTTCCGAGAAAAACGAGCGAAGAAAAAAGGAGCGGCGTGGCAACGAAAGGGAGGGAGAGGGGAACCGGGGCGCAACAGTCGCTCGCACGCGAGTGTGCTTACCACTGCGCAGCAATACGCTTGTTTTCCGCCTTGCCTTTGAAGGCTACAACGATCACGAGGATAAGCGTCAGAAGGGCGGCGCAGTCCACGACTCGGTAAGAAAGCATGAGGTGCCAAAGGCTGAGCACCCAGTGCTCAGTCGCAGGAGGGCCCTGCATGGATGCTGCAGCGGAGGCAATTTGTTCATTCGCTGCTGCGGCATCCGCAGCCAGCAGCACACACATATGTACACACACACATAGACACACTCCTGCAATAAGAGACAACTGGACTGGCTGCCGAAAGCGGGCAGAGACGCAAGACTTGGGAGCCACCAGGCGCTCGACGCGAGATGGACTGCTTACGCTGCTTTTGGAGGGTAGCAGCCGTCATAGGCCCCCCATGTTCAGGAAGTCGCTCAAAGGCACTGGGGATGGGTATGTCATCGGGAGCCTCCTCGAACTCGGATTCGTCGTCTTTCGCCCATCCGTGCATCACAGACAAACAGAAAACACGCAGAAACTTTCAGACGGCGCGTGCGTGCAGCAAGAACTGCAGCTCGAAGCAGACTCGCCACACCCCAATACATACATATTCGCACCTACAGCCATAAACGTGTCCATAGACCAATGCGCATACACACTTATCCGCATACGCAGAGGTACACGGGCATATGATCACCTACGTGTAAACCCACATACACACACAACGGCCAGTGGAGCACTGGGTGACCCCAGACCCCCTTCGCGCATCATCAGGGGCCTCTATGCGTGCATGCAACACGCGATCGCTTATCACGCTGGAGGTAAATGGAGGCAGGAAACAACTAGTAGTAGTTCTTTAGCTGCTGCAGGGATCCTTCCAGCTAGGGGTGGCATACAATTCACCATACAAGGGCCCCAAAAGGCCCCAATGACGCGAGTTCCCCCCCCACACACAGTTGTTCATATAGGAAACTCCAACTGCGAACGCTTCCACTAAACCTTTCTCCCCAGGATCCTCTCGGGAAATTCAACAGGCGCCATCGACCCTGGGTTCCTCGAGAGCGCACCTTCTTCGATGCTCACGGAGTTGTCGAGGATACTCCCTTGCGTTGCTTGGGAGGCCTCGTCTGACGATGTAGGATCCACCGAGACGTGCACCTCGGGTTTGTTTCCCTCTGCGCTTACTGCTGGTAGGCATGGGAGCAGTGCCAGATGGGCAATGGCGGCCAGGTATATTAGACTCCCCCTTCCAGCAACGCACTTCATTATGGAGCTTGCTTCCTTGTCAACGGTAGAAAGAGGTGTTAAAATGGTAGGGGGGTCCCGTGAGGCACCTCCCACGGACTGCCGATACACCTGGCAGGACCCCTGGCAGACAAGGGCAACCGAGCGAGGATTTGGCTGCCTTACACTGTTGTTTTGTTTAGACGCTTCCTAAAAGTGGGGGAAGCCTTGAATATGAGACTGCTATTTCCAAGTAGCGTCCAGCGACTGCGCCCGTTTGCAGTAGGGGTCCCTGATTCTGCAATGGGGGGGCCCTCCCTCCACCGCAGCCATGGGCAAAATAACTACACATGAGTTGTCATAGAACAAAAAGTCGCTTTGCACGTAGATATTGAACAATTTTTCATGGTTGTTTTTTTAATTTGTTGCACTTTAACTCTTCTCTGTATCTCTCCTTTGGCGCTGTTCGGAGGGCTGGGACACCCCTCATCACGCCTCGCCTTCAAGGCACGGCCTTCTCGCGTTAAGCTGCCAAAATTACGCCTAGAAATCTCATTAAGTGTCTTTCAGTGGGGGCTCTTGCTTGAATACTACTCCGCTCAGTGTCTGGCGCCGATTCCAGCGAGGTCTTCTATTCAGAGCTCTGGATGTGCAATGCCCTGCTGGGATGGATAGGTCTCAAGTCCCTCCTTTCTCAAATCAGTATACGTTTATTGTACCCTTTGCATCTTCATCGTATTAGTGCTTTATCCTTTCGCCATTCGCAATTTTGGCGAAAGCAGCGGATGATGGTCAGAACCGTAACACGCACGCACCTTGCTAGAAACCTCGAATCAGCAGACAAAAGTGCTTGCGTTGCACCATGATGAACCACTAGGGCATCTCGAAAATCCACCGGCGATATCGGTGGTGAGGCCCATGATACACTCTGAAGTTGTATCTCGGCAGGCATCCCAGCCAGCGAGTAACTAGGATTAGCGCGTGGCTGATAGCTATTTGCAAGCTTGCAGAAGGGCAGTCTAGGCAATAAAATGACTCCCCCACACTAGAGCCGGCAGTTCTGCACTCCCCACCTTTTCCCGCATGGGATTCAGTTTCCGCGTTTCGACGAAGCCATGAAGAGTACAGCAGTGAATATTTGGTGATTTAAAGTGCACACAGCTTGTTGGGGAGAGCAGCATCAATAGCTCGTGAATAGCCCTTTAGAAAAACATAGCGCACATAATAGGCCGGCAGATTAATCAAAAGAGTTGTAAGAATTGATAAACGTCCTTGCTGCGGCATTGTATTCCGCTGTCTAGATCATAAGACAGCCGTCTTTCAAGTGGATCAGTCAAAGAATCACCAGTGCTAGCAAACAAAAGAATGAAATCTCGGCAATAAAATGCAAATCCATAGAACTTCGCAACATTCTTGCGGGTGTGCATGGGTAAAGACCGCGCCTGGATTGCTTCAATTCTGCAAGGTTTGGATAGATTCCTGCAGGCAAACAGACGAAATATTGAAAGCAGCACCGTGCTGCTCTGAAATCAGTTACGCGTGTGCTGTGGGTGTTCGTGAACTCTTTGGCACCATACTAGAAGTGCACCCATGTACACAGATATTCACTCTTTGTTGTTACGCTCATGAAATCCTGGCTGAGATGCTGTTGCACTACAGCTGGGGAATGGACATTTCCAAATGACATACAGGCATCCTCGAACTTTTGAGTGCGACCGTGGAACTTATGTCATGGTGGTGAACGAGCATTTGTAAAAGGGTGTCCGTAGAGTTAGATGTCGATTGGGCTGAGAATTGGGGAGGGGCTACAGCTTTGTACTGATCTGGTTGAAGGGCTTCAATGTGACGCACATAAGAGACCTCCCGCCTTTTGTCGTACTAACACCGGGCTAAGACAAAGGTGCTGGTCGAATTCATTCACTTCGCCTTTTCTCACAAATTATCAGCGTGCCGCCCAGCCTTGGCTACATGCCATGGGGGCCACCGATACTGCGAAACTGAACCTGGGGCTGCCCGAGGAATTATCTAGATACGATGCGCTAGCGAGCTTTTTATGTCTAGGTATACCAATCTCTTGGTAGAAGTTCGTGTTCAGCTTTTCAAATTTTTAAAAAGCTTGCTGCTTAGCTGATCCTTCATAAACCCATGAGGCATGGCGTGTATGAAGGCTTGAAGTACCGCAACCCATACAGGTAGGCGACTTATTCTGCTTAAATAAAGCCACCATCTAATCGTTTTCCCGTCTAACAAAGAAAACACCACAGGCGTTTTATCTCTTCATCTAAAAGGCAAACAGCGAGGAATATCTTCAGCAAGCTAATGAAATCTCGGAATACTAATCCATCCTTAAGAACACTATACTCTTCTGGTTGGCATAGCCTTGTCGACACACCCATACGCATTCTGTCAGCTAATAAACTATGCCTTCCCGCCAGCGATGGATATACTGTTTTCACATCGGCTTGCAAGCTGGCCTCTGCCGGCCCAGCAGGCGTGGTGCCACTGTTTGCTCCCATCGCCCAATGGCTTTTCCCCTCCCAGCTTGTTGCCAGCAAAAGCCAAGTTATTGAATAGCCAACAACAGTTATAACATTAGACAGCTTATGTCGTGAAGCCTGACATACTACAACCATGGTCACTGGCTGAGTGGGGAAGAGCTACGTCAAACCATGCGGAAGCTAACACTTGGCTCCATAATCGAAACCCGAGCAATAGGAATTCATTGTGCAGCATTCCAAAGCTGTCCTCTTCTCCTGTCTGCTTGTCCTAGCGTTCCCGCCACTAGAGGAGAGAGACAGCTAGAGTGTGCACAGGTGCTCTCTGACCACTCACAGCTAGTTGCACATAGCATCTAGCGGGCATGCACAGAATAATGCGTCTTATTACCTCACGCTCACACTGTTCTGCAAGATATAAGATGCATGGACAACCTTACTAGACACGACTTCGCTAGTTCTTTTTTTACATATAATCAGTGAAGTAGCAAGTGTTGAAGTGTAGCTGAGCCGCCTATGCACGAAACGTTGGATCCTATTGTACTTAACTAGCTGTGCACTGAAGTAAGCTACATAAAACCGTTTAAATTGTCAAATCTTTGCTAGTTGTATGGTAAATATTGCAAACAGCCACAGTAGGTGCAGCCGCGAAGTAAGCAGTCAGCATTGCCTTCCCGCCCGTCTTCAGCTACATCTGCGTCCTCATAAGCGATAACACATCCTCGACCATTAGTTGTGGGTGCAGTTCTTATGTACTGTTGGATGGAAGAAGCGATGTTTGTGAGCATCTTTACTGAAGGAATGGAGAATGCAAATCTTTGGCGCGATTCGATTCAGTGAACCGCTACGGAATGCGTACTTACACATGTACTTGCCCTTCCTTCCCCTCGCACACAAAGACACATATACACAAACAGATACACGTACACATGTGAAACATACGCACATACAAACATAAATACAATATACAACCACACGTTGCGCCTTTGTGTACCAAGGTAGTGGTGCTCTGCGATGAAGAGCACGAGAAGACAAATTAGTAATTGCTAGTGGAATCATTGAAAATTGGACTATTTGATTTGTTATATATAGAACTAACAGCACAGCTTAGCTAGCTTGAGAGTCAGTCGCCTTCCCCACTTTCCACTATTTGCTGCGTGCTACACGGCACCAAAAAAATGTAACATGGCGAATATTCGATACGCCCAACAGTCAAATATTACATCTATGGCGCGTAGTGCACGGAAATCTAATGCATGTTCGTAGGCTGGGTCAGTCCATAGCTTCGTGACCGTGCAAGCATATCATCGCATAGCTTTCTGATTTCCACCATCTCCTGCCAGAAATACAAGCTCTGGAAGAGCACACATATCTGCTCCAGTTTTAATCAAAGCTATGAAGCAGCCGCCTGGATATCCATTTTTTGAGGGGTTCGCGAAAGCAGGCCTGAGCAGAAGTGCATGGCATCACCAGTAGTTGAATACAGTGCTGTTTGGGCCTGCAGTGAGCCATATTCGTTATTTTTTCATTGTTAACGAGAAATAATAGTTAAAAACATTAGAAGAAGCACTATCGCATAAAGACCAAGAAACACGAGTACTTAACTGGGAGCAGGTCGGGGTAAGTGGGCCATCCCGATGACGTGCTGTGTGCGCTAGTTTGTAGCCAATGGGCGTGGACGGGGGATGCTTGTACGGTCAATCATACTCAATTAAGCTGGTTGAAATTCAGTTTAGCAGGCATTTTCAGGTATTTTGTATCTAGATTTGCAGGTATTCCGATAGGATTCTCAGCAGAAGTGTAGACCTCACGCCCTGTCTGCTTGACGGTTCAAGACCGAGGGCCCTTGATTCTCCTTCTTGGCATCTTTCTTTTCTCGTTGCATCTGATTATAATAGGTGGTACAAGAAGCTTCTTCCTTCATGCCTCTTGGGCTCCCCGCTGCTGAAGGGTTAAAACATCTCGGTACCGCTGTTGTTTTCTATTTCCTCTCCTGTGCGCTGGTCGTTTTGAAATCCTAGTGTGGCAGGATACCATAAAATGGAAGTGCAGAATCGCATCCCGGAGGAATTTATTTATGCGCCGCCCAGGTTGGGCGTTGTACCGACCGAGTGCGAGTACCAGGAATACCCCCGCACCCAAATGGAAGGGGCGCCGGCACTGCGCACAGAGCCTGGGGCCATGAAGTATGTGAGCTTTCCTGCGGAGCACCAGGGAAGTCCTTTGTGGTCAGGAAACGCCTCTGGCCCATGGGCTGAAAAGAGACTTCATGTAACGGGCTCGGATGCAAAGAATTACCAGATGTATGGCCCGGTGGCGCCACAGAGTTGGACTGAGATGGCAAAGGAATGGGCAAACGGTATAATGGGAACTAGGCAGGATAACAGGATACCAGCGGACCAATATCCTGTGAAATACGGAGCTGAGGCTGCTCCTCTAGTCTACGAGCAAGGTGCCGGGCTCTATGGGTCCCGTCCAGCAGAGCGATTCGTCATAGAGGCTCCCCCACAGCCGGTGTACGAGAGAGTTGTGTTCGTTCCGACGGCTACGGATCCAAAGCTGCAAAGGATGGTTACCCCTAGAGCGCTTCAGCAGCAGTTTGTTACTATGGCCCCTCCGCAGCCAATCCTGATTCCTTTAGAATCAGAAATTGTGTGCAGGGGTCATCCCTCCGACCGCACGGAGCTATGTTTTGGTTTCACGCTCCCTCCTCGTCAGCTCAAATTTGATATTGTGCGAGAGGAAGCTTCTGGGTGTTTCGGCTTATGCCGTAGCCAAAGGTTTAAAGCCGTTTGCAGGAAATGCAGGGCCGTGATGCCGCCTTGCCAACAGTGCGGCAAGCAGTCTGTCATCCGCCACCCGTAGGAGTTCGACAGGGAAAGATGTATTTCAAGTTCCATATGAAAGACAATGTGCGGGTTATGAAGAACGTAGCGCGCTGCGTTTTTGCAGCTCGGATTCGCGGTAATAACGAAGCCTGCACAGTGTTTATCGTACGCCTTGGTCTACTCTATTTATACCTCGAAAAGTAATTACGGAGATACATGGATTGATCCAACACAGCGTTTGATGAGGTTGCAACTACACCGCACGCAGCACTACTTAACCGGCTGCAAGGTTTTTCATACCCGTGAGTATACGAGCCATTGTTTACGAAGACAAAAGAACGCCCTTTCCAGCTACCTTGAGCCAAGTTTCAGCAAAGCGCGCCTGGTTCCGCCGTCTCACACATTGCGCCTGAGGTTGTGTCCCCATGCCGCTTGGTTCGTACGGACTCAGGTCTGCATGCAGTTACGGCATCGAATTTTGCGTAGGGGCTAGCTCTGTATTTGGTTACGCGGTGCATAGTGGTTTACTATTCTGGCCTGCCCTCATGAACGTGCGCATCTCTACCTGATTCAAAGTCGAATTTTTGAAAGCTTCTGCTTTGAACTCGGTATTATTTGTTAAATTGTTGGATTATCTAGTTGTTACAACAGTAACAAACAGGCGCCTTGCAAATGCCTACATGAGCCGGCTATTCGCCCCTAAAACTTATCTCAAAGAAAAGCACAGGGGTTGGTCGTGCAGGTCGGTGATGTGAGGGATGTCAGTTCCTGCTGACCGCTACACTTAGCTTGGGTGTTTCATCAGGTAAATAACGCTGTTTGAGAAAAACTTTTCAACATGTCTCATTGAAGTTTCGTGTAACGGACACAGCCTTAAGCTGCATCTCCGCATATTCGTCGTCCTCATCGCTAAGGATAATAATCGCCCCGCCAGCACCCACCGAGACCTGAAGCCGACAAAGTCATCAGCAAAGCAACGCACAGTTCTACCAAGCCTTGTGGGCATGTGAAATTTTTTATTGCCTGTCTTACAGCTGGCTCAAAGGCATGCCGCTCGATCTCACGTGACACGCAAGCACAAAAGCAGCTTTCACAATAATGTGCTGCATCGACCCAGATAGACCCATTGAACAACTGCATTCCCAGTATTTGTACAATTCAAGAGTTACACTAAGAAAGAGCCACAGACCCCATTCCCTTTGCATGTACTCTCTCCGAACACCCAAAAGACGAAAAGTTGCTGATGCACTACGCTGGAGCAATGCCTGAGAAGAGGCCAACCAACTAGGAAGAATGTAGGCCACCTTTAGCAACCAAATATGGTCCTTTGTGCAACTGGAGCGATGCTTGCATTCTAGACCGTACCTGCTTGGAGTCGAAGACGGCTGTGCGAATAACGATATTCAGGCATGCGGCCCCGTTCAGAGAAATGAATCCTATTGCCCCGCTATAGATACCTCTGTGTCCTGACTCACACCTGCGTTCAACAGTCGAACCAGAGCCATAACAACTACATATTACGCTGCTGGCTGTACTCGCGGTGGCTGCCTGCCAACTGCCATCTCACTTTTTCATGCAAAACAGCATGAGTGGCAAAAGCACAAGCAGGACAAGGATAATTCTTCTCTACTAGGTGTTATTCTTGACAAACTGAACAAACTTGAACGCGGGATGTAGCAGGTTGGCAATCGCATTTTCCTTTTGATTCAAGAATCGCATTTGCTATGATCACCTGCAGTGCCTTCCTACACAATCGTGCATCACTATTCCTAGAAGCGGGAGAAATGTGAACCATAAGACCCTGAGAGTTTTGGACTTCCGCAGCTTTTGCGAGCATCAAAAAATGACTGGCGTACTCGGCGATAATGTTCATTGCCCTGAATTTGGGCGCCCCCGTCATGGAGCCACCGGGGAAGGCCGCGATGACTGCATCTAGCGCGTCACATTCCTTTTCCCTGAACGTCCATAGGAAAAACTGGGGTCAGCCTGACTACACAAACCCCCCTACGAGGGATATTCTACTGGACACAGGAAACGAAGGAGCCTTCATGAGAACCGCAGCTTAGCGGGCTGAACGTGTACATTCGTACGTCCATCATAGTTGGTGTTTGCTGAGGAGTACGACTCAGACGCCGTGAAAAAAGGAACACAATACTTTCTGGCTGCTACACTGAAGTCTCCATATTGCATTGCATTCTATTCCAAAGATAATAAAAAGCATCCTCCATGTAGGTCTTACCGCAGTTTTCCTCGGATGACAGATACCATGTGATGCACTGCTGCATGCGTCTCCACAGCGAACAAACTCGGCACTGTGACCGATCCCTCAACGCACACGCGGCCTGTGATCCACATACGGAAACCCCATGAACAGTATGTGTATGCCAAGCACGTGCTCTCTGTATTTCGTGTTTAGCCAAGCACTACGCATTTAGGACGCAGAAGCAACGCAAAGTGCAGTCAAATGCAGTATCCCTAAGACGCCAACCTTACAAGCGACGCTTCTGCATGGGTATCAGACAGAAAGCAGTTACTTCTGCATGTTTCACGTTTTGGGGTCCAGGAGGTTCAGACAGCTACGGCCACCAGGCTAAGAACACCGGTTTGCCTTTATGGGAGCCGGGACATACCCAAATCATTCCTGACCAAGTCAACTATCATCATGTTCTCTGCCTTGTCTTTTTCAGACGCTGCCAACTCCGCAGCCAGCGCCGCGTCTTCCTGTTCAGTGCGTCCCCTTTTGCGGGTGCCTTTGATGGGCCGCGATTCCACCCATCCGTCCGGGTCGACCTTAAGGAAGAGCTCGGGGCTGGCACAGCATACAGCGAGATTTGCGAACGGATTTTGCGTCTCCTCCATTCCGTTATTAATGGAAAGGCGAGACAAGCAGGCCTCCAAATCAAACCTGTCGTAAGCGACGGCAGCATCGACACCAAAAACGACAGAAAAACGCCCCTGTAAATACTAGAAAGACTCCCAGTCACTGTTGGTAGAACACTAGTGCCCTGTCCCCGTTAAGCTTATAGAGGGTAGGCCTCGGATAGCCCACATATATGGCAGATGCGAGCACACACAGCACAGCACTGTAGGCTGCGTCCGCGGGGACGAGGCAAAACCCGTAGAGAGTGCCTCACCTAAGGAAAGCCCCAAACTTGCTGCGATTTCTATCGCGAAGCCGCGAGTATACCTCCAGAGGAGAGAGTGCCTCGGGATCGTACGGAGAGGTCATTTGATCCGTCAGGCACACCTCATAGGCGTTACCTCGTTGAATATGCTCCAAGATGGTTCTTATTGCCTCCTTGTAGTGCACTTCAGTAAGAGTAGGGCGGAAATAAATGGGCTCCACGTTCTTTTCCCCTGTAGGAGTCTGCTCTCGTGCAGCCAAAAACAAGCTCTTTCTACGCTGGGGAACGACACTATGGGGGAACATGGGGCACTTGGCGATCTCCTTGAGGGCCCCCAAGGCCCACGCCACCTGCGCGTCTGCGATAGATTTCTGCGCGCCGTCTGTGAGCCGCCCAGCGCGCACGGCGTCTGGAAGAGGCTCACAGGGAGGAGCTACCACTCGCGTCCCTATTGCCTCCTCGGAGGGGGAAACTGCAGTGTTGGCACTCCGCGGGGAAACGGTGGGGGTAAGCCAGACCAGGTAGCAGCGGCCCGTGTGATTGTCTATAGCCACATATCGGTCGGCAAACACCCAGAGGGCAAGGGGATTACGGGGCATGGACTGAGGGGTGCCCATAGAGGCAGTAGGGGGGCCCTCATCTCCTTCAGCGGCTCTCAGTCGCGCGAAGACAATGTGGCGCAGCTCATATGCAAAATATCCCACATAGCCCCCTAAGAAGTCAAACGGAGGTCGCTCGGGGTTCACTGAGTGACCACTGCACCCCTCTTCCACTGGCTCCAGTACGGGGGACGATACGGCGACTACCCCGCCAGTCCCTTCCCCTTCCTGGCTGGGTGTAATGACAGCCCTCCAACGGCGCAAGCGAAGAGCCTCTTGGCCGCCCGTCAGCGTGCCGTGGAGGCGCATCGCGTCGAAGGGGTCAACAGGAAGCTCGCGGATGTGAAGTGGGGAGGGGCTTGCGCAGCAGCCGCATCCCTGAGCGCAACGGAAGATCTGTCGCGTGCTGCGCTCAGTCCAGCTTTCCAGCAAAAAGGCGCAGGGGCCCTCGGCGTCTCCCATAAAAGAGAACCGTGACAGTGCCTCTCGCTCAACGGGGCCCGATCCTGCCAATGCGGGGTCTGAGTTACTGCTGTCGAGCCAGTAGCTGGTTTGGCTTTCGGCATACATCTTTTTGAACAGTTCCAAGGAATTCAGGACTGGCAATGGCTGCGTTTCCAAGGATGCTTGTACCTTGAGGGGACTTGGCGAAGAACGCGCAAGCACTTCAGCAACATGAACCTCCCATAAGGCCGCCTGCGGGCAGCCGTTGTTGGCTTCTCCTGTTTGCTGAGTTGGAAGTGTCAAGCGTGCCTGTGGCTTGGAGCTGAGCTGGCGAGGGAGTAGGCCTTGCTGGACGCGTTGCCACTGCAGGGTGAAAGCCTTGAAATTACGGAGAATCTGATCTCCACAAGGCGTTCCCACAGACTCGGGGTGAAATTGTATGCCGAAAAAAGGCCGAGATTTGTGTTGTATCCCCATGATGGTGTAAGCCGGGGTCTGTGTCCAAGCTGTCACGGCGAAGCATTCTGGCAGACTGCAAGACACACCAGACCCGGGGTGCCGAAAGCTGGTGTTGAACAGCCCTTCATGATAGGGCGCCCCATGCGGTGATGCCTCTCATCATCTCGAAATACTGGGAAGCGTGCTGGAAAACGCACCTTTGCGGATCAATGCAGAGAGAGTGGTACCTGGCAACGGAGGCAAAGCGATCAATGCCATGAAAGAGTTCGCACTTGGAGGAAACTTCGACGATACAGCAGCGCCCGTGAACAACCTCCGGCGCTTGTACAATCTGCAGAAGGACGGGTGCAAACGCACATGAACATACACTGTGCTGAGTTGCTTCTCGGTCAATTCGGAAATGGCAGGGCGCGATGAGACTCATACAAGTTCGGTTCCAGGTAAAGCGTGTTGACACGCCCTTGTCACCACACACCACTAGAAGCGGACTCACTCTCGCTCCAAAGAGGTGACCTAAGCCTTGATGACCTAGGCAGACACCCAAGATTGGCAAAGAGCCATTGGTGATCGCAGCAGCAGACAGTCCAAAGTCTGAGGCGTTTTCGGGGGTGCCGGGCCCCGGAGAGATGACTATGTTTTCCACATCGGGAAACGCTTCGCACACTCTAGCCCAGTCGCCACCAAAAGCATCGTTATAAATGACTGCAGGAGGCGTGCCGTTTATCACGGAAATCAATTGATAGAGGTTGTATGTGAACGAGTCGTAGTTGTCTATGAGCAGGGTCTTCACTGGCTTGCCAGGGTGTTCTGTCGCTCCTGGCGACCACACTGCATCCGGAGGCAAACACAATCAGCACACAATCCTGCCTAATCTGTGCTGGGGCTGCCAGGCACACTCAGTTACGCGAGTAACTCATGGGGACTCAAAGTTTACACAGGCAGTTTACGCTGGCGAGGTGCTTAAGGTGTGCAGACAAGGAGCGCAGGATTGCCACTCGGTCAACAGATTCCTATGGGATGCAACGTGAAAGATGTGACGAGATCGTCCTCCTGTGGGAGCTATACCCAACTCTGGAAAAACAGCGAGAAACGGCACGCGTACTCTTGGTTGCCAGCGGAAAGTGAGGGGCTGCAGGAGGCCTGCACACGCACTATAGGCCCTGAAGGCAAGCCCGTGCGGAGGCTGGTCAAGATGAGGCTCTTCGAGTAGGTCTCGAGATGCCCTGAACTGGTCACCCTGAGATTGCCGGAAATCTTGTGTGCATTGGCGGTCCTTGGAGAAGCACTGCAGTGCGAAAACATGAGCCTTTTAGGTAGAGAAGACTCCCAGTGGGTAGACAGCCAGCTTCCCGCTTCGCCGAATTTTTGAGGTTCTGCTGTTGCCAGTGTACAATCGCTCGCGATGATATCGAGATGACGTCGAAACACGGGCTGGAGGGATGGAGAGGGCAGATCTGAAGCATATCTAGTGGCAGACAGTGCAGTAAATAGGCCCGGAAAAGTCCCTTTCCTTGAGAACCCGGCGGAAAAACGCTAGGGACCCCCTTGTGGGGCCCCGATGGACGATAGAAGGGGCCTGGAGCGGGCTTGCAAGGTCGTTTTTTGTGCCATAGAATCCCTCCTTGCCGTGGAGATTTTACTGCAAAGTACGATATTTCCACGGTCGTAGAAGAGTTTCAGCGATAAGTTTCGGGCCGAACGCTGAGTCAAGCGCAAAGCAGAAACTACTGCTGGAATCACGTTGCAGCGCTGTGTATACATACAGTCATGATCATGTTTTTTCCTGGGATTATTTTCTTGTACTCCTAAATAAAAGCATTTTGGAAATGGAAACTGGCGCTCAGGAGCCCCCTTCATCAGCCTGCTCCCACACTTGTATTTTTATCTGACGCGCCGGTTGTTACAGATTGTTCCGAACTCTTTTTTGGGAAGCGCTGGGGTCCTTGTCCTTGCTGGTATAGTAACACACGTTATTACTTGTCCACATAAGAGAGGTTTCTGGCATCTCTGTAATCTTCCTGTTTCACCGGCCTCACACTTTGTCCGTTCCCGCTGTGAGTGGCCCTTCGTGCCCAGTTTAATGCTGCCTCCTCCTCTTTCTACGTGCAGTCATTATGCAACGCACGCTGCTCCGTTATTTTCTGCAGATTGGCACAGCCCTAAGGTGCATTCATCATATCTACCGCTGTCTGCCTCAGGTACTCCCCCTCTGCACCCTGCAATTCCTCTAGCGGCTTTCTGCACAGTTTTCTGTTTCATTCTCTGCATTTTCTAAGCTTGCCCTTACTCACGTTTCCTCCCTCCCTGGCTGCTAGTCTTCACTCGTCATAATCAGAATGACGATAGAACACCCAACTGGCGAATCCTTGCAAATGCCTGACTGCCCTCTGCAGCATACAGTCGCAGCCGCAATTCTACAGACTGTCCAGACAACCTTCTCAACAATATGCATTCGTTTACATTCATTCTAGCGAGGGCGGTGAATGGGTGCAATTATACATCTAATTGGATATTATTTAAGGGTGTCAATTCTTTGTTTGTGCGTAGCTCCATGAACAGCACCCAAGGTGAGGTTTTTAAAAATTTACATGTTGTGTTATGGAATTACAGCAGGAACTTAAGGGCCTCGAGCTCTTAGACATATTCCGGATCAAGGAGTTGTTCTGTAGTGGCCTGGGCCAGCTCTAGGTACGCCTGATACATCAGCAGATTTCGTAGTAGTTAGAAAGCGGACTCAAATGTGGCGCTTACTTCGCTCCAGTTGAGTAGAGTCGCATTGAACTCAACTTCGTTAGTTGGATTAAATTGCTGGATTCACGACTTGTTTGATGACCCGACGATGCCAGAGCAGCCTTATCAAACTGACCACAAAGCAGCTGCTGGCTTCGGCAGTTGTTTCAGGTGCTATGACGACCTGATTGCATCCTGCCTGGAACCGAATCCTCTGTCTCATTTCGCCGGAGAAGTCACTGGAGGCGTCGTGAAAATGCTTGTTTGATTCCCAGGCCCGTAGCAGTTCACGGCGTTGGGAAGGTTCAGTGTATATCTGCTTGTGCTTGTTTTCTCGCTTTTTGCACCAAACAGATGAATGCTTCATACCTCGAATGCATAGGCGAACGGAACTCTTAGAGATTCATACACAAAATCCAGGCAGGTCCCTGGACTACGATAACCAACACGCTCTCCTGCTGGGCCTGCGTGCTTTACATGATGACAATTCAAGAACTAGATTGTACTGGACTGCAATAGCCAATCACCGCATGGACATTTACAAAACTTCTGGTTCAGATAATCCATGATCTGCCTGGGGAAATTGAAAATCTGTACAGTGCTTATATGTTTTGCAACGTGTGAAAAGCCGCACATCATCCTTGTTTCGTTCTCCGTCGGTTCTGCTTCCTTGTAAGCCCATGGCATGTACATTCCCAAGGTGCCTGCGTTGGTACCAGAGTCAGCTGTTAGGTAGCTGAGAACTGCAAAGAGTCCACAAATACCCGAATGCAAGGATAGGAATAAATTAGGCTTGAATTCCGTCACAGCTTGTCGAAACACTTGTGTCTCCGGCTCTGTATGTATGTATCAATAATAAATTCCCCTTTTATGAGCTGCTCTGGAAAAGTCTACCTGAGAAGGGTCTTTTTCCTGGATATGTATCCGGGTTGGTCGCCCTAGGACTCCAGTGCGCTGCGGGATTATGAAACAACTTTGCGACACTACACTTAGTTGTGCTAAGTCCGTTGAGGTATGTACCTTTCCAATTCCTGTTGAGATCTACGGCGTTCTCGTTCACCCGAAGCTGCAAGTAGGATGGAGCAAATGCATGACAGTGCTGTGCAGATTGGTATATCATGAAGTAAGTTTACACAGAAATCTCCTTGTTCGACCTTCTTTCTGGATACAGGGTTGCCGTTCACAATCACTTGAAACGAGGTATCTTCAAGTGCTTTTTCTGCTTTTTTGAGGAGACTTTTTTCCTCCCCACACAAGGCTGCGTGCTTCTCATACTGAGTATTCTGGTGAACTGCCAAGGGTCGAAGGATTTTACCCTTAATTAAGTGAAGCGCGCTTTCAGCGGCGATCAGCTCTCTTGCATGCTCTCCTGCAAGAAGGAAGAATCGAGTAGTTGGTTGCTTCGTTCGCGATACCGAAGCGATATCGATGAAAGCTTCGTCCCCGACCCGCTCCCGCCGGATCGAAAGATCAGGGCAGCGCTCGGCCAGCTGCTGGAGCTCCTCAGAAATATCGTCTGTAGAATGGTAAAACGCGGGTGCCTGGCCTGCACTGGGACGTGCATGAGAGCTGAAGCTCAACAGATATATCGCGATCGAAATGAATTTCGTTGGCATTTTTTCCCATCGCCGCCTCTTTGGACTGTAGAATCCTGCCTCTCAAACTGAGCAATGTCTATTTTTAGACCCAAAAAGATAAAAGGAAGTGCATCCACAAAAACGGGCTTTGCCAGCCCTTTCCTGATTTGCACCCACAGGTGTTAACTGGGGTGTACAGACTGTATTCAAGGTCCTCACAGCCCACTTCAATTATTCAGGTTACCGCATGCTGAATTGCATTCACGTTCAGCTTAGTCTAGAATCGTTGATGTCCGCTGAAGGGCAAGCCAATGACACTTTTCACGAGAAATTTGCCGGTTCACATCAACACTAAGCGGACACACCACAACGGGGATCCTGTACAATGCTCGCACTGCCGATTGACGTCTATATGACACCAAGATGATGAAATATATCTAGATGGGCGCTACCTAGACTTAATCCTCTACCTCTAGGAACAAGCGAAAGCTACTTTGATCTATTTTTTTGAGAGTGCACGACGTTAAGAACGAAGCCGATAACGTCTGAGAACATGCGACTTACAATACCCGAATTCACACTCCCCAAATCCGTTAACGCCCAAAATGCGCCTGAAGCTGGCGAGGTGCTGTATTGTTTCCTCAATGCAAATGTTGATTGAAAAAGCGGGCTGATGGGCTGTGAAGCTTTGCTTGTATCACAGAGACCACACATGTGCCAGTCTAACTTCACTATAAGATGCGGCTACAAAGTTGTCTTCATGAAAACTTGATCCATTGGGTCTTTAGCAGCTATGCGCAGTATATTGTAAGAATCCGTACATTAGTTGTGGCGTCCAAATGTGTTCCTTGATGCAATGGAGAGCTGAAGGGTGCAAAATATTGCGGCCTTACACGCGATGTCGACAATATTGTCAGATTCCGCTTTTACATAATGATAGCTTGTCATCGCAAACTACTTCGCTTTATGTCCTGCTGCCCACTCCCAAAGTATGCAATTGCCAAACCATTGAAAGGGCCTGTGTGATGCGGGGTAGGCATTCCTAACGTGGCTTATAAGACATGGGTAACAGTTTTGTGCTGCACAGATGAGGTCAACAGATGCCCATTCTCATGCGAAGCAGCTCCATTTGCGAAAGGAGCACCGATATTCAGTCATCACAGAGTAGAGGCCAGATATCCCAATGCAATGCGCTACGTCCTGAGCCTATTAATATTTCTTTCCAAAACTGGTGCCAGAGCTATATTCCACGCTAGCCGCTGATTGTCCCCCCGCACGAACTGGGTGTGCAACTTTGACGTCGTGACCAATATTTGGCACCACTCGTCGAGTGCCTGCCAAGAAATTGCCGGATGCTGCAGAAATTAGGATCCCTCCATACCAAGGTATGAAGAGATTCAACCAAATAGAGCTATTCAATACGAAGGAGACAGCCGAGTGGTTTTGCATGGCGAGTGCAACTCGTGGTACACTATTGTATTTTCAGCAAAGCTTCTCCGAAAGGACAAAGATATATGTTTAGAAAGTTCTTAATATTCTAATAATACTACAACAATAAAGCTCATGAATCGCAGCCTCCGCTCCTCATCTGGCGAAGCTCTGATTCCTACCCATTATTTGTGGGAAGTTGGAAATCCTCAGCTACGTGGAGACCTACAGGGCTACCAACTGTTGACCTATAGACACTAGTGAAGGAAGAAGGTATCAGCTGTGCAAAGCTGGATTTAGCCATAGTTGATACAAACCCCTCGTTGTGAGGGGGACCAACAGTTGTAAAGCGTAGGCTGGGTGGTTCTTCAAGCCAAAACGCGCCGACGTCTACCTCGGACAACGCAAACCTTTGAAAAATCACGTTCTGTTCCACGAGCAGCTCTCATGTCGAAAGCTCTTTTCTGGCAGAATTGTTACCTTCTTGATGATTTTTCATGTGTTTTTCGACGGTTTGTACTTAGAACACATCTCCATACTGAAATTCTTCAAATACCCAGGCATAGATTCTATGGGAGCTCCCCACCGAAGTGTATACATGCAGTTGTAGGAAAGAGTGCTCTTAGAAGTGGTGTTTGCCGGGTGAAAGCGTCTACGTGGAAGCTACTGCAGCAACACGGAGGGGGCCGAGAGCATAACCCGACTGTCTGACACCGATGTTCTCTTTCCCCGCTTATGTTGGTAGCGGATAATGTAGGCTGGAAGGGATTACTTTCTCATCTACATGGAAAGGTAGAAAACTGAAGTACTGGTCGAAGCCGAACCTAGTCACTCGCCCACCAAGTCGACTGCATTCCTTCAAGCCACTGCTCTTCATAACCCCAGTTAACACCATTCAAATTAAATATAGAAGATGAGAGTACTTTAACTTCCCGCTAGTAATGGAGGTCCATTGGATGCACTCTGACTGATAAGATGCCAGTGCTCGCTGGACGGTGATTCTTGTCTCCTGTTAAGAACCCCAAGGCAGAAAATTCCCTCTTTAAGACCTTAACCTTTCCCCTCTGCCCTTCATTCGTCTTAACAACTCATCACGCCCTTGGGGGACACAAAAAGAATATTTTTGTGTACACCAGTTGGCAACTTTTGAGGCCGAGCGCTGCCCAGCGCATGCGCATCAGTGGCGGCGGCACCGCCCCAGTACTGCTTCGGAGACTACCCCGTGTCGCCGCTCCCCTTCGAGGCAATATAACTTGGTCTTCTACAAAAGGCTTCGTGTGGAGTCTCTGGGTCACGTAACTGAGCGATTCGTGGGATTTAGCCCCCCTTAGAGGCCAACATCCAGAGTCACCCGCCCCGCACAACGAGGCCCCCTCTGGCCTTCGCTAGTAGCTACCCTCCCTCAAGAAGTCCCCTTAGCTCGCTGCCGGGGTCACCTGCAACCGAGCTTGAGACTCTAGGCGTGTTCTATGCTTGCCTTGTCCCTCCAATTTTATTATTTGGTCCATCCCTTTAGAATCGTGCACCCGTTGAGCCGTTCCAACTGAACGCGACTCCAGTTTGTGCTCCTGCTGCCGCAGCAGCTGGCAGAGCACCCCGCGCTGCACTACGTGGTGTGGAATCTGCAGAGATTCCGTGGTGGGAGCAATGCAGGGAGTTTGCCTTCAGTCCCTTCGCCTCATAGCGGCATTACCTGCAGAACCCCAGAAGCTTGGGCAGGCATTTGACGTAGACGACGTGGTGCAGCGTTGTTCTCCAGGGGATGGCCGTGGAGGTCCCCAAGGGGGCACACTCTCCAGGGGGGAGGCCCCTGGTGTTACTGGCCAAGCAGGAGGAGATGCTCAGGTGGCGTCACGCACATCTCGCATGAAGGGTCTCGTCATCAGAACGCCAAGAGGCATCCAGGACTACTCTCAGGACCTAGACACGGGTGAGTGTGTTCTAAAGAAAGCCCTAAGAAGATGTGTCTCCTGCTTTTGAAGAAAAAACAGCATTTTTGCCTCGAAGTTCCTGGTTGTCGAATCCATGTTTTGGAGAGAGGCTACTCCGTGTGCGTGCCCGTGTACCTCTTTTACCCGTTCAGCCTGCCGCAACTTTTGCAGGTTCGCGTGTCTCCCTTGTCGCGTTTCGCTGCGTGTCTCTGTCGTTTGTGCCTCGCCTCCTTCTTTTACTTCGGCACAGTTGTAGTCTCCCCGACAGCAGCGCAAGTGAGCGCGACTGTCCAGAAGAGGAGTTCGTCGATGCGCGTGAGCCGTGCAGATCACATGGATCCAGATGCTGACGAGGTGCAGGTAGCCTGGGAAGACGGAACTGTAGAGAATACCAAGTGCCGCGGTCTCACGCTTGGTGGGCTTTCCTTCCCCTCTAACCCCCGTGAAACCTTGTCGCTTTCTGGCTTTTTCCAGACGCCTTTGCACGATGAAGTCGCAAGCTCCAGGGCAGTCACGCTTGCCTTTCATGGCTTGTTGTGCATGTCTCTCCCTGCAGTCGACAGGTGCCTTTTTGTAGGGGATACGGTATTAGAAGGCTCTAACGGGGCCATAGGCCTCGTCCTGGAGGTGCAGCAGTCTATTGACGTCGCCATCCCTATAGAAGCCTTCAAGGCTGGCGTCTGCAGCATCGGCGATGCCTCAGCCTTGCACGACCAGCGGCAGCAGCCACAACCCCAACAACAGTACCGGCCCCAACAACAGCAGCACTGTGCCCTCCAAGGCGTCGCAGACGATGGCATAGTCGCGGGAGAACGCCCGCGTCTGCCGTCTCGCCTCGCTGGCATTCGCTCGCAGGTAATGGGGGCTGCAGCTTTATCCCTTGATCCCCCACTGATGCAGCAGCTGCAGCAGTTTAATGAAGGAATGCCAGTGGTGAGCGGCGGCCGCTTGGGGTGTGTGATCGGCGGCAAGGTCGACTACGTGGTGGCTCTGGACTCAGGTCACGAGTTCACGCTGGAAGAAGGGTACATTGCAGCCTTCTTGCATAGCTCGTCGTCGGAGGGTGTCTTGCATGCAGCCCTTTTTGCAGCTTTGCTGCCTCGTGGTGCTCGAACTGCCGTTCAGTTTGGCCTCTGGGCGTCTCTGGCCCCCCGTCTCGATGCTTCTGTCTCTCTGTGTTCGCGGCAGCCCCAGATATAGAGGTGCTCTGCATGCGTTTCTGACGGCTTTGCGCTTTGGAGGCGGTGCAGACACGTTACCCACGTTGCCGCGTGAACTTGTTTTCGCAGGATGGTAGGCGTGCGGCCAGAGCCTCGTAGGGGCCACCCGATGAGCTGGATCTCGGGGCTTTATCCGTCGTTGCCGGTGTATGCTACTGGCGAGTGGATAAGGCACTTTCAGTCGCAAATTGAGCGCATGCATGGAGGTGCTCACAGCAATCAGAACGCTGCAGACGCCGGCCGACTCTGCAAAGGTAGAGAGAGCCCCCGCCTACCCGTCTCCACCCTAACGTATACCACGTGAAGGTCCTATTGTTGAGGTTTAAAATAGCGTTTACGGATGCGGGTCGGCAATGGGAAACCCTGCGTTGCCTTCGCGTTGTGAGAGAAAAAGGCGCTCCCAACAGGATGGGACCTTATGCCTGAGTTCAGGGGGCGTTGCTGTACATGTATATGTGTGTGTATATATATGCATGCCCATATGTGTGTATGTATATGTGTGTATGTATGCATGTGTGTATGTATGCATGTGTGTATGTATGCATGTGTGTATGTACATCTATGTATGTAGGGAGATGTATGTATGTAGATGTATGTGTCTCTCTGTGTGTCGGTCTGAGCAGGCTGTGTGAAGTCCTTTGCCATCCGGAATATCAAAGTGGCGTGGCAGCTGCAGGCGCCTCTAGGAGCTGCGGGGAGCCATAGGTCTCTGGCGCCGTGGACGGAGCATCAACCGAAGGATCTCTTGCCGTTGCAGCAGCCCGTCATGCGGCTTGGTCAGCCTGTGTACGTCGATGTGCGGCGATTATTGCAGCAGCGCGAGGGTGGTGCAAAGAGGGGTTCGCAGAAGGATGTCGCCTCGTGTGCGGCCGCTGCGGCTCCTACTGCTCTTGCAGAGGCAGCTCCGGGAGCGGCTTTCGGCTCGCCGACGTATACCGTAGGGGTGGTGGATGCAGTGTGCACCACTTGCACAGTCCTCTGGGAAACTGGCGTCTTGGAGAAGAATGTTCAGAGCCACAGGCTGACCCCCGTTGCTTTAGACAGAACGCCGCTGGCCCCTGCAGACTGCAGGCTCGCGCCTGTGTTGCTGCCGCACATGGTGGTGCAGCGGCAGCGGCCTAAGGAGGTTGTGGGCGCCGCCGCGCAGGGGCCCCAGGGGCCCCCGAGGCCAGGGGCCCCCGAGGAGACCGCCGCGCTGCCCTGGTGGCTGAACCTGCACTTTGGGGGCCTCCAGGTGGGGAGTGACACGTCGGTAGAGTCGCATCTCGCTGAGGTTCAGCGTCACAGCGGGGGTGCCCGGCTTTTTAAGGAAGTATCCCTGGCGCTTGGAGCAGATGAAGGAGCATTCCAGGGTCGAGCGAATCACGCAGCTCTCTTGCAAGCTGCTGCGGCTCACAGACGTCACCGCGCGCAGCGGCAGACGCGCGGCATCACCAGTACGAGAGGCGACAGCCGCACAGACGCGGGTCCAGCTGAGGGCCCCACGGCGCCTCTCGAGGAGGCACAGGAGGGCAGCCAGGCTCCTCGGCGAGCGGGAGGTGACGTTTCTGTGGAAGAAGGGCCCCTCGTGACGAACCGCCTGGCCGCCTTCGCAGCCGCGAGGGACGCTTTGCCCCTACTGCTCCGCTTCATGACGGAGACCGATGTCGTGTATCAGATGCTCGATATTCCTGGCAAGCGCCTGCCGCTGTTGCGCACGGGGTCGTCCGCACCGTCGCACAGACGCCTGCAAACGGGGGAAAGCTCCAGGGGCCCCGAAGGCGGACAGGGGCCCCTAGAAAGGCCGCCCACAGGGGGCCCTAGCGGAGTCTCGGACGTTCCAGAGGCCCCCACAGCCTCGGAAGCGCAGGGAGACGATGACGCACTGGTTTTTCACGAGGCACAGGCTCTGGCTGCAGACATCTTTTCGTTCGATGGGGGCCCTTCATTGGAAGCTGTTGCCGCGTTCTTGCATTTGGTGTACTCACACGGGCAGTGGGGCGTCACCGAGGCGGACGGAGACACCGAAGAGAAACTGAGGGACTTATTTGAAGCTACGGCGCTGGTCTTAGGGGATGCAGGGCCCGAGGTGCTCATGGATGATGCTCCTCAGTCCCCGGGAGCTGCAGACGTGCAATTGGGCATTGTGGTGTACGTACAACGCAAAGAGAAGAAGGCACTGGTAGCATGGATAAAAGACACTCAACAGTTTACGAGTAAGGATTTTATGCGGTCAGAGCGACCTTGCGAAGACATAGACCTCGAGGGCCCTCTGGATCTTGAATATCTATGAGTATATCTGTATGTATATATTTATATATATCTCAGCATATTTGTATATATTAGTATGAATATGTAGATAGCCACACACACTTGCTTCACAAGAGGCCAGGGCGACGGATATATGTACAGACAGAATGAAAATGTTTCTCCGTATGGAACGCTGAGAGATGGCACTCTTGCTTCCGCTGTTGTGCGCTGAGGTGTCACTGGCGAGGCCTCTGGAAGCTTTGCTTTTCTCAGGCCTTTTGCGCGCAAAGCACTCGGAGTTTTTCTCAGCCGCTGCAGCAAACGCTTATGTCATGCCAGCCCCCATTCTCAAGGCGATGCAGGCCCTTGGAGTGACAGTAAGTTTCGAAAAGACACTCATAGGACTGATGCCTAGGGCAAACGGTATCCCGCCTTCGCCCTCCCCTTCCCCCCTAGACCACGCAGCAAATGAGATCGATCCTCTATGGAGTCTCCTTAGGCCATCGACGGCTGGCATCATGTCTTTTAGCTGAAGCTAGGGAGGGGCGTGTAGCGCATGACCCCAATCAGCCAATTGGCGTCTTGCATGATCGCGCCTTTGCATGCATTGGTGTCACTCTTCCTTGTTAAGCTCCCTATGCGTATAGGTGTCTGAGCGGCGGCTCTGTTTCCCATGAGTGTGTGCGAGAGAATGAGCGCATGCACTACAGCTTAGCCTGCGTGCTAGGAGGGAGGTGCTGCGTCTAACCTACCAGAGGATGGCTGTGTCAGTCTGCTAGTCTCAGTTTGGTTCTTGCCTACGCGACTGTTACGGGCTCCCTCTGCTTTTGTTTCTGTCTGTTCACCACAGCCATTCACCGCTGGTTTGCCGCATCCTCCACATGGCCCCGACGTTTTTTCGACGTACAAAGAGGCGGAAGGTAAGTTGGGAGTGATGTTTCTCAGAGGAACGTTGCTCTACCGAGGCCAAGAGCGGCTATCAAAATGGTTCCTGTGGGGGAGGGGAGGGGAGCGCACTGTTCGCTTCTTCAGCCCTTTGAAGGGAAGCTAGACAACAACTGTAGCTAAACGAGGTCTCCCTGCTGCCACGCTACACTCTCTGCGTGCCTGGCTGGCCAGAGGTCACCAAGCAAGGGGCCAAAGCAGAGTCACGATATCTCCTTGCCCTCTCTTAAAAGACGTTTGTGTGTGATCAGTGTATATGAGAGTTGCTCTATCGCGCTTTGTGTGAGCTTTCTTTTGCACTTAAGGCTGTCTCTGCGCTTCCCCGATTTTTTTACGTGCAACGATGGCGCCTTCCGCTGCTCGTTCCAAGTGTCGGTGAAGTATCTCGATTGCCGTTCCAGCCATTCTGTGCAATCTCCTGGTGTACGCTGGTGTCTCCACAGGCCTTCTCAAAGAGGAGGGCTGGACCTCCGTGGTTGCCTTACAATGGGAACCCTATGGCGCCATTTCTGTGCAGCCTCAGCATCTGTTTTTCCCTGGCGACTTAGCTGTAGTGCGTCCAGACCGAATACCAGGCAATAAAGTTTCTTCTACCGAAGAGGCCCCCTGCGATGCCCGCGTCTTTCTAGAAGTTGTCGGAGTAAGCCAGAAGACCCTTCACCCGTCACTGTGAACTGGCTCCTCATCTATAGGTTTTGCTACGTCTGGGTGCCACTGTGTAGATGAGGCGCTTAGTGTGCACCTGCACAAAGAGAGACTGAATGTGTGCATTACAAGCCTTTCCAGGGGCACTGCTCTCTCGCAGTTGCTCGGGAGCCGTCACCTTTTGTGCTCCGACTGTCGTGCCGAATCGTCTCTCCGTACAGTCACATAAAGCCCGTTTTGTGGAATCTGTGTGCCGGTGCAGTTTTGCGGGGGAACAGTGTGGGGCCGCACGCTGGATGGAGTTTTGGCGCCTTTCGTGGCTTCTGATTTGCTGCCCCTCATCTTCAGGCGACTTGAGGACCTCCTGGATGAAGCCTCGGTAGGTGTGACATCCGGCAGGCAGCAGATTACAAGAAAAGACCTTCTCATATATTGCGGATAGCCACTGCGTCCAACGGCAGCGACGGCTAGCTCTCAATGCTAACTGCGCTTTTTGTGTGCCTCTGCCGCACTAGTATCTCCGAATGCGTTCCTCGCTGCCCTCTTTGCACATGTCTCCTGTCGGTTATTTCCATGCGGTAGCTTAGCTGAATCGATCTATCTGTCTCGCTCCCCGTTCGCGTGGATCTCTGCCAAGTTGCATGCATGCGTTTCTCCGTACTGAATCCGGCGCACTACTTCGTCTTTCCCCCTCCAGTGGTGGTTCCTTCCGCTGTTTTCATGGGCATAACATGTAGCATTTCTCTCAAAGGGCCGAGAAAACCGCCACCCATCAGAGTGTACACTTCGCGCTTTCTTTCACATTCTGTATGGTGGTGCTGGCAGTCCTCAGAAGAAGGTTCAGAATACTCCCACGAGGGATCCGACCTGGAGGAAGGAGAGTGGGAAGAAGGTGCGATTCAGAACCTTCGCGTAGGGGTCTCTAGGGGGCCTTTGGGGGAAGGGGGGCTTCTCGCATGGTGTAGCTGCAGCTGCGTAGTGGGATTCGATTCAAAGCCTTCAGTGTGCCTGGGGAAGGCATACATGTTACCGTGCGACGGTGTAGCTCTGACTAATATAGCGAGCAGTGCACTTGTGGACAGCTGAGTCTACCCAGGACACTGTACGCTCAGGAACAAAAACAGGTGCAGCTGCAACAGAGAGTCCGTGCTACAAGGAAGGAAAATAATTGTGCCTTCTCTGCGCTGCAGATGCTTCCGGTTCAGACAGCACCAACATCACTTCTCTCTCCGCGGAGACCAGATCCAGTGGCAGCAGCCGCGACACCGCTTAGTGTAAAGGTTCTTTAAGGCACCGACGGCCTTTTGCAGTCTGTTTATTGAACGGTTGTCCATGACACAGGGGAATGCTCTCACGTTCACAGGTCCTCTCTTATGAGTGGCGCTGAATCCTCTTCCCCATGCACGTGGGGCCCCTCGCGAATTCGCAAGTGGTCCGCTGGTGCATGTCACGGTACTCGCAAAGGTGGTTAGAACGCACCCTAGAAAAGGCGCGGTAAGTCTTTCTAACTAGGTGCCTAATGTGAGAAAGGAGGCGGATCGAGGCGACTGCGAAGCCATCTGAAGGCGTCAACGTGCGTTGATGCATGCCCACAGTAAGTAGCCGCACAGCCACTAACGGGGTGTGTTTCAACGGTAGCAACCTCTACCGACGTACATCGAGCTAGAGCAGGCTGTCGCCTCCCTCCCTTGCCATATGACCTCCTAAGAGGTCCGGCACTTCGTTGGTCTCGACTGCACAAATTCAGAAGCTGGCTTCCTACTTGCCGGCCATTGTCATTTCGCCACATTTTTTGAGCTTTCTGCCGCCGGTACACAGTGCGGGGATTGTCGCGTGCTCCGGAAATGTCGGGTCTGCGCAATCGCCGTTACCTTTCATCAAATGCCGTTGTCACTATGTTCGCGTTTTGAGATGATGTGACATGTCAATACGAGGAGCCACTTTTCTGGTGCCAGAAATTCAGAGCTTCTTAAACCAGACCTGAGAGTGCCATTGGGGCATGACGCCTACCTATGAAACCTTCCCAGCTCACGTGTATAAGTTTTGCAAGAGGAGTTTCTCTCGACGCCGAATATTCATGCTCTGGCCGCACGGAAGGGAGGTTTTCTCAGCGGGACTATTTCTGCTTGCACACGGATGCCTATTCTTCTTCGTTTCTTGACCCCACGGACCTTCTGATTCGCATGCTGAGATTAAATCTAATACTTCGGGCTCCCAAGCGCGTGTCAGACTTTGTCTAACCAAAATTCCAGAGGCCTGGGCAGGGCCGACATGGCAGTGCTTGGCTTGCAGAAAAGAGCGATGGGAGCTCTTACGGAGCTGTCCGGTGCTCCAATTGCAGTTATAAGCCGCAGTGAACACAGCAAACAGATTTACTCGGATTTGATGGGTCACAATAGGGTCCACTAAAACTCGCTCAATTCAGCATAGGGGGCCTCCTAGAGAGGGCCCCCCAACGGACCCCTCCCACTGAACCTCAGCTGCTTTGTGGACCGGAGTGCCACTAGTATCCCTACCCCACGACTGCAGATTTATTCTTTTTTCTTCGTCTAGCTCTATTTTATGCTGTGCGATCCACAGAAGAGGGAGGTTCGGCTTGCATCCCGTCGATCCTCTCCTGCCTACGGGCTCGCTGTCCCTCCTTCGGCCCTTGACATTGAGTTTCTCTACTCTCTTCTTCTTTGGCCCTCTAATAAGCACAGGCTGTTTCTGACGCTGGCATTGACCCTCTAATCCAGCTGCTTTCTTGCTGCAGCTGCCGCTGTCTGCCTGTAATGACCTCCCCTCCTTTTACGGCAGCGCCATCTTGTCGCCTCTTCTGGCCCGCACGAGCAGGGGCTTTTAACCTTCCCCCAAACCCTTCGGGTGCTCGCCACCTCTGCCCTTGATTTATATTTTTTGGGGGAGGTTTCTTCTCAAGGAGAGCGCAAGGATAGGCGCGTCCTGCACCCCTAGGCTGCTGTGCACTTGGCCTGACAGTTGCCGCTGTGGGAGAGAGGAACCGTTGAAAGAGGAGTCTCAGGATAGGCACCCGAATCGCTGCCTATCCCTTCCGTCAATGACGGAGCACCGGCTCAAACTGCGTCTCGATAAGGGTGTGCATGAGCCAGTCTCGATCAGGGAACCGTGCCTCCTTGCAAATCTGCACGCCTCCGTTCATGAGCTGGACTGCTTGGCGGCGTTTTAGGATGCTCTTGGGGTAGCAGCCAGCTCATGATGCGGGACGTGCTGCCTCCCCCAAGAGCAGCAACTCCCGAGGCCTCTCTCGGTGCAGTCTCTCTGTGTGCTTTCGGTGCCTCTCTCTCACTTTATGCAAATGATGCTCTTGCTGAGAGGGCCGCTTGGACTGCGGTTGCAGAATGCTGTTTCTCCGAGAAGAAGTCTCCGCGCCTCTGGCGAGCTGCGTTACCCCTCTGCGTGGTTCGCATGCCTCAAACCCCTGCACGGGAGCAACTCGATGGCCCTCCCTAGCTGCTGCCTGGCTACGTGCCCACCTGTCGTTCGCTGCAGATTCACCGAAGACGCCCTGCTTGCGGCCTCTCTCGAGGCTTCCGCCTTCTCCAAAGGCTACAACATGGGTGTGCGGTGCGCCCCCTCGGATGCCTCCCAAGCGCCTCCTCCAGGGGCCTCTCGAGGGGGACGGTCCTCAGGAGCGTTCCCGACAGACGGCGAGCAGATTTCTGCCTCGGAGAAACCAAACGAGAAGCTGCGCGTCCTCGCGAGGCGTCGGGGATGTGAGGAGGATGTCTCGGTGAGCTACGAGAACTCCCTATGCCGGGTGCTCCTCACCTTCAGTGTCAACAAGGAGCTCACAGGCCCTCTAAGAGACGCCAGAGGCCACCAGGGTGCAAGAGAGGAAATCGAAGCGGAAATGGATATAGCGAGGTCCTTGCGTCGTGCCTCTGCCGTTTGTGAGGCTGTAAATCGCGGAGCCTCACCGGAGAACGCGTTAGGGGCAGAGGCCTTGTTGGCTCCCGCTTTGGTTGCCTACGCGTTTTCCTGCGGGCGGGAGGGGTCTAAAGGGAGTTCGTCTTCCCGAGTGATGCCTGGTGAGGAAGTTTTTTCGCGCGCGGAGACGTTTTCCTCTGCGCGCCAGTTGGTCTCTTTTCACTTGCCCTCTCTGTCTCCTGCTGCGCTATGCGATCTGATCTTCTTCTGCACCGCTCGCCTCCGTGTAAGAGATTCACAGTTCCTCGAAGATGCAGCGCGAGTAGCCCTCGAACACTTGAAGCTGCTGCTAGAGCTCGACAAGCCTGCGGAAGTCTATCATCGCCAGCCACTGCACAGCCGTAATGATCTGCCCGGACCTTCAGCTATGGATAGCGTCCAAAAGCCTCCCAGTACGCAGCGCTCGCCAGAGGACATGGCTGCGCAGGATGTTCGTGACGACGACTTTGTTCGGCGGATCCTTGAGGCTCCAGTCAGGTTTTCTCGGCCTCCAAGTGCACACCACATGGCGAAGTTGTTGCGAGGAATCATATTAGGGGGGCACGAGGCCCCTGAGGTGTTGGCTCTGGGTGTTGCTTATCTCAAACGGCGGTGTACATACACTCACAGCGACTTGTTGCACAGCCTGGCGCTGCTGAAGGTGATGCCCTCAGGCGCGCCTAGGGAGCACTTGGCCGCATTCGTGGCGCAGAAGCTTATCCTCAGGGAGCGAAGACTGCCGCTCCCTGTTGTTGCGGCTGCGGCAAATGTCTTCTCTCGCGTGTCTTTACCGCCGTTCAGAATGCAACCAGAGAGCTCGTGGGCTCACGCGGAACGCCAGCACATGCCTTCAAAAGGACTGGAAGCACTGGAAGGGGCGCGCAGTGCAGATGCCCTCGGTTTCTCAGTGGAAGCTAGAGTAGCTCCGAACGGTCCGTTGCACGCAGGCAGTTCGCGTTCGAACGGCAACGATTCGGCAAGTGTGCTCCCTTCGGCGGGAGCGCTGTATGCGAGCTTGTCGTGTAGCGCCCAGAGGGTCCTGGACGTGCGGCGGCTTGGAATAGGTGGCTCTGTGCGAGGCAGAGACTTAGCATTGCTCGCTCATGGATTCGTGAAAGCGGGGGAAGATCGCGCCGCGACTTCATGGGTTGTAGCAATGGAGAGACACTGGAGGGAGCTGCGCCCTGTTTTTGAGCCTGTGAGCCTCGCGCTCCTTCTAGGGAGCCTTCCGAAGCTGCAGCACGCGCTGCCGTGAGTTGATCAGACACTGGAGCGGCTCTCTCTCTATCTACCATTCTTAACGAAGCCTACTGGGGGCATCTCAAGGCCTGGTTATGCAGGCGGCGGCTTCAGAAGCACGCCATGCACCCTACACCGTGTGGTGCTCGTCTGTACACGTTTAGCAATGCTTCTAGCGCCTGCTTGATTTCTCTCTGCAGGGGGAACAAGAGCAGCGTCTGCCTAATGGCGCTGCTGCACTTACTGTCTCAGCAAGTGGCATCTCTAACAGCGCAGCAGCTTGTGATGGTTGCAGCAGGGCTCTCTAGGTTTCCTTACCGACAGGAGCATCCGTTGACTGCTCTGCGGCTCGTATGGCGGTGCGCTTGGGTTCTTTATCTACGCGGTTCTGGCTAAACTGTTTTCTCCCGCACTGGGGCCGTAGAGTAGGCTTCACGTCAGCATCCAGACAGCCCAATCAGACCTCCCTGGTCCAACAGCAGTACCCTGCTCCTGTGTGTCGCATCTGTTGGCTCAGATTTTTGTTCAAGGAATCGAAACCAAACGAGCTCACGCCATCGGATATCCAGAACCTTTTGTGTGCGCTGTGCCGTCTGGTGAGACTTGAGAGGGTGGGACCAGCGGTGCTCTACAGGAAGGGCACCGCGAGCCTTGAGGCCTCATTTAGAGACCGTTTGGCTAGGAAAATACCTTGATCACTGGGTGCGCGTGAATGCATTTTTCGCTGCTCACAGGCTGCTGGTATCTGCAGTCGTTTCTGCTGCGACTGCCTCAGGGAATAGAGGCGCCGGATGAGGTCGTCGCTAGGGTTTCGCGTATTCTAATCGCACAAGGGCCCCCAGCAGAGTTTCCGGAAGGCCTCAGAAATGAGGCCCTTGCTTTCTACGTCCAATTCGGTGTGCGTTCCTGCAGCAGTGTTTGGCTTACTCTGACACAAGGGCTTGAATTGTTGCTGGGTGCTCCGGCCTAGCCCTTTCCGGTGCATGCTGCTGGCTGAAAGCCTAGGACTTGGCAGCACAACCTTTTAAAGGCTTGAGGCGCTGCAGATGTTCGCACCTGCGCGCGGAAGTGTTGCAGCATTTGCCGTGTGGCTTTCTCTTGAGTGGTGTGAGGGTGGGTTGGCGAGGCTTCCTGAGGGTGCGGGCGTCTGTTTCTGGTGTCCAGACACTTGAAAGGTCCTTCGTGGAGGCGCTGCTGGAGGCCGCGGTGCACAGCAGAGACTGCAGCATTCAAACAGTATGTACAACCGGAGCAGGACCATCCAGCAGCAACAGCTGCACTCGGACCTCAGAGGGAGCGTTAGGGGGTGTATTACAGGCCGCTTTCGTGATGGGGGGCCAAGTTTTCTGAGGTGTGCTGTAACTTTTGCCCTCTCTCCTTGAGGCCTCTGAGTGTGTTGTCTATGTGCCGTATTCTCTGGTAGGTGGCACGCTGCTTCTCCGCCTTATCGCGGCTGGCTATGACGCCCGCGAGTCTTGCAGCGCCAGGCCCTGGTGTTGAGAACCCCACCAGTTCGCGTGCTCCCCTTGCAGCCCGCTCTGGAGGCAGTCATGATCTCGCGTGCCTCAACGAAGGGCCCCAAGGGATGAGCGAGAAGACGCTGCAGCTACTGACGTACCTCCAACGGCGTGTATGTTCTCATGGCTTGTCTCAACCGACGGGCAGAAGAGCCTCTGACGGCGCCGGAACTGCCGCAGCACTCTCCGCCCTTTGTCGCCTCTTCCCTCGCAGCGTGGCCTCTGGCTCTCCCGTGGCGGGCTTGCCTTTGGTGCAGCAAGAGAACTGTTCAGCGGAGCAGGGGAGAGATGATGCAGCAGGCTTTCCAAGGCGTGAAGTAGAGGGCCGATTGGTGGATGCACTGGCGGCGCGTCTTGTTGAGGGACTCTCAGGCTTGCATCGCAGAGAGGCTTTCGCGGTTTGGGAGGGAACTGCCGCCGCAGTCCATTTGGCCATGAGATTCCAAGAAGAAGAAGCGCAGTTCAGTAGAGACGGCAAAGAAGGGGGCCATATGCCCACACCCAGGAAACCCCGCAGCTGCGGTGGCTCCAGCTGCATGACCAACAGCAACACCCGCGACGCCTCTGATTATGCGCATGCTGCATCACAGCGTCTGTTAGCCGCTTCAGAAGGCATTCTTGTTACGTCCCCAACTTCCTCAGAGCGCGCAACACCAGCTGCTCTCCCCCCTTGGATTCATTTCCTATCTGCACTTTGCAGTCGCGGGGTGCAGCCCTTGGGATTCGCGTTGCCACTTCATAATCCTTCAGAACCTCGTTGGCCGTATGACACCCCCCCAAAAGGAGACTGTGGTGACCTTGTCGGTACGGCGGGGGTCTGGTGGTCCCATGCCGCAGTGAGAATCCGTAAGGTTCCTCCCCGCCAGGTGTAGTCTTCGTTGAGAACTCGGCGCTGTTTGAATGGAGTCATGCTTTCATCCACGCTATGCCGCACATTTGCGTGCGTTTTACCATGCACCATGCAGTTCGCGCCCTGAACTCGGTCGGCGTCAGCGCCAGCGGCATATTCCGTTCTGTCGGCTGCCGCCTTCTTGCTGCGCCAACGCAATCTCTGGGTACACAGGAAAACGTATTGCAAGACTTTGGGTGCTCTAGGGATGCAAGCGGCTTTCCGCACCGGGCCTCCGTCGATGCTTTTGAGCAGGAGCTACAGCTGCATAGTAAGCCGCGTGCACAGGCATCCTGCACTTGCCCCATCCCCCCCATATGTTGACATTTTCGTTGGTCAGCCACGGCGGAGGGCCCGACGGTAGGAAGGTTGACGCTGGCTGCAAAGGCGCCCAAAGCAGACTGACTCTCTCGCAAAAGAGAGTGCAGAAGAGATTGCGGTGTCTGCTTACTTTGAGCTGTTTGTTGCAGTCATACGCTTTGCGCACTCGTTTGTGATCCCGGCGCTGACGGCGGCCCTGCGTGCTGATTGGCGGAAGACGGCCTCTGTCGTAGAGTCAGAGGCCTCGGGAAAAGAGATGCAGATGGGGGTATTATTTCACGCTCTCTCGCTCTTTGGTGCCAAAGGCGATTTCCTCATGCCTGATGCGTTTATTCCGGGCGGCATGTGCTGCAGAACTAGAAAGACACTCACAGTGACAAGCACATGAAGGCAGCTAAAGAGAGGCACACAGGCACTCACCCATAAGGAGGGCCACAATCAACCACTACGGAGGTGGGAAAGAAGGGATTTGACGGGCATTTTGAATGGACGGTCTGATGTGTTCAGGAAAACACTTTCAGGAAAAGGGACGGCCCTCCACTGCATCCTTTGTCCGAGTTGCTGGTGGCGTTGCTTGGGCTGCGGCTGCGCATGCATCTGCTACAACAAAACGCACACTCTGCCCTTACCGCTGCCGCGCCTACTAGATCTGCTGGCGGCGTAAGCTGCGGAACAGGGCAGTTGTTGAGGGAACAGGAGCTCGAAGAAGCTCGAACGGCCTGCACATCCATTGTTGAGACAACTCTGGGGGCCATGAGCAGCAGCGCCATCCCACGACCCTCGGCGAGGGACTGTAAGCCAAGGAGCTCATGGTCTCTTTCGTACTGTTTGTTTTGCTCTGATTGCTGGCTGCTGGCGTCTATATTCGCCATGTCTGACAGTATCTCCTCCATCTGGTTTGGTTCGGTAACGGGCGCTCTCGCCTGAGCTCGTAGTCGAAGAATGTGCATTCGTGTCAGCAAGATAGAATTCTATTCATTCTTGCATTGCTTGTGGCACCAGTAGTAAAACTGTCCATTCCCTGGATCTTCCGAGCCTTTACCCTGCTCCCATCCAGTTGGGTACATGGTCTCATCTGTGTTCTGTGGCTGTGGTTCGCTACAGCGGACACCTTCGGGCTTTTGGCCCTCAGTGCCCAACTGCTCAAGGCCCTTGATCCCAACCTGTGGAATCAGTACTGTGCGGTGCTAAATTATCGACTAAAAGTAAGAAACATAGGTGCTGTTGCACTCCCGGGTCTGGATGGATGAGCGTTGGCGTGAAGTGTTGATTCACATGGGAATTGAATGACCTTACACCACTTGCTGCATGCAGCTGGACTATCTGCACACTGTAGCGGTTTTCTTCCCGCAGGCCCTCGCCCCCCGCGCAGCCGTGCAGAGAACGCAAGCCTGTCGTACCCCGGGTGTCGCGAATACTCAACATCCCCTCTGGTGTTGGGCGGACTCTAAGCAGGAGGCCTCCGAGGCTGTCGAAACGGCGGTGCGGAATCTTAAACATGAAGGAGACGCTATAAGACAGAGTCTACGTTACCAAATCAGCTCAGATATATCTGCACTGACGTGCCGTGGAATTTCAATGTTTGGCGCGACTCGCATACTCCAAGTGGACGTACTCCATGGAGAAACCAGGGAAAGGGTAGGGCATTCTGAAGCACGCATTTACAGCACCTGCAAATAAGTCACTGGATACCCCTGGGCGTCCGTGGGCTTTTGGAGCCAGCAGAAACCTGCGACAACGTTGGTCACTGCACCTGCTTTATAGTCCAGTGCTCACATACACGAAGTTTGGCTCCCGCGCCGCCACCAGTAGGAAAAGAAGCAGCAATCAAAACCACTCATAAGACATTATGGCTGGTACATTTTTCGCAGGTCCTATTTGTCGTGGTGTCTCCTGCTGACTCTATGGTACCTGTGATATTCAATTCTGACCAAGGGACTACCGCGAGTACTCAGAGGTTTACTATATCTCCCGCGATCGAACATTGCCTTATTCAGCCCCTAGTCGGTATGGAGCTCTTTGCGGCGCTGCATTGTCTCTTGCATGCACCATGCCAGCAACGCGACTCCCCCCAGAGGTACGTGTTGAGCCTGCGTAGAGAACGATTTTGGGTACATCTTTCTGAGGCAGACCGCAGTGGGGAGTTTGCCTCAGCCTATGCCTCGCAATGGAAGTGGCCTTGAATAGCCCCCTGGAGTAGTGAGATGCCAAAAGGCAGTCTTCTTTATCCCGTTGTACATGGCTTCACACCAATTTGTCGTACTGCTCCGCTACCATCCATGTTGTTGTCGGCTACTGCGATGTGTATACGTTTGTGTAAATATATACGTCCCCCGACTCTTGACAGGCCTGTGGTGGCGATTGTGCTCGGTTCTGACATCAAGGAGCAGCAGCAGTTCTACCAGCTGGTTGCCACTGCGACGGTGTGTTCATTGGGCGGACAGAAACGTCGTCAATGGAACATGAAGACACAGTGAGGGAGTGAAGGCAAGCATGTGGGTATAGAGTGCGGCATGCATCGGGCAGCAATTTGACATCTTCTCAAACTCAAGAGATCGGCAAATGTCGTATGGTATATTTCCACTTCAGATTTAGGACTTTGCTTTACGCCACTACCGCAGAGGCAGTTTGGACGCGCTGCTGTGGGTTAGCGGAAATGCAGTAAGGCATACAAGTGTGCAAAACGGAATATATATATATATATATATGCTGGGACTTCCTTGAACCAGCGCTGCATGTCGTTTGTCGGCACTGCTGATTACTCTTTTTAACCTTCGTGTGCTTGTTTGCTTGGCAAACATAAACAAACGGCACTAAGGGACTATATGTACTCTCCTCGCCGTCTCAGTTGATAAATGCCGTTTTTTTTCAGGTTTTTTCCTCGTAAGTTTTGCACTTGCTCTCCTGAACGCACGTCGAGTAGTGATTTTCCTTTTGGCGAGGTGCAACAACAGCCGCAGTTACAGCCCGTGCTCCCTTGAGACGGCCAACTCGGTAAGTGGCTGTTCTTGTAGAGCGTCGAACTCCGGAGAAAGTTTTAGCAGATCAAAAATTGCCTCGTGCGTCTTGTCACGCAACTGCTCAACTGTCAAACCCTGAGGTCAGAGAAACAAATTGAAAGGCAAGGTAGGACAGGATAGCCAAGAAGTTCTGGCTGGCACGATAAATTCTTGAGGCACTTCATGGGAAAGTGAGGAGGAGCGCCTGGGGATCCTACAGGACCTTTGGGGCCATGAAGCTCCATCTACGTATTGTAGCACTACACATGGCCTGTTCGAGAGAATTGCCATGTCCGTGAGGCGTTCGGTAGTGCATGAAGGTAGATACGAGGCCACTCTCTGCCTAGATGTACCTTCGGGGAGATGAGTTCGCCAGCCGCAACGTAGGAAGTGCCCGGATAAAGGAGTTTGCTGGTGACTGGCCACAGCCGGAAGTTGTTATGAAGAGCTGCACGTTTGCCCAAGAACAACAGCAATAAAAGCGGTATGGCTAATAATGACAGAAGCCTCAGGAGGCAAACAATGTCTTTGCTGGGGGGGAACTCAAGCCGACTTGGTGATGCCCCGGGCTGGTCAAGAACTTGAACAGTGGTCACACACGCGGGATGCCTAGTCAACTTCTCAGTTCACGGATCTGCGTACTTTTTAAGAAGTACTACCAAAGCATTTAAAAATGGAACAGAGCATTTGGTGTGCAATGCGCGGAGACAAACACAGCCAAACACCACGCAGTATGTTTTAAAAATGGTGGGGAAAACTCGTACCAACGGGGAGAATGTAGATATCCGGGTTATCTACGGCCAATCGGAAAAACCCGTTTCTGAAAGGCTGCAGTCTACCGGTCACACTGCGCGTCCCTTCAGGGAAGACTACCACGCAAATGCCGTCCGAGAGGGCGTGGAGGGCCTCCTACATGCGCAACAACTGATTATCTCAAGACGGAATAACGAGACAGTGGCATGCAGAATGGCGCACGCCCGAATACAAGCAAGAGACGAACCACACCGGAAAGGTGCACAGGGCAAAGGGATTCTACAAGGAGCAGTATCTCACACACAGTACAGTAAGACAGCTCATGCGCACAGAATACTGTCCCCAGTCTTCTCAGCTACATGTCGAATTTTATGCAAATGGGTGCAAAGAGCGAGGATACAGTAAGAGCACTGCGCCTTTTTTGCAAGTCTATATTGAGTCGTCAGCTGATCGGTTTGAAGGGCGAAATGTGCATGGCATATACAGATATAGACTATATACACAGCCTTCCGGTACTTGGGGAATTTAATTCTATATGCATTCGTTTCTTGCCTGCATCATATTCTGTACGGCTCCGGGTTGGGTGCCCCATCCTCCCCGCTCTCTCGTAAACTGAACCGAAAGGCACCCGGCCAGATACTGAGCCCATCCTGGAAACAAGGCAGGAAAGGGGGGTTTCACAGAGGCATGCTCTTTTGGAGTAGCTAAGAGAGCTTCATCAAGAGGCAACGCAGAACAAGCAAGTACAGACATAACTAGGATGCACAAGCTGAGCGAAAGTGTGTGGCCAGCAGCAGAAGCAACGTGACAGCTGCAGCTAACAGCTATTACCGTTCCCTCTGTTCGCACGCAGCACGAGACGTTAAGCGGTGACGCGCGAAGAATTGAAAGGAAAATACACAAAAGGAACGACAAAGACGAGCGGGGGAAGAGCGACACAACAGGGAAGCGAAGAATAGGCGGTCATGGAGGAAGAATGATGGAAAGAGCAACAACTCGGGGTAGAAAAGAGTGGATGGCAAGAGTTGGCCTACCTGCAATGGGTACACTGAGAAGAGAATGCTTCACGACGTACATCGTAGGAATTCCAAGAAGCGTCGACCCCAAAACCCAGGGATCTATGCGAAACGGAAGTGAGTTGACAAGACGAAGGGAGCATAAAATCCAGTTGCACAAACCGCTTGGTCAGTTGAAGCATTGCAGGTGATGCATCGATAGGCAGCAGCATAATTTGTGGGACGGAAAATGCTCTAGCAGAACCGAACGATGCAAGCCGCTGGATGGCGAAATAACATGGGCAGGAAGGCGAACACGAACGGCGAAGTGGAGGAATCACCCACACAGGCTCCGAGAAGCTGTGACACGGCTTTTAAGAGACAGTGCCCCACTTACCAACTTTGCTGGTGTGATTTGCCATCACAATGACTTTCCTGGAGGAGATCCCCGAGGGTAAAGGACGCAAGACTTGCTTTTTCCAAAAGGGACGGCATGCAATATACGCTATAAAAAGATAAAAGCAGGGAGAAGCAGAAGTCAAGAGCGCCTAAATTTGTAATCTCGCTTTTGAAACAAAACGAGAGGAAAAGATAAAGAAACGGACGAAGGTGGATTCTCTCCTCTTAAATGCTGGAATAAGACGAGCGTGCGTGAGGAAAGAGATGTGTAACACAAGTGCAGCACATGAAGACGCAGAGCTCGAAAGCTCGGCTAGCGATCAAGCTAGCATGCCCCAGGACAGTGAATTCTAGGAATGCGAGAGGAACTAGTAGAATTCCCCATCTCAAAGTATACCGTCACACGGCTGCATGCCTAAAAAGCGTGTTCTTCATTTGAGTTTCGAAACCGATATGCATCGAGCTCTACAGTGCGTATTTTTTCACTAGTTTCCTGCCATGCATTCAGAAACTGAAGCCAAATCTCAAAATCTTACTACATTCACGCGCGAGTCATTTGGCTGCTTACCGAGTTCCATGAGGCCTTGGTGAGTTTGTCCAAGTATCACTACGCGGAGTTTAGGCTTAATGAGGAGGAAGGGGAAGAGGCAGGCGCCTTCGATGCACTGCAAAACGAAGGATATAATAAAAGAGATAGACACCACGGTGTAGAAATACACCGTAAGCAGCCAGCGAATGGCCAGAGGAGTGCTCATCATCATCGTAACTCTACGTGGAAAACAGATAATGCTAATATATGCAAGGATTGGAATGCCTTCGCTTTTTGTTTCTACTGCCAAAAAGCAGTGGTCAACGCGAAGAAAAAAAAACAAAGGATACGCGCATTCAGGAAAAAACAATCCCCGAGACAGTCGATAGAATGGTGTTTAATGCAACTACACACACATCGGAAAATGCTTTCAAGAGTGTGGTTTGCTTCCACTCCCTTTACCGTGAATAACCCACCGGGAGTCGACGCAACCCGTCTAACGGGTCACAGCCCTAAACAACAAAGAATTGTGTCAGGGCTTTCTGCTCCCTGTTGGTAATCAAATACTTTTCTTTTATTTTATATTTGCATTTAGTCCAAAGATTTGGATAACGGTCCTGTTTGCGTCTTTGTAATGTTCTGTTCTTTCCAGCATGCATGCCAAATTTGCCGTCTGTGTTTGGTCGTGTTCTAGAGATTCTCTTTTCCTCTCATTGAAAAATTCCGCTCCTAACTCTCTCTCTCTATCATCTCAAGGTTATCTTAGCTTACCTTTCCCTTGAGTATCCCTGTTTTCACGTTTCGTCGACAATGGTGCAGCTCGACCTTCGGCAGAAATGCCTAGGGGCAATCGATCCACAGCCCGAGCAGCAGTTTTCTGCGTTCACACCCCCAAATAATGCATCTGGATCAAGTCAAATAAGCGGACACGAGACTACTGCTAGCTCTGATCTTCAGGACGTAGAGCCTTCCAACACCGTCTTATCGAAGAACGCAATCAAGAAACAGCGAGCCCAAGAGCGGCTGCAGGAATTCAAAGAACGACGGAGGGCTTTGCGGCCAGATATTAAACGTAGGAAAAAAGCAGAAAGGCGGGAAATGGCAGCGCAAAAAAGCTCCAGTGCAGCAGACAACTCCCCCCCCGCAGGAGGGGATGCTGGTCTAACTGTGCGTATTTGCGTTGACTGTGCCTTCGAAGAGCTGCAAAACGAGTCAGAGATATCTTCCCTAGTGCAGCAGCTCATGTACGCATATGGGGATGCCAACCGTCTCAATCGAATAAGAGATAAGGCAGCAGGGAACAAGCGGCGGTGGAAAAGCGGATGGAGAGGAGCGGCCGATGTGAAGGAGGATTTTCAGCAGACGGGAAAGGAATCGACCAAGCAAGACACGAAGGAGCAGGTCGACGGGAAAGGGAATGAGGCGGCGATGAATATCTCCACAGAAGATATGAACAGCACATCAGCTTCCGTTTTTTCAGCAGGTGACAGTACGGATCAGAACGTTGCTGCGATGCCTTTATTTGAGGTGTCAGGCATCTCCTCGAGCTCTGACTCCCCTGCTAGCTCTGCAAGCACGAGGGATACTGCATTTTATGGAAACGATTTGGCCTCCCCACCACCCCCTGTGGCTGGCTCTTGCGCTCCCCCGTGTTTTCCATCCAACCGTCCAGCTGTTGAGCTGTGTATATCTGGTGTTGGGCCACGTGTCTACTCGGCATTGCGCCGGGTGCAGTGCAATGGCCGCTGGAAGTGCGAAGTGAGTTGCGAGACGTTTGAGCGGCTTTTCGCTGCTGATTGTGCCTTGGAACGGGTCGTTTATCTGACTGCTGATGCAGAAGAGGAGTTGCATACCCTAGACGCAGACACAGTATACATAGTTGGTGGCCTTGTAGATAGAAACAGGTACAAAGGACTGACACTGAATAGGAGCAAAGAGAAAGGAGTACGGGCAGCCAAGCTACCTATTGAAACGAAGCTCGGACGGAAGCTCGACGGCTCCAAGATCCTTACTGTCAATCAGGTAACGAAAAGAAAAAATATTGCATTCCCACAAGGATGTGCATATAACCAGCTATACCTAAGAATCTAGATCTGCATCTGTTCCTTGGTACATAGGAACTCTTTGAAGATATAGTTTATCTCTAGTAGCGCCTCTGCTGATACTAGGATGCCGGGTTTCACCTGGTATTTGTAGTCTGAATGTAAAATTAGATCTCCAGACTCTCTAATGCTGCTGCCAGTGTTGGTGCTGCTGCTTTTTCAGGTGGTAGGTATTCTGATTGCATACGCTGAGCTGGGTGAATGGGGTTCTGCTCTTTCGCGGGTTTTGCCAGCGCGAAAGTCCGGGGTGGAGTCTCCCCAGCAAAAGGAGTCACCCCTTGAAGAGAACATCCTTCTGGAAAACTGAGGGACACTTTGCCTGTACATCTTCTGCTGCATCTACATACATGTGGAAGTTTCAAACTCCCAACAGGACGCCCACAGGGACTACTCTCAAGAAAATGTCATACTCGTGTATTGATGGGATCTGAGTTCGTCGCTGCAAAAGGGCTTGCTGCAGCTTTCTAAATCGTGCTATTCTAGCAAAACATTTGAATTTTGAATGCCCAGTTTAGCCTAGTTAACGCGAAAACGTAGTATTTCTAAGAAGCCTTGGAGTTCTTGCCGGGATTCCTTCCAGCTAGAGGAACCAACCTTCTGTTTTTTGTGGTTTCAGCACTCTCTACACTTATACTCTTTTTATTTTTAAGGTTCTACGAATCTGGCTTGCGGTTGAGAGTCCAGGGGGCATTATTGAGGTTGCCTGTGTGGGTACATACTTTAAGACAGCTAGGACATACGCACTTTTCCGGCAAAAATTGACAAGAGGGCTGGAAGCACAAAGAAGATAACGCCTCTTGTCTGTACCACATATTTCGCCATACGGCCTTTGATGCGAGGCGCATTTGTTGTTGCTCTTTAGGAGCGCTTTGCTCAGATCACTTTATGTTCAAAAAACCCTGTAACACCGTATGCTGAAGAAGGCAAGGATAGTAAGGAGCTGTAGGAGAATTCTGGAACGACCTATGCATGTTAAGTAGTAAAGCATATAGGCGAGTTTCGGTGGGTTTCATAGCATTCTGTGGGTCAAACTTAAGGACCAATGCAATAGTACACGTCAGACCCGACACTTGTGCGGAGGTAACTAGGTGGCTAAAAGTCCACTTCCGCGCAGTACACAAAGGATAAACTAAAGTTATTGCATTTTTGCTGAACCACCATCATTTTTTTAGAGTCTCTGCTTGTGCGTGGACTGTGGTAATGCACCCACACCCGGGGGCCCTGAGGCTCCTGTATGGGGGCCCATTTTTAAAATCTTCGTCCGTTTTGTGTCACTTCATATGAGCTCCTGCTTTTTTCCGATTATTATCCGTTTATTCGTGGGATTGTGCTACATTTTTTTTCCCTCCTCGAGATGGTGCTTCTGGGGGTATGTAATCCTCTTTTGGACGTCGTGGCTGAGGTACCCCGTTCGCTTATCGACGAATATGGGCTGCCCCACGGGGGCGCCGTCCTCGCGAACGAGCACCAAATGAGCCTTTTCCCCATACTGGAAAAGAAGTATGCATGCAAGTATCTCGCAGGAGGATGCGGCCAGAACACTATTCGCGTGTACCAGGCACTGTGTAACAACGTGAGCCTTCGCCTTGGCGCCTGTATTATTCGCATTTTATAGAGTAAACGATCAGCTGTGCGAGAAAACTGGTATCAGTAGCTCGGGTGCCCCTGTACTCTCGGGCCTTATTACTCAGCTCTGGCGCAAGATCTTGAACATCATCCTGCAGGATACGTACACCTCTCGACTATACAAATGTTTTATTCCCCATCATCGTCTGCAGGGGGCCACTAGAGAGCGGCGTATGTCTTATATTGTGATGTGCGAAATGCTGCTGATGTACTAAGAATTTCTGTTGTGCGTGTACATCTCTGCTTGCGAAACAGCCCGGGGAGAGCAAATTCCTTGGGTGCATCGGCCAAGATAAGGAGGGCGCCCAGCTCAAGGAACTGCTGGAATCACAGGGTACTGGTTCACATATTTTATTCTGTATCACCTCATTTGTTGAAAGCAGCTGACAGTATGCTCATGCGTAGGAGAGTTGGACCTGTCTGACACCTTTCTGGTCGGTCCCCTTCCTCGTGTTTCCCTTTGCTCTTCTTGATTTCTCATGCTTCTGAGCACTGACACTGAGAGTAAAGACGTTGTGTTACCAGTAGCAGTAGTTGGGACGTTCCGTAATGTGGTCTGGGCAGTCCGCACACGAGGGGTTGCAAAGATCAACACGGAAAGGAAAGCATATGGCTACGCGTGCAAATATGATTTCTAGCACTCGCTTCACTCTCTGTGCCCTCTTGTATGGATTCTCTCATTCTTATGATGTACATGTTTGTCGAAATTTTCTCGTTGCGCACTTAGGTATAATCCCCATCTATAAAACGAGCGCGACAAAGCCTACGGGCACCTGCATGGTGCTGGTGACCGACAAAGAACGCTGCGTCTGCACCAATTTGGGAGCCTCAGTAGATATCGACGAGGCCTTTGTAGAGGCGAAATGGAAAGAGGTTGAAGCATGCGACGCCGTGTACTGCACCGGGTTTTTGTTGTCCTCTTCTGCTGCCGTGAGACACAACAAGGGACATGCACTTAAACAGGCACAAGCAGATACCTTATAGCTCTGTGCTTCTTCTGCTTGTGTGCGCACGCCCGTCCTCATATCGATGGTGTGTCTTCTTTGGCGTTTGTGAAGAATCCTTTTCAGTCATGCTTATTCTGTTTCACAGTGAAGCGCTTCTTTTCTCGCCATTCAATCTCGCAGTTGTGTTACCTCAGTTTTGTTCATGTCTATATTGCTGTACTCCTTCCTCTGTGTGTGACCTCCTCTGCCCGAGAAGGAGCATCTGTAGCCAATATTCCAAAGTGCTTTGTGTAGCTGCGTACATTGCGTCACAAGGGCCATTATCGCTCCCCAAAATACATGCAGAAGTTTTACAAGAGATCTCGTACAATTCTGTATTACAATATTTCTACAGCGCGAACTTGTGTATGCTCTGTTCGCGTGTTAGGTGTTGCTGAAGCTTGCTCGTCACTGCCAGTCGTCTGGAAAGACCTTCGCATGCAATTTGTCGGCTGAATTCTTGATGCATGAGTTTAAGGCGGAGTACCTTGAAATGCTGCAGAGAGCCAATGTCTGTTGCGGCAACAAGGAAGAAGCCACAAAGTTCGCAGAGTTGAACGGCATGGACACAACTGGCAGCGTTGGGGATACAGCAGCGCAGATCCTTGACCTCATGCTGAAGGGGCTTGATGAGGGAGCCAACAAACAAAAAATGGTTGTCGTTACACAGGGAGCGGATCCCGTGATTGTCGCCAGCCGCACGTAAGGCAGGAACAGCGAACGTATCTAAGTAACCCTAAGAAAATCACAGTTGCGACACTACTAACAGGAACCAGAGGATGAAATACAGGCGCGACATATAGGATTTAGCAGGCTGAAAAGCAGCATGTGTGCTGGGCTATGTTCTGTTCCATCTTGACTGAGTAGTTCTACTGAAGCAAAGTGATTTTCTTATCTCAGGTCAAGTGCACCTTTTATTTTGCTTTGCTTTCCTCACTGGAGCCTGGCTGGTTGCATAGTGCTCTGGCTTTGCTTGCATCTTTGAATGTATCCCAATATCTTGCGTTGCGAGAGTCTTCCGACCTCATTTAATACTCTAGAGGTGTGGGTGGCTGCAGGCCAAGCGGTACCATCTCTATCGGCTCGTATCCTGTGCCCGAGGTGCCTATGGAAAAAATAGTAGATTTGAATGGGGCAGGAGACGCTTTTGTTGGCGGCTTGCTGTTCGGGTTGCTGCACAACATTGGAATCGATGCTGCAATAGAACTTGGAAACTGGTGCTCGGGAGTTGTTATCAGGCGAAGCGGATTTTCATTCGATGCTACGGGATGTCCTTACATTAAATGAATGGCAAAACGCTGAGAGGTGAGGGTAAACGAGGAACGTATCAAGAAGCAGAGACCAAGACGAACGCGGAAGCTGACACAGATTTTCTCTTTGCCTCGTTGCCGGTTGCGTCTGGCTTGTCGGTAGCGCGTGTTCGTGCCTCTTGGGCGTCAGTGACCAAGATGTACGTGATACGTGGAAAACTAATGCGGGAAAATGAAGCAGTCACTGCTGGCGGGCCTACGCGTTGTATTTGGTTGGCACTACTCTGCTGCGCACACATATATGCTCCGTTTGTGTGTGTGTGCGCTGCGGTGGCACAGGCTTCCTGAAGTGCTGTGCATTGCCATTTGGGAGGGTACCTTCCAACGGCAAGAGAGAAAGTAAACGCGTGGAAAGGTGTTGCTTTGTTGACAGAGGCAGCACCTTCCCTAACTGCTACATACACACCTTCCGCTTTTTGATTTTACTGATGCGGCTGACTGTGCAATCTTGCCCGCTTTGGGATGTGCCTTCCATCCACTTACGGATTGCACTATTTCGTTTTCTCACCTCTGGTGTAACATCCCAATTCCGGGCCAACTCTTTCGTGTGGCCTGGAGAGTGTATGTCTCAGAGGATCAATATTCGATAAGTTGCTGCTTTTCTCACTCGGCGTATTTCATTGTATGTTCCTGTTTTTCTGCGGCTCTCAAACTCCTTGCGGAAACTACCGTCACCACATCTGTGGCGTGTTTTATCGCCAAAACTAACATGTTAGGTTCACGGTCTCTGCTAAGCTGCGGAATCACTCCGCAAAGGCCTACAGGATACCTATTCGAACACCCAGAGATACTGCTGTTGCTGCTTGTAGGTCTCCCTGTTTACTTTGCGCTGCATTCTTTCGCTCTAAATACCATTGCCAAATACTTCGCTTGCAGGATTCTCTGTTTTTAGTGCCTGGTCTGCTGCTTGTCTTTCCCGTGCCGCTGCTCAAACACTTTCCCCCTGGGGCTATTGTTAAGCTTGCGTCAGGCTCTATCCAAGTTTACAGTGTAGGCAAGAGCAGAAAGTTGGCTCTTGTAGAAGCTTTTAACAGCTCATCGATAACATAAAGTCCACATTTGCTGGGCGTCAACAGGCACAGAGCACTAGCGCTCAAAAGGCACCCTCCTTTTTCTCGTCCCGAGCAGCTCCGGCGCACAAAAGCCTGCAGCAGCACTTTGAAGCAAGCTTCGTGTGCCTACCTCTGCGTGCACCTATAGCCCTTCGGATGGCTGACATTTCAAATGTCTTTGTCTGCCCCATGCAGCCCTGCCTTCCCTTCCGCCTTGTCTTTCTGCCCTGCTTTGTTCATGGGCTCCAGCAGCTACCCTCGTAGGGATTACAACTGCTATCAGTTTCATATCACAACCAAGCTTATCAGGGCCTACTGTGTTTATAGTGAGCATGAGCGCGTACCGAGCTGTATATCACACTTTAAGTGCAGTGGCCTTGCCTCCGTGGCGCTGCCTGAGGGAAGACTTGCGTTTCATAGCCCCAGTTATCTCTGCGGATGCAGCACATGTACCTCCGCTTTATGATGGAAAGTACCTCCGACGAAATCAAGGTGTATATTTCAGTTCTGAGTGCTGCAGATTTAGCAGGCAGCGTTGGCTTTCTCCTTCAATTGTATTGTTGCGCTCACTCGGTGCTGGTCAGTAGTCAAGACTACACGCTGTCGGACCGAACGCGGCATCAAGCCGATTTACGTGTTGGCTGACGTGGCTGTGGATGAGGGAATACTTTCATTGAGGCACCTAATCACCACATTACCGCAACCTCTGTCACGCAGGCAGCAGTATCGCTGAAGGGGGGACGCAGATAGCAGTCAAAGGGGAACGGCTGGCCTCAGGAGAAACAGGAAAACTCGGATTGCTCGCTTGACAGGCAGTCAGACACGCTTTGCTTGAAAGCACGCAAAAGCTTCGATAGAATAAGAACATAGGATAGAGTGGGTATCAGAAAACATAGTCAGACACGCATTAATGTTTAATGATTTCGAAATGCACTATTTGCCTCCGTGACGTTTAACGCATTTGACTGAAAAGAACGATGGCTTGTTATCCTTGCCTCCTGATCCAATCATGGGTCGTTGGAAGACTGGATGTGAAGGGACCAAACGACAATAAATGTCCGTCATGGGTTTTGCTCGAAGCTCATTTTTTATTGATTATGGGCATATATAGGCTTCGGAGGACCCGCTTGCAGGGCCGAAACCCCAGTTAGGACGCAGCTAGTCTCTTGAACTTCGTGCCGCCCCAGTTCCACATTAGCATTGGCACTTTCGTGCGACCGCAGGATGAACAAGCAGCTGGTGAAGGTAGTGTTACTCTTTTTGGTGCAGCGACTGCTTTAATAGTGAGACACCTGGACGCTGCTGCCTGTGCTAGGCGCTGCTCACCAAGCGCTCGCTATGGTCACAATAAAAAACCTATTCCAACAACAACGGCAGCATCAATATCCAGAAGATATATGTATTAGTTTACTATCAGAGTACAGAGATTCTAGTGTGCTGCACTTATTACGCATCAAACTGAATGAATACTTCAACGCGTTCCCAGGGTATAAAACCCCCAAAGCTGGCTCCATGCGAGATTGTGTGTCACTATCATTTCAGCCTCTATCCTAGGACACCAACAACGCAGTAAAACGCCAGCATATATTAGAGCTACAAAGTGTGCAAATGTCCTTTTGAACAGCTTGACGCTGCCAGGCCTGCTTTCCGTCTACCTTGAGATCTACCTTCAGCTAGTACTGGCTCAATTAGAGTTGCAGCCTTTTTCCATCAAATGCACTCGGCGTATGCGTCGCTAAGGGCTGCTATACTACGGGCTATAGCACAGAAGAGAGGAATTGGGTATGATGGAATCGGACTGCACTACGGGAGGTTGGTGTAGAGCCACGGATGGTGTCTTAGAATTAGCAGATGGCCTCGAACAATCGAAATTCGATTCTGCTCCCATTCGGCCTACCCACTAACTTAGTGTTACCTTCGAAAATTGTGTGGTCTGTAGAACCGAGTGCATAACGCATGCAGGGAAGTTCTACCTCTAAAACTGATTACACGGAGCAGTTATTCGCGAAGCAAAAAATGGAGGGCGACTTCGCGATCAACGAGTTGATTGCTAGAAAAAAGGATCAAAAACTGAGATAGAATGCAGTTATACGCGTTCCTAAGGCCTGGCTTGGTAGAGTTCGGATTTTGAACCCTGAACAGCTATCCGTCCAGGGGTCGCATTGCAGCCTAAGATGGAAGCTAGAGGGTACCGTGGTGCATTCTGATCCTTTGTTTCAATTTCCCCTCCCTCCCTCCGCCTGTTCGACCCACTCACAGTCCCCATTGCATCCTCTTCCTCCGTTTCTATTTCGCCTCCTTACATCAATACAGCAAACGCCACCATCATGTAGCCCGTGGAAATCATCCCAATAATGCAGAGGGCCACAATCAACTTGTTGAAGAACCGCATTCTCCAAAGAGCCAACTCGCGGCGCTTTGCCCAAAACAAGATATGTTTGCGTGCGTTCCCCAAACGCCGTGCCTGCTTTTAGTTCGTGGAACACGACCAAGTCCTGCTGCCGTAGATGTCGTCCATAAAGCTGCTTATCGCCTTGCTGACAAGGCTATCGACACGTAGAAATAACAAGAAGGATTGATTTCGGTATTACTTGCAAAAAGCAGTGATACGTTACTCCCTGAGGCAAACGACTGTGGAAATAACAAGTAGGTAGCAGGCCATGCTAATCGAGCCGCACAGGAAAAAGAGTTCGACTGGCCCGAACATGTTTAAATGTAGATAAGGAAGAGAGCCGACAGCAAATATACAGTGCAATATTAAGCTCGTAATATGGAAGAAATAAAGGAAAGAGGGGTGCGAGAGAGGAAAGCCCCCGAGTCAACAAGTTGTTCTCGGCAAGCCATGGAAGGGTGCCTTCGCGGAATCGAAGCCACACCAAGGAGGATACGGGGAGTAAGAAGCCACTTTCTCCATGCTTGCATATAATAAACCTTTTACACACTAAATTTTTGTCATTCTGAAAAATGAAAGAAAAAGCCCGTTAGTGCTTTGACAAATCTAGAGGTGTGGATACATCAATGTGCACTCTGTGAGCAAATTGGCCGCTCGACTCTAAATTCACTGTTTCTGCTCCTCGCTTTTGACCCAGCGTGATACAATACTGCTATCTAGTAGCTGTGTTGGCATTCAACTTAATGCCATTAGACTACACCTCATTGTGGTGTCTTCGTGCTATGTTCTTAGTGAACACTTGCAGTCACGAGCAAGAAGAGGGCTCGATGACACAAAAATTGCAAATAAAGAGCATAGAAACAAAATGAAGCGGGAGGCACATATTCTTCGATTAGCTGGAATCGCCCCGTTTTTTCACAATTAGGTTAACAGTGTGTGAGCCAGAATAGTTTTGCACTCTGGAACAGGCTCTGCATCCATGTTGTATGGTCTGTAATTATTTATAGAAAGATGGATACTGAAGCGCAAATGGTACTCCCAGATCAACCAAAGTGTGCATAATGCCTGAGGCATCGAGTCTTGTAGGACACATGGCCTTAGAAACGTTCAAGCAGGAATCACCCATGGCCATCGACTGCACTGCATGGATTATAATACCTACACATATTTGGGGGTGTAGCTATGCATCTAACCTATAACAGCTTGCTCTATGTAGCCTATCAAGCTGTACATTAGTTGCATCGAATTAAGATTTGGTTGATATTTTGTGTCATGAGTTTTGCCTTCCTTATAAATTAGTCAATGGAGAGTAGCATTAGTGCAATGCTACAAGAATGATCCCCGTGTACCTGTACGGTGCGCCGCCGTGTGCAATTGGCTGCGAATGCCCGGGGTGATCAACAACGCAAACCCCAGCTATCAATTTCCCCTTATGCCAGAACCTTCTGGGGTAAGAACAAGGAAGAAGCACTTTGCAAGGGTAAATTTGTACCCCGTTTAGTTGGCGGAAGGCATAGATGCTAAGAGTCTCCTTATGCAGATCGGATAAGAAGTTGTATATTCCACGCTTCAAGCTCTATCCGCTCAGATCGCGAAACAATCAATTCAAGGAATAAGATGGAGAAATGAAGGGAAAAACCCAATGTTAGGAACTGGCTTGCTGTACAGAGGCAGCACTATCTAACTGATCCAGTGAAGACTAGATGCAATTAGGCCCTAAATTGCGTTGCCATCCTCTGGGATCCCCCGGGGTCAACGCTTTAAACAGATCCTGGACCTGAAAAATGCAATGAGCCTGCGCAACTCTTCGCATAAGAATAGACTGTTTTCTTTGATCAATAGCATCATGTCTAGCTACTACAATTTTTCCTATTTCTCATTCGAGCGGTAACAGCTCGATTGTTGCCAAGCATCTGTGATCCGTAGTGTGGGCTGTGTGTGGAGCAAAAAGACCTCCAGGTTGTATACAAGACAAGCCCCTCCACTTCATGCGAATGTTTTGCAGCCTTCCTGTCGTCTGATCTCCTCTGTTAAGCTGCTTACGCTTAGCGAACCCCCTGGACCTGGCTTACAGAAGCGCCAAGACACCCTGCCCTGCTGCGGTGCGGGGCTGCCTGATTCAGCAAAATATAGAGTCGCTGGTATTAGCCAACTCTACGTCGTTACACGTGAGTGTCAGGCCTTTAGTAAATACAGGGAGCACCTGCAACCGGTCACTCCAGAGACAGGCAGAAGAGGAGCACAGAGCGTTTTCCGTGTGGTTCAAGCATTCGTGTGTTGTAAGTGGTCAGCAGGCCAAAGACTGTGATAAATTGCAAAAGAAGTATTCGTGTGTGTTCACGCTTAAAAAGCGACTAAGCGCCTTAGAGCCTGAGAGGCTGCAAAGCTTCACACTTTAAATAATGCTGCATCTGCGCTTGCGAGGTATATTGATTGCTGGTGAGCTGCAACAGTGTTCTTTACTCAGCGTACTGCACTATTTGAGAATACTGGTCAGCTTGTTTGTTTCTGAGGCGTTTTCTGTTTTTTGCCCTTTCCCTTCTTTTTTGTTTTTGTCCGTAGCATCACTGGACCGTAGGCCACTGTATCTACGAATTTGCGGAAGTCGAAGGAAGTGTCATTATTACAGCCTGAATACATCAAAAAGGCCCCGAACTCCTCGTCAGACAACCCAGTATCTCCTTCCTTGAGTGCGCATTTCAAAGCTTCCAGAGGAATAAAGCCGTTCCCATCTTTGTCAAGCAACCCGAAGGCCTGGTCCATTTGCTTCCTCTCCATCTCATAGCCACAGACAGCCTGCGCATAATGAACAGACCCAACTTTCCGTAAAACAACACTTGCTACCTTCTTTGCAGAGTCCTATGGAATAAGTTGATATTACTAGACTGGTTGTTCACTAAAGTGCCTTTGTTCGAGTGATGCCATCAGTGTTTTTTGCGGTACATCAAAGTATATTTATTACGCACCTCAACAAGTTCAAGCAACTGAGTCTTTTGCAGCTCCCCAGAAAGGCCACCATCAACCCGTTCCATAAGTTCGTCTATCTGTTCTTGCGATACATCGGGTCTGGTGCAAAATATCAGCAGATGCGCCGCTACTCAGATATTCCAATGCACTGTAGTCAGCTGGGCGCATGTTTAAGTGAATCTTGTGTGACCGATCCTTCCGGGTTTCTGAATATCGTTTCATCAAACGTCTATAGAGCCCTTTATGACATGCATGGCGACCCCAGAGTTGCGTTTCAGACGACGATTTTGGCTCTTTAGTGCGCTTTGAGAGCACCCGAAGGTATTTGGCCGTACCTAAGGTCTACCAGAAGTCGGGTAGCTGTATCTACATCAACAGTTTCCTTGGGCTCCCCGCTAATGGACTTGGAAAATGCGTCTATTGTTTTCACCTGCAAAAGAAAAGGGATAAATGTTAAATCTGAAGAAGCTGCGGACTTCTCGCAAGGCGTGCTCCCCTGTGGGTCAAAGCCCTTCCATGGACATATCCTACGAAGAAAGGGACTCATCGACGTGCTAGTGCCCGCTTTAGAGTCAAAGCAACGAACGTAAACGGTCGAGATTCTGAGACGATAGATAACTATTTTGCTATTTTTTCTCGGCTCCTTAGACAAATTTTAGGAGACAGGTCTCTATTTGAAGACAGTAGCTCTCATTCTGGGGGGAAACAGTATGCTGCTTAGAATCTTTATGGCATTCTATTGCTAATGCTTAACCGGACTGGCTCATGATGCTGGAAAGAGAAAGCTAAGGAGACTGCTGATACTAAATTTGTTCTCGACATCAGCGCTCAAGAAGACAGTAAACAAAACCAGCAGGACAGGGAGTACGTAAGTGGACGATCATTAGAAAGCAGGAAGGGCAGACCGGCTTTCTGAAGGGAGTTATACTTTGCGTAGGCCGGAATCATTTCATTATGAATCAACGGAAGTGCTACTTCTTGTGCTATGCCTCTCGTTGAGACAAACGCAGCTAAGATGTGCAATTAGGAAGGTACATCCTCGGCAGAGTCACGAACTCTGCCGGAACCGTGAAAGCAGAAAACGATGCAGCCCACCAGAAAGTGCTTCAAAAGAGCGCATGGAAGGATAGAAGCGCTTAGTTACCTGTTCAGATGTTAGAATGAACCCTACACCGACACCTCTTGTTTTTGCAGTCTCTCCCAGCACAGACAGAGAGCCCTCATCACTTTGTGAAGCCTCTGCGTGTTTGATTTTTGATTTCAGGGAGAGAGCCTGAATCTCTCCATTTACTTCTACGGTTTTCATTTCGGTGCCGCTTCAATGTTTAGACACTGTGAGCCTGGCTTTCAAAAGAGTGCTTTCTCTTCCAGCATGATCGCACTGTGTCTTATAGACAGACTCAGGCGAGGAGAAGATAGATAGGCGCTAGGCGCTCAAAGGGAACTCCTGATGCTTGGTGCAATGCAATCCATGCTTGCTGGCCCTTACGAGCTTCTGCCTTAAACTTTGTGTTGGTGGCAAAACGTGATTTATCAAGCTCTCCATCGATTATATGCACAGTGTGTTCAAACTCGTCTTGTCCTGCATCGAAGCGCGTGACAAGCGTCAGGCAGCGGAAGGTCTCTGCCTATGGTGTCCCCGATGCGTGGCAGGGGGCCGATCTTAGCCTTCAACCAGGAAATAAAGCTGCAGACAGCCTAACTAGCCAATAATCGTCTAAAATTTTGCCAAAGCTTTGGACGTCTCAAATATTTTGAGGAGGTGGAAGGCATTTCTACTGTAAACGAGCGTACTGGGAAGCACCTCCCCGGACGGACGCAAAAAGGGACCTCAGCCCGAGTACCGTATTTTATCTCCCTCCGCTGCCTTCCTTCTTTCTCTCTTGCCACTTGATTTCTATTAGAAGTTGGCTGGAATGACAGCAACGTCGATTCCCCTCCAAACCGAGCTAATTTTCTGAGCAGGCGACTACGCTACCGCCAATAATTCCATTTCAGGTGTTCACGCATAACTGCCGCATAGACATCCAAGGCAAAAGCGTCAACAACAATTCCCACCGATGATATACTTTCCTTGTCCAGTTTAGACCGACAAACTTCAGAGCCGGCTAGAAGAGCCTGACACACCGGCGTCTTTAAGGAAGCAATGTCAGGGAGTTTGAATGCCTTTGAAAAAGGGGCAGGGGGCTATCACTTTTGTCCCGGCAAAACGTTGCGCTGATGAAGGAATGCCAGCTCAACTCATGCGTTGCTGCCATACGTGGGTGCCTACGAGGACTGGAGCTTTTCTGGTCCAGGCTCCTGAAGACACAAAATTAAACGCTTCCTTCGGGTCAAGTTTCCTTCAATTTTTGAAGCAAGCTCCATATTTCACTGGAACTCGAAATATACGGGGCCCTTGAGTAAACGGGTACACGGAAGAAAGGGGTGCGGCTTGGTGCCCCTCGGAACCGTCTTCACAGTGAGAGACACACAGGCAACTCGCGGCAGAGAACGGATTTACCAATTTGAACTCGACTTAAAATCTCCGTACGTGGGTGCATGACCTGATAACTCTTTCATTAAGCTTTCTGCTTTGCTTGCATAGCGCTTTCCGACGGACACCTATTTCTCTTCTTGCAAGCGCTACATATTGAGGCTTACAACTACACTTCCTTCCCTAAGAAGCATCAGATGTGTGTTTGGCTTTAAATTCTGAGAGTAAACTCGTTGTGGCCACCCATGCTCTGCACTGTAATCTCCCAATTATCGTGTAACTTCTAAGTGAGTCTTACCTACGCGTCTTACTGCCGTTAATGTCTAGAGGGCGCAAGTAGAAAAAAAAAGACGAAAGGCCACTTAAACCAGTATCAGTAGAGCATACATGCAGACACGTTACGGATAGCACCGTATTCATAGGCTATCACATGATATCCAGGGGCAGCCTACTCACGAGCGACCTAAGCCCAGATGATAGCCGTTAGCGGTTGACCCTAAAAAGTGGTTCGCTATAAGCTAAATATAGCCGCAAGTCATAGCAAGCAACCCCATTTCTGTGAGAAGCAATAAGGGCCTCTTTCAGGTCCCTTGAGCTTGAGGGTTGAAAGGCAAGGGCTCAATACCCCCAGAGTCCGCCAACTCATCTACCAGGGACCTTTGGGGGACAGTGTCGGGAAGGGGCAAAAGGTGCCTCAAATCCTCTTCGGTGTAATCCACCGAGGCTCCAGGGGAGGGTCCCACGTCCCCTGCAGCTAAGCGCCGTTCCTGCTCCAGCCGGCCTTTGCCAGCAGCAGGCTGTATGGTGTCCAGAGGTCCCATATCGTTTTGTTGTTGCTGCTGCCCTTGCTGGAAGTACTGTATATAGGGCTCCATACTGTCCGTTGCATTCAGCAGTGGGGGTTTGGCGTCAACGCAGCCCACGCGCGAAAAGGCTGTGGGGCTACTAACCTCCTCTGGCCGTTGCCCTACAGGCTCTTCCTGACTCCGAGGCCTAAGTAGCCACTCTCCGTAGGACACAGGAGACTCTGTCACAGTGAACTGCATGCCTTGGGGTGCTGGCCCTGTGTTGGAGTGGACGCAGGATCCAGATGACCTCTGATCTGCTTCAGAAGGCGCCAATTCCTGATGCAGGGGTGCAGGCGGGATCAGTTCCTGAGATACTGAGTTCTGGCTAGTCGGTGTTACTGCAGCAGACATCGGTGTGGGGGCCGAGACTTGGTCTGCAGGCAGCGAGGGACGTGGTTGCGACGCCTTATCCGCCAGGCAGGGACCCTTCTCAATTTGGGTCGCTGTGGCCTGGTTGTCTGTACCATGGGCCTTTGACAAAACTCTCGGTTCCGAGGGGTTTTCTGCTGTGGGGCCCCACAGCTTATCAGCAGCCGCTTGCAGCCGGCCAAAAAAGTCGGCACTCTCCTCCGGCGTTAGAAAAAACCGGGCCATACGTTGCAGTTCCAGGTCCTTCAGCCATGTTTTTACTTCTTCCTTTGAGGCCCCCGGCACTCTAGGGGCTGCCCAAGGGACGTCCTCACGATTAACCTCTGTACGGGATCCCCCAGGACCCTCCAGCAGCGGTTCCTGTTCATGCTTAGGAAGACCCATAGGACCATCTAAGATCGCTGTCTTGGAGGAGACTCCTTCCCGAGTAAAAGGTGGTGGTCCCCCGTCTAAATTCTCGAATTCTTCCGCCTGTCTCCAGGTATGGAGAATCTGCTGCTCAGCTGCAGCAGCAAACGCCTTGGGATCAGCACGGGCTTCCTCAATAAGGGAGTCTACAAGCTTTGGATCGAGGTCCTTCGCGGCCTCCGCAAGGGGATCAACGACTGCCTCCACGATCTCCCCCGCATCGTTCCGAAAGTACACTTTGCGGGGAACAGTCTCAGACGCCCCTCTTCCGGGGACCCCTGGAGGCGTGGACCCCTGAACAGGGTCTTCAAAAGACATTTGAGGACTGAAGGGCACAAGCTCATCTGTGCTGCCTGTGCCACCAATTACAGCATCCTCGGAGGCCCCTATAAGGAGATCTTCACACGCTGCACGCAGCGCTGCCGCACTCGAGTCTTCCCTCGTACCACCTTCATTACCAGAGCACCCACCATTACTGTCGCTGCTAGCGACGGGTGCCTTTCCATGAGGTTCAATGGGCTGCACAGGGCCTTTCGCGTTGCAAAAATCAAACGAATGGAACACCCGGAGACCTCGGGGGGCATCCTCTGGTCCTTCAGTCCCGCCAGAGGGACCTCCCACCCTTAAGACGCGGGTTTTAAGAGACTCATCAATGGCCTTAAGCTCCTCCTCTGTGCCAACCCTTTTTGGTGCCTCCCACTCAACTGAAAAACGGGGCACAGGTTCATCTCTCGGTGCCGCCGGAGTCCCTCCGAAACCCTGCGTGTTCCTATACACCTCTTGGGAAGCTGCGAGTGCCAGTCCCCCTCCTTCCAAGATCCCCGAGGGCTCCTCTGAGAAGGCTGCCTGTTCGGCCTCTTCTACCGGAGGGGAAGGAGGCGATCTTATTGGTGCTGGGATCGCCGGGGACCCGGTGGCCTCGTTTGCGTCGCTGAGATCCTGGCGACTGTTTTGCTCCTTGGACGCATTTCGCTGCGCCCGTCGTGCTTCCTTTTCTTCTTCCCGAGCCTTTTCAGCTGCTGCTGCAGCTGCCTCCGCCCCCGCGAAGAGATGTACCAAAGCTCGAGGTCCTGCGCTTATTCGTTTCAAGCCCTTAATGAGCTCAAATGCATCCGACTGAACGCAGCAAAAAGCCACAGCACCAAAGAAACGTACAGCCCGATCCTGCAGGGGAGCCTAGCAGTCCAGTCCGCAACAAAGAAGCGGGCCCGTTCACGGAGGGCTGAGCCGCCATTCACACCCCTGAGAGGAAGCCCTGTGCTTATGGGGCTCATACGTTGAGCAGACATTTGTTGAGGGCTACACGTCTGAAGACGTTCTAAGCAGCGATATTAGCAGCAACACAAAGAAGGCAGGCAGCATCCGGTCAATTAGTAGGATGCGAGGGTGCGAACCCTAGATGTACGAGACGCGTGCCTGTGCGCCGTGGTCAATGCACTGACCTTGAGAAGGGCCCTGCCCAGTACCACTGAGTCAAGACCACACCTGGCAAGCTGCTTAGCGTCTTCCAACGAGCTGATGCCGCCCTTGGCAGCCACAACTGTTTCTGGTACCACCGCGTCCCGCACGTCTACGGCACTCATGGGATAGAGCAGGCCCGTGAGCCGGTCTATCTGGTTTGCCTGCAAAGCAGTGGATGCGAGACACACCAACAGACACGCGGAAGAGCCCTCTACTGCACGCAGTGCAAATAAAGACGCAAAAAAACTGGGAAAGCATAGTCATAGGTTTCCCTGCCTCGTACCAGATACTAGGACCCGCCCACGACTCCACTGAGCTCGCTTGTTCGTCAAGGGGCTGTCGCCTCTTACTATCAGGAGGGTGGCCCCAGCGGCAACCGCCTGGCGGGCTTCTTCAGCACCGTGCACTTCCACGACTGCCTCGATGCCCGCAGTGCAGGCAGCAAACAGCAGTTCCTCGAGAGCTCCCCCCGCCACGCTGTGAATGAGGTACACCCCGTCCGCCCCGGCTTCTGCTGCCTGGGCTATCTGCAGCACCGGCAGCAAAACCCCAACAGCCCTACTCTAAAAACAATGCGAGCAATGCAAGACACCAGAAGGAAAGCTCAGGAACGTAGTCCCCGGAGGCGCATCGCGGAAGGCCCTAAAGCCTGCTTTTAGAAGGCCGAATGAAGGGAGCAAGAAGCGTGAAGAGGCTGCCGAGCGCCTCATACGCAATTGACCAGCCCCTAGTGCATTGAATCCTAACCTGAATGGGATGTATCACGAGGTCCTTCATGACGAGTGCTGGCCTCTGGGAGAATGTATACGCCCCCGTCAGCGCCTTGCGGGCCTTCTGCAAATCTTCCAGACAGCCCCCCCAAGCCTCGCGGTCCGTAGCCATGAGCAACACGTCGGCACCTACGGAAAGAGGTGAGCGCGCGCAGGCAAATAGAAAAGATATATCAGCAGCCCGAAGACGCGCATGCGAATGTATGCGAGGGGCCGCACGCTGTCATGTTTGCACTTCATGACCGAGAGTACACAAAGCCCCACCTCCCCCCAGCCAGGTCCAGCGCAGACATCAGACACGCTGTTCTCTGCGATGGACATATACACTTCCCTACACTGCAGAGAGGCAGGTTCAGGCTGCGCACAAAAGGTTTCCAGTGGCGCCGCCATTCCGGCCAAATTCTATGGGACGGAGAGAAAGCCACGCATAAGCAACATCGATGAAGCACTTTGTGATGCATCCAGCCCATCTACGTCTCGTCCTTTCCGCCCTCAGTCCCTCCTGCTCCCCTCTGCCTCCCACGCGCCGTTCTTCTAATTGCACATCTTCATTTGCTACTGCCCCACTTCACCCATCTCTCATTATACCTCCGCCCGCTGTCGGACTTGCTTTACTTCTACCCCTTTCCCTCGGTGCTCAGACTCGTGAAAAAGCTCACCGGCCTCAGCCAGAGGCACCACCACCTCTGCTGCGTCATTAAAGGCAAGCCGGTAGGGACGTCCTCTTGTAGAGACGTTGCTACATCGTTTTATGTCACACACGACGCTGAGAGTGGTCTCATCCGGGTCTTCCTGCTGCAGAGCTTTCAAACACTCCTCCGCTGAGCGTGGCCCCCCTGAGCGTCCATCGCTACCATCCGACTGCTGCCGCTCATGTTCGCACTCTTTAGTGTGAACGTGGTGGGTTGCGCTTTCTGAGTGGGCACGTATCTGGCTAAGTAACTTGAGTTGCTGCTGGACGGTCTCTTGCTGCTGCGTGGAGTCACTGGCAGCCGCGAGCTGCCTCTGCAAGCTTAGCTTAAGCTGCCCCGTTTCCCTCCTAATCCTCAGCTTCTCAATCAGCTTCCCATTATGGCAATGCGAAACGTAGTGCTGACGCAGCTGTAGGGGGTCCGTCATCGCCTGGTGCTGCACTTGCAGCTGCTGCACCTGAAGCAACACCTCCAAACCCACCGTCACTACCTTTGTAGACAACGGCATTAGCAACAGCACCAGCAACCAAATGCCACAAAGGCACGCCCTTTTAAAACTGAAAAGTAAGCCCACAGAGGGGCTCCCCCACAAGCGCAACCATTTAAATAAGAAGCCCCCACCCCCCACCCACCCCCGAAAAAACGGCTCCGATAACCTCGAATTCATGCTTGGAAGTCTTCATATCTGCATCATCTGGAGTACACAACGTACCTCCTGCTTTTTGAGGTCGACAAGGCGCCGCAGGCGCTCATAGGGATGCGAGGGAATTCTACCATCAGCCGCAAAGAGCTGAAAGTTCACCCGGCATAGGGATTGCCTTAGCGACGCAAGGGGAGGCCAACACGCAAGATTGCGGAGACTTTCAGCAGCCGAATGTGCCTTCGGAGGAACCCAAGAGGCCCTGAGCTTCGCATGCATGGACCTAGAGGCAAAGGCGAGGCTCCCACCAGCAACACCACCACGCGAAGGACGGGCTGTGTTCGTAATCAGGGAGCCAGCCAGCAGTGCAGGAGCTTTCCAAGGCGAGAGCAGAAGCACCCACAGCAAGAGGCTTGCACTGGTGAGGCCTGCCATGTTGCCGCTACTTGGAAGAAGGCCTTCCAGCATGAAGTAGCGGAGAGTCTAGAGAAGCGGACTCGCCAGGGGCGTAGCTCAGGCCCTTGGGGAAGACAGATCCTCAAGGGCCCCCAAGGGGGCCCCCGTAACCTTAATATTGCGCACTACGCCAAAAATGAGCACGGCGTGCTGCACAGAGTCCAGAGGCCCCTCTCTCGAGACCCTGTCCAGCCCATAAGGGCTATCTAGCACTAGATGAAGCGGCACACAACGCAGCGAAAAAGAAATCGGAAGATCTAAACTCACGACGATCTCATTCTTGCCGTGTGATGGGTGCATATAGGTCCCTTACGCGAGTAGGCGCTGCCTAGGGTATACGGGAGGCCCCCTGTGGGGCCCCAGGGGTTTCCGTGCAGCCATAGTTCGTTGATGGGCCCTTCAAAGGTCTCGAGTTCAGCGGCTGCAGCTTCGGGGTCACAATTTAGGATTTGTTATTTGGTAGACCTTTTCATGCAAGGGTAACGTTTCATCTCAGAGCACCGCGGGAAAGTTGGCTTCCCGCGAAATAGAAGGACGAACTCGATCATGCGCAGCACGGCCAACCCCACGAAGATATCCAAAGGGAGACTATCGTGCATTCTGTAGCGCTTCATGGGCGGCAACAGGTCTACTGGCGAAAGCTGCATAGGCAACAACCAACACAATCCAAGCGGCAGCGGAAGCCAAGAGCAGAACAGTCACCGTCGGTGTGGGTGAACCAGCCGCACAAGCAGCGGAGAATGCCTCCTGTGTCTGGTTGTGCCGAGGGAGGATGCAGTACCGCTTCTTCTTTTGCAACCTTGGCAGCTGATGCGGGTGGGGGACTTGACTCCACGAGTCTCACTGCAAGCCTCCCTGGCGAGACGCATACTTTGGGGAATGCCTTGCGCGCGCTGCTCATAAGGAACCCGGACGTTGAGTTTGCTGGATACTCTGTGCCGCATCCTACGCAGGTAGAGATGAACCTAAGGATTCAAACAACTGGTGAGGCGCCCCTTGCTCCTCGCCTTTGTAGGATTCTGGGGTCTACAGTCACACATGCTAAAATCCCAGCTCACATGGTGTGAGGTTGCTTTTTTAGTTGAACAGAGCCACCGCCCACTGCACATGGACTCAGTTTAATAGCCTTAGCTTGCTGAAGCTTATAGAGCTAGATTCCTACGGGGTCCAACTTTGTTTCCTGTGTGTATTTATGCCCGCGTGCATGCATGCATATCGGTATTTCTGTGCAGAAGGGCCCGCTCTAGGGGCCTTGCAGCAGGCTCTTGAGGAACTTAGCACCATTTGCGAGGTTTTGGACTCAAAGTACGACGAGGCCCTCTCCGCGTTCGAGGAGCAGCGATGTGCCGAGGAACAGAAGGCAGAGTCCGCAGGCTCAAGTGCCTGATCTTGTGGGCAGTCCTTGCCTCTCTAAATCCCTATTTTTCTTTGAGTCCGCGCTTTCCTGTCGCAGCCTCTGTAGACTACCTATGCTAAAACACCTGCCGTCCTCTCGTTTCCTCCCTCGCAACCCCTTTCTTTCTCCACTTGCGCTTTTTGTCATTCTTGGACCAAAACTTAGTAAGACCATTTCAGCAATGTAAAAATAACCGTAGGCAAGGCATATGATACGGCTACAGAAACGCCTAGCCGTCTAGCTAGTTTGTAAGCAGCCTACCGAGCTGGCCACCCGCGCACTATTCGTCAAGTCACCCATGATACACTTACACTTACAAAGGACGCTCGACCTCCGTAGTGCGTGATCCTATGATGCAAAAGGCAGGACTGCTCGTATTGAACGACAAAAAGCGGGGGGGAAGTGTGGAAGACGCCGGAAAGGGTGGCCTGGCTTTGCCCAACCACCCACCCCGGAAGCCACACGAGGGGCCCCTCCTAAGGGCTTTCAGCGCTTAAAGCGTTCTCACGGGTGCACCAGCAGCTGACCAGGAGAGGGTCTCATGCAATCATCAACCTGGGGCTGAGTGTTGCGCGGATTACACAGCCACCATGCATCCGCCAGCTGCGCTGCATTCTGAAGGAACTCAAACTCCCCAAAAGGCCTCTCGGCAAGACACTTAGCAGCCACATGCGGAACAGCCACAGTGGCAGCTGCATCGTGAAAATTGCTACTGCTCCCGCAGCGGAAGAGTTGCGAAGTTCCCGTGTGGGGAACTGCGCGCACTAGGTAGCCAGTACATACTGCACCAAGGGGTCGCAGTGTCGAGCGGCCCGCGCATCTATTTCTGTACTTCCCAAATACTTAGGCGCTCGGGCATCAATAATCGGCAGCGCGTACGGACCCCGGCAGATGTGTGCGTTGAGCTCGCATGCTGGCTACAACACCCCGAAAAACACTGCCACAGGTGCACATCAAGGGGTTGCGCCCCTATTCGCCAGCCATCTCCGCTGTTGCTCCGTCCGCAGGCGCAACAGCTCACCGTCTTCTGCCTGCTCCTCTTGATGGTGCTCTTGATGAGGCTCTTGGTGCTGCTCTTGATGAGGCTCTTGGTGCTGCTCTTGATGTTGCTCTTGGTGCTGCTCTTGGTGCTGCTCTTGGTGCTGCTCTTCCGCTTGCTGCGGGGGCAGCGATGGCGTCCTCACAGCCGAAAGCGAGGCCTCAGGGTGTGGCGAAGCTGCAGCAGGTGCTGCTGGGGGGTATGCATAGGAAGGAACCGCTGGGATCGACCCAAAGCCTAAGGACTGCCATGACAGGACAGGAGGAGGCACAGCAGTAGCAGGAAAAGCGGGTGGAATGCCAGATGCAGGGAAAGCGGGAGCGCTGGGAACCTGTGAAGGCATCGGGAGCGGCCCATACAGTGCTGCCTGGTGCAACAATTGCTGATGCAGGAGCTGCTGATTCCACAGTTGCTGCTGTAGCAGCTGCTGCTGGTGCTGCTGTAGCAGCTGCTGCTGGTGCTGTAACAGGTGCTGCTGTTGCACACCCTCTCCAGCCAATATGGATTCCCCCTGCTCCTGCTGCCCGGCAGAGCTACCAGACTGTTGCTGTTGTAGCTGACTCAGTGGGGGAATAGCAGCAGCGGCAAGTCGTCCTTGCTGAAGCTGCATGATTTGAGCCTCGATGATCCAGAGAGACGAGTGCAGCCGGTATGCCTCGCACTGCAGCGAAAGCAGCAACGAAACTTGCGCAAATGTAGAGCAACCGCCAAGCAGGAAACAAAGCGGACGATAGTCACACGAAGGATCTTGAGAAACGGTAGGACCGGGAGGGTGAATAAGGGACATATATGAAGGAAGCTTCAACCGGAGAAGAACGCTGTGTGACCAGCATACGCAGACGAGAAGAGGAAGGGAGAAAGGGAGCCTAGTCGGGCCGCCTTCAAAGATGAAGAGACACTGCATAACACGCAGTGGCACTTTGGCTTACAAACTGCAATGAGGTACGAAGCGCCGAAAGCAGTCCCTCTGCCTGTTGCTCTCTCTGCTCCTGCCAAGCAGGTGCTCCTTCTGGTTCATGTGCGCTGCTGCTGCTGCTGCTGCTGCTACTGCTACTACTACTACTACTACTAGTAGGGTCTGCTGCGCTGGTGGGAGTGCGCCGCCTAGATCCCCCCAGAGCCTGCTCAGAGAAGAGGGAGAACGCTCCAAATAAACTGTTGCTGCTGCTGCGGCTAATGCTGGGATTCTGTCTCGCCGCGCCTCCCGTGTTGGTGGCTGCGCGGTAATTGGTGTCGCCAGAAGGTGGTCCTGGAGGGCCTCGATCTGCTGTTGCTCCCGATGCAAGAAGTGCGCTTGGGTGTTGCTGTTGCCTCTGAGCTGCTGCGTCTCGGCTCGTCGACCTCGCGGGTTCCACAGGAATGTCAGCGCGGCATGTGGGACAGGACTGCTGTTGCACCAACCACGCGCTGCAGCAAAGAAGGCGCCGCACACACATCAAACACTCCCGTTACTGCTCGAGGTAGTGCGGCTGCCTTCTGCTCTCTCCTATAACTCCTGCTCCTGCTGGTGAGGCGTTCCGCTAAGAGTCCTACCGGAGACAATCAATATGGAATATGTGGGAACACGGCAGCTTTTTGCTGCCCTCCCCCAAGCCGTCTCTGCAGATGATGCATGTATCCGCTGCCTCCAACTCTTCCCGTGTTGCATCGGGAAACCTGAGGCGAAACAGGGGCAAACACAATGGCCTATCAGCAAGCGCTCGCCATACCACTCCATAGGAACCCGCTAGGACCACTGAGGGCTCCCATCAACACACGTGGAAACTGCTGAAATCCCAAATAAGCATATATATATACATATAGCTATACATACATTTATATATATATATATAGAGAGAGAGAGACAACGCCTTGTTAGACAACCCCTACGCAGATGAACGGAGAGGGTGCCACGGTGACAAAAAAACGCTGGCTGAATATTTCCAGTGAACAGTAGGGAGCACTGGAGCACATAAGGAGCACAAACCTGGTGTCCAAGTTGCGCGAAAGCGCGCGATACTTGCGAAAAGACAAGATCCGCCGATAAAGGGCCTTGGAGACGTGTAGAATATCCGCCGTCATGTAGAGAGGCAGACGCGAAGGTTGTGTGACGAAAAAGACGAGCATAAACACCTGCAAAGCAAGAAGGCACACACACACATAGACACGCATCCATACACACACCAGCGTAAGCACTTTTGCACGCAGGCCTCTCTTAAGGTGGTCTAAGAGAGCGACTCAAGAGACGGGGGGCTGGCAGGCGAAAGTGAGGTTCAATGCCACACGCAGGTATTGCAAGGACCGCAGAGAGAGGCTCTCCACGGAACCCACCAAAAAGATGCCTAGGCTAAGGACGTCGTGGACCATGTCCAAGTAGAATACAAAGGCCGGTTTATTCAGCCAGCCTGCACACAGCACCAGAGGAGATAGCAGTAGCGTGCACTCAGGCAGTTAGCCGCCACCACAAGTGCAAAAGGCAACGCCAGCAGCCACACACACGCGAACGCTGGACTGGCGAACGTACATACACTGATTACCAGCAGCATACGTAGCAGATGCAGTAGATACCGACAGCGGCAAAGACAGAAAATGCTTCGGTTCGGGCACTCTAATATGTACCACTTTCTGAGCGGACGTCAACGATATTCGCGGCGAATTTTAAGGCACAGACGCAGCTGCAACTCAGCATCCCCAAAAACTGCAGCACACACCGCACAGACGCAACAGCAAAGCGGTAAGAAAAGAAGTGCTGAAAATAACCGCCAGCAGACGCAGCTGCCCCTTTGCCGGGGCACCCCTGCCAAGCTCCAAGGGCGCCGGCACTGGTTTGCAGCTGTAGGCAGAAAAATACGGCAGCACACATGCACAGATGGGGAGTCCGCAGCAGCACAGCAGAGCGACGACAGCGCCAAGTTTTTCTCGTGTACCTCGAAGAGGAGCCAGAGGTAAAACGTCGAGTGACTGCTGGCATTCGCGTAAAAGAAAAACACAAAAGAAACATCCGTAACCAAAAGCAGCACCAGCAACAAAAACAAGCGAGCCACCATCGAGAAGCGAGGCACGCCTGTTTCGAAAACCTGCGGGCGCAGCAGCAGCAACGACAGCAAAGGCCTATGATCACGGGGGCTGTTCAGGAAGGCGAAAGACTCTAAACGCAACCTAAAGCTATTCCTCCAATTGAGTTTTCTCCGGAGAGGGTGCAGGAGCAGAAATAGCAGCGGCAGAGACACAGGGACGAGCGCATCGGCGGCTGCAAGGGCCGCTGGACGTTTTCTTCTGTAGCATCAAAACGGCAGGAAGCGCTTCCTGTTAGTATCCCCGCTACTGGTGGAACTGCTGAGGGGCACTCACGGAATTTCCCTTGATCTGGAGAATTATATGCATAATCTTGAGGGTAATGAGCAGCAAGAGGTACTTGGAGAGTGGCACAGGAGAGAGCTCGCTCCCATTCAGAGTGGGAGAAGACAGGACGAGAAATAATACGGTGTCCAGGAGGAAGCCCCTGCCATTGTCGAGAACTTGCTGTGGCAACAAAAACGCAAAGGCAGCTCTGAACTCGAAGACATCTGCTGTCATCGTCCATCATGCCGAAGCCGCTCCCTCCCCTGATGGAAATTTGTAGTAGTGTCCACGTCACAAGCTAGAGAAGCACATGATTAGCCAGCAGCCACCAAATGCCACAAAAACATGCACCCGCAAGACGGACTTATGCACCCAATAAGCAACAAGGGCAAAGTTAATGAACATCAGGCATCGCCTGTGCAGCGCAGGTCTGCTAGAAAATGAGCTGCTGACAGCAGAGAAACAGCAAAGGTTCATAAAGTAGAAAACTAACCTCTACCTCAAGGCCCCTCAGTCGGCCGACAAGGAGATGCAGCAAGGTCTTCGCGGCCAACAAAAACATCAAAAAACAAAAGTTGTACTCAATCTGAGGAACAAGCAGACACCCCAGCACTCAAGATGCGAGACATGGAAGAGCAGCCGCAGGAGCAGGTTCGGCAGCCAGCAATGCAGTGGGAGTCCAGAAAGCAGTTGCATGGACATCGCAGCAGCTATGACACCATAGTAACAAAATGCGAGAGCAGCAGAAAGAGGGAAGTGCGGCACAATCGCCAGACAGCAGTGGCATGGGGAAATATGCATGCCATCTTACAGCGAGGGCAAACTTGCTAGTCGTTAAACGCGCGATGGCTGCATAGAATTCATCGCAGCGAAGCCAGGTGTGGATCAACAGTGCCCAGAGGGCCCCCACGGAGGCCAGAGTGTACACCCGGAAGCAGGCCAGCAGATTTGCCATTGCTGTTGCTGCGAATGCCGTTCGCTCTGGACCTGCGCAGCCTCCGACTACTGCTGCTGCCCTTCAGACGCCGCCGCAGCAAATGACGCTGGAGAGGCACGCAGCCTTGGTAGTTGAGCCGTCACCCTCCCCGTCTCGGCCTAAATGGCCTTCGCAACTTGAACGAGGACGTGGATGTTCTGGTGCCTCTGCAGCAACGCTGAGGTCCCCTCGTGCTGTATGCAATCACCCTAAGCTTTAGAAGGGTGGCTGGGTCGCATGCTGTGTCGCAAACCCACTATCCTGGTATCTCTGCCCCTATCAGGGGCCCAATTAAGGGGCAAGATGGGTGAGACAAGCCAGGAACACCTGTCCTCTAGTATTCTCAGGACGTGGTGGTGCTACGGCAGCCGACAGCTCCCTTTGCTGCTGCTTCCGTTGCGACCGAAGCCACTCTCTATAGCTCTCCTCCTGCGGTTGAGCAAGTGTCCGCGCTCTAAAAGGACTCCTTATTATAGGAAAAGAGAGGGTATAGAGCTTGATGAGGCGGGGTCGTAGTGTTGCTTCCGCTGCTGTTTCTCGTGCTGCCGCAGACCCAAGTGTTGCCCTCGGAACCTCTCCGAGCGGACGGCAGCGGGTCGGGCATCAGCTGAGAATTGAATTTCTTTGTCAGGAAATGAAGCCGATTGTTTTTTATAGCTTGGTATTAAGGGTTTGGGGTCTGCACATAGAAACACGAGAGCCAGTTGCAGCAGCAGCCTCCAATGCTGATGGTACTGGGCGTTTTGCCTTCCCGTGGCACTGACTGCTAAGACATCAGTTGCCTGTTGCGTCTCTCGTTGATTTCAGATTTTTATTTACTAGGCTAGAGTTTCTCTCAGGGGGATGTAACCATGCGATGTAGACGTTGGAGCAGTTTACTTGAAAAGAGTGGCAAACATCCTGCGCGCTACGGTCACTGCGTCCGCAGCGCTCACAACCAGAATAATGAATGACGAAAAGAAAGTTTACGAAATATTGCATTCTCAGAGCTGCTCAGGAACAGGCTTGAGGCCATGCACACAGAGCCCTCGGAAAGCTCGCCTCCTGTCTAAAGTATGTGCCAGTTATCTTTTGCTCCAGGTTTTGGCGTGTGCATAATGAACTGCTTTTTAGTGAAGCATGAGGCAGTGCATCAGCTGCGCTCAGTACCAGTCCGTTTTTTGCCTATAGGCTGATCTTGGGTTCCTTTTAATCTTGCTTTTTGTTGGCAGGGTCCTCGTAGATTGCTAGCATAAGGCTCCGTTCATTGTCCCTGTGAAGAGGCACTTAAGTCCAGACACAATACACACGTAATAGATAACTCTTAAGTGTATTTTAAAGGGCTTTCTCTCCCGCCAGCCCACGCCTTTCGAAGTTAACACAGGCAAGAATGGACAGGGACTGCTACGGTGCGTCTACCGGAGACCACGAAGAACTCCACGCATTCCCAGTTAGTTGCAAATAGCATCTAGCGCTCTTGCACAGCTGCTCGTTATTCGGCATACGAACAAAATCGCGATTTAGTCCATTCTTTACTGATTCGTGGTCAAATTAACTACACTCTAAGATGTTCCAATCTAGTTACAACCCGATACATTTAAAGCCATACAGCAGTTTAAAACATTGTAAAAAAGCGTTGCTTCCTCCACCCATAGCGGTTAGGTTGCAAAATGTTTTTCTAACGATACGTTGGCATTCTACCATGATTGGCTGAAAGGCGAACGATCGTACACATGGAGGAAGGTGGCACAACATTATAACCTAGGGGTCTGGCTCTCCGCGAGCTAGTAATCAGCCGCCAAACTTGCCGCGCAATTGTCGTGCGTCCTCCAGTGGACGATGACCGACTGGAGCACTCAATCTTCTTGAAATCTGATTCTAAGGGAGTCGCTGGGGCATCCCCTCGGTCAGCTTGTCCTAGCTAGTGCAATAGGTAGGCGCCCTCGTCGACTTCCAGGACGTTGCACGCCTGGGCCCGATTCTACAATTTGAGCATATATGCGTGTTCACCAACCAGCCCTTAGCGGTTATCATTTTGAATTCCTTTTCCCGATGATGCCAAACGTCTGCTCAAGCTGAAACGCTGCTGCAAATCAGCCGCTCCGTCAACCTGCAGCATCACTATGCCCAGTTGTAAATCCCTCGTTCGCCACACTCGAAAACCAAAACCTAGCTGGTACTAAATTACGAGACAGCGTCCCCGCAGGTGTGGTCAGCTGACATGAGCTTCGGAGCAGATCTGACAATTAGCTCGCAATACGCACCAGTTGTGTCTGCCGAACTGTCGGGATCCCCATGACCGGCTGCATGCACTGGGCGAGGCAGCAGCAGCCGTCGATAATACAGGTTGCTTAATTCCCCACGTGGCTCTTTAAAAATGGAGTGATCCACGAGGGCAAGGGCTGAATACTGGGTCAGAAGGAACCGAGGACACAGCGCCTCGGAACAAGGGGCTCATAGCATTTGGTGGCTACCTTAGTCGGCTGTAACACGCCACACAGTAAGGCGTTGCCCCTCAACTAAATACCCTCCTTCCAAATATTCAAGATGGCCACAGAGCAAGTACCCACAGCCCTCATACTGTTGCAATATGAGAGTTGCATATTCCAGATGTGGCCATACATACCCCGACATCTACGGGGTAGAAGAGCTTCGATGACGCGCGTGGGAACCAGGCGCATGGTGCGTCGACATTCAGACACATGTGCGTACACACGTTTGTAAGTTGGCAGCGTTTAAGGCGGGGCTGTTTTTAAATACTTCGTACTCCCCTACTCAGTGTGTGAAGGGCAAACTCAACGAGTTTGCCGCCAGGGCTCCAGCCAGCGAAGCTCATTTGTATGCCATCTCCTTAGCTGTCTGCACAACCGGCTAAGTAGGTTGACAGCTCGGTCACTACATACATATACAGGTAACAAGCTAGCTACTCCAACCAGCTAGCTTCCCTAGCAGATAGCCAGCTACCTCGCCGCTGTCCTATGGGAGCAAACCGTCGTCCTGGAGGCGAGCCAAGAGGTAACGGCCTGCGGCGCTTGCTGCCTTTGCGCGTGCAGCATCAAGCCCTTTGGAGACGGCTACCACCGCAAGCTCCCTCATCCCTTCATCCTGTGCAGCAGCACAAAACAGACCATCAGTGAGTCTAATGCTTTGTATGGCCTGACCTGTGCAACCCCCATCGTCGTCCATGCAGTTTCAGAGAGCATGGAAGAGCCACATGGGCGTTGATACTCCAGCAGAAAGATCCGCTACTAGGCAGCAGCAACCGCAGCTGTGGTATTACAGAAAACAGTGACAAGAAGCCCCAAGTGGCAGCACCAGTATGTTGACTGGATGGGTACGCCTACCTGAAAGGCTTTGCGCAGCACATCAACCAAGCCAATGCTACCCTTTTGCTTTGCTCTGTTGAAGAGAGAGAGAAGCTGTGGGTTTGACTCTCGATCTTCACTCCACTCCGTGCCACTGGCTTGCTGCTGCTGGTTGTCAACCTGCTCTGGCTGAAGGAAGTCTATTTGCCGCTTCTTTTCGGGGCCTTTGAAGTCAGCTGCACCCTCGAAAAGCTGCTGCAGCAAATCGGGTGCAGCAGCAGGGCCACTGAGAATTTCCAAGGGTCCCCCTCCGAAGATACCGCTGAGCAGGTGCTCAAGGGGGTGCCTCGGCTGGTTCTCTTGCTGCGTCTGGTCGGACTTCTCTGAGTCTTCCTCCATGTCGCCGCCTCCAAAGAAGACATTCAACAGGGAGGGGAATCCGAGAGGAGAGAGGCCCGGGTTCCGACCTTGGCGGGTGCTCCTACCGCCGCCTGTTGCCCCTCCTTTGCTCCGTTGCCTCCTTCCAGAGACAACGCGAGCCTCCAGAGGCTGCTGATGCTGCTGACTATTGTGTTTAATACGCTTCTGCGCTGAAGCTGCAGGCACCCCGCTGCGACCTGCCGCTGCAGCGAAGGCTCTTGCTAGCGCCAGCCGGTCCGCAAGGCCCTCGGGAGACGACGGATACCCAGGAGACCCCTTCTCTATTCCAAGGGAGCTTAGCTCGCGCTCGTAGTGACGCAGGAAGAAGGCCTGCGTAAGAAGCATAGCGAGAACAGCCCCAAAAAAGGCGCCTACAGGCAGCGGCAAAAGTGGCTCTGGGAAGATGGTTCGCTGCGGTTGGCTCCCCAGCAGGTGAACTGAAAAGCAGGGAACGTCCCAGTGAAGATGCCGGGGACGAAGACAGAAGCATACGGACTATCAGCTGCAATGCAACGTGCGCAAAACACGTGCACGACGAAGCTGAAGAAGCAGTGGGATACAGATAGATAGCCTACCCTGCGGGCCTCGTCGTTTGTAGATAGGTTTTCCCGCAGCTGTTTGGCGGCCTTAAAAATCGCCTCAAACGTAAAAGGATCTTCAGGCGGGTCCCTGCGAGGCTCACACATTGCGCATGCACTCAGAAGCATCTTCTGCTGCCTTTGCCGCTGCTGGCTGTGAGTTATCTTAAGCAGCTTCAGGCGTCCATGGACTAGAAAATCCCCAAAACAATATCGCCCTCAGGTTCAGGAGGCCCCCCGGATATTTGCTCAGCGCGGCTGGCAGGCTGGCTATGCGCAGTTCTCCAGACAGGACGCACAGGCTACCTGCATAACTAGCTGCCTAAATAATGCGGTGACCTCCGATGCGGCTAGATCGAGCGCCCCCTCCTTCTGTAGGAGGTGTGCAGAGTTGGCTATCTGCCTACTTGGCTCGCCAGCTCGGGCTGGCCACCAGTGTATGAACCCTCCCGAACCTAGCCAGCCACCTGACCAAGAAAGGGTCCCACCTCTCTTCCCTTGTGGATGGTTTTGAGGTCTCTGCATCGCCTCCTACGGCAGCGGCTGCCTCGCCTTCAGTCGCAAACTGGCCGTGCCTTGCCGCAGCCACCCAATCCATCAACTGTTCCAGTGACTGGGGACGCCGCTGCCGCTGCTGCTGCTGCTGCTGCAGTTGTCGTAGCTCCTGCACCAACGCGTCCGGCTTCACAGCCCCCGACCCGAGCTGCTGAGCAATTTTTTGCCTTGTTGTGGCAATCGCCTCTTTCAGGCTGCTGCCCCTTGGCTGGCCGTTCTGAAGAACGTTGCTTTTGCGGCCGCTGCTATCGCTACTGATGGCCTCCTGGGCATCCGAGTCAACGGAGCCACTGCTCTCATCATCTAAAAAACCACAGCCATTATAGGGTCCAAGGCTGCTTGTGCTGCTGCTGTTACTGCTCGCGTTGTCGCTGCTGGCTTTCCTCTTTTTGCTGCTGCTGCTAGGGCTGCACGTGGTGGTTTCAAGGGCACCGAGGTGGGGTGCGAGCAGATTTGCAGAAGCGTCCGGGAAAAGAAAAGCCGCTGCATGCGCCTGCTGCTGCTTCCGCGCCTGCATACAAGACCGAGGCGTGTGCGGCTGTGGAAACCAAAGGGCGGTTGCTGCTGTGTTCTCGTAGCTCCTCTTGGGTTTTGCTGCATATGTGCTCTTGCTGCAGCGCAGCAGCAGCACCAGCACCAAGCAGTTCTGCAGCGAGAAAATTCGAAGTGCACCCATGGGCGAAAGTGCTGGACGGCTTCGCCGCTAGCCTACTGTGGAGTGTTGACCACTCTGCAGCTGCCGCTGCCTGGAGCCGCACAATTTCTTGTGTAGCCGCTTTTGATCACTGTCCTGGGTGTTGGGGAACAGGATTCATGCAGCTGCAATGCTAAGTATCGTCCGCTTCCCGATGATTCTGCTCTGCTGCTGCCGCTGCCTGACTGCTCGTCAAGGCAGCAAGTCCGCCTCTCTGGAGGTACTTCGCGTGGAGTTCACTACAGTATCAGTAGCAGCAGAGGTGGGGACCTCAAGAATCACGCAGGCTGTCCTTTGTGATCCTGAAGTGGAGACGGGCGTGGAACCCAAACGTGTCTTGCAACCGAGTGGCCGTGGCCCCCCGGTTTCCATTTCGCCCGCAAAACCGTTCACTGCAGATTACACACAGAGTTTACGTACAGCGTACATAGTTTTAATCTAAGGGCTGAAAGTCACCCGGTTTCCTCCGGCAGGAACGTCGGTCCCTATGCGCCCCCACGTCAGGATCTCATGAGTCGCGGACTGTGGGGCCGTGCGCCCTGTGACACGGCTTTTCCATAGAAACCAAAAGCCATATATTTCCGAGATTGGGATTTTTATGAGAGGAGAAGAGTTACCCAGAGAAGTCATAGGCGAAGAAGAACCGCCCTTGCCTGTTGCTGAGGGTGCAGGGACCTAACGGCATCGAACCATCCTAGGGGCCAATCAGGGGAGTTGAACGCGTCAAAGAGGGGCATTGTATACTGGCTAATACTCACGTGCGAGCACTTCAAAAGGGAACACAACCGTAGGTCTTCCCCGATTTCCCGTTACAACGCCCTCTACCCAAATTCCCTCCAGGGAGCCGTCCCGCTTATGCGGTTCCTGAGCTCAGTAGGCTGCAGAGCAGGTGGGCCACGTATAGGATGATCTTTAGATCCAACGGCTAAGGGTGGATCCCAGGTAGCCACAAGCGTTTACTGCCAAGGGTGCTCGCGTGGTTGGGGTAGCTGGCGATCCTAGTAGCCTTCTCCGCGGCTATTTACTCAGCAAGGCTCAGAGGGGCCTTTTTCGCCAACTATTAGTGTACGTGTGGACTATTTCGCCTACGCCTGATTGCCAGTAACTTTGCTGGAGTCTGCAAGTAGATCCAGTGGTGGCGTTCAGGAATACCCCAGCCAAGGAGAAAGAATCCAAAATATGCTTAGGCGAAAGGCCTTCGAGTTCGCAAGAGGGCAATCTGGCTTGCTGCAAGAGACTACTGTAGCTGGCCACACACAATGAGTGAAAATACATCCAGTCAGGGGAACTGTGGCCTAAAGGATCTACAATGCGAGGTGGTTCATTTGGCGGAAAGGCCTCTAAATATATACATATATATATGTATATATATTCGCATGATGCGTGCGTTTTGGGGTGCTGATGCATGGTAGTTGCCCGTGTCAGCTGCTCCTCCTCTGTTCACAAGGCTCCCCTCAAAGAGGCCCTACATGCAAAGCTCGGTCCCTCGCTGAACTTTCAGAAGGGTCTCTCATCACATATAATAATTAAGGTGAGAGAGAGGCTCCTAGCGCTTCTTTGGGGTCCTAGTGCAATATCAGACGGTCTGGTTCAATTTGGAGGCATTCCACCTGGTATATGTGTAAAAGCTGGGAAGCAGAAACTGTCTGGGTCATCGAACTCGAAGGGGGGCCGCATGGGCGCCCCCGCAATGCTCCCTAACCGGCAATGAGTTTGACATGCGGAAGAACCTTTGAGCCTTGCTTCGAATGGCCCTTAGATGCTTCCTTCTCAATCCCGCGGAAGCTAAACGGCAGGGGGCGCCGTTAGCCCTCTTATCTTGTATCCCTACAGCTGATTTTCCGAATATGACATCAAATTGGGGTGGATGAAAATACATAATACATGCAAATGGAGAGAGACGTATATTGAGGTGTACCTGTACAGCTATGGTGCACGTCTTTACACGCCGCCGCTTACACGAAGTAACCCGGTAATGTCCTGACAACCTGTAGCACAAAAGAAAAAGGAGTACACAGTAGGCTAGAGAGGTACTAGCAATGAGAGATTGGAGTCAAGATGTAGTACTTTGGGTTCATAAGAGGGCACATCGCCAAACCTCAGGGTCTCCTCGTTCAGGGGCATGACGAAAAGAAAGAAACCGGCGAGCCCCTTGTTCATCCAAAACAAGGAGGGAGGCCTGAGAAGCAAAAGAGAAGAAGTGTGGTGTTGCAGTGGCCTGGTAGCTCTCTTTCTGTTTCTTTCTGTAAACCCGCATTATGCAGTGATCCCTGTTTCCGTCCCTATCCAGCTCAGTGCACCTGCCTTAAGCTTCATGGCCTCTCGAATTCACCATCGACAAAGAAGCCTAGGAGACTGCAAAAGTGGCCTTGTGCTGCCTTACCTTGTTACCACATCTGTAGCAATAGTTGGGGGCGCTAAACACTGTGCACACCTTTGAATCGTGACTCCTAGTCGGAATATTGGCAGCGAAACGAACACGCGCACATATCCGCGAATACACAAACATTCATGTGCTCGAGAAACCCTTTTCCAACGAAGGCTGACATGCGCAAAGCGTAAACCTCATGCAGTGGGGGAGAGGGGGCGAGAGGCAAGCATACCACTGATGACCGTCAGAGACGAGCTGGTGGGCCCTGCAAACGCATTGCATGTTATTGAGATGCAGGAAACGCTCAGTTACGCCCTGAGACCACAGACAGAGGTATCAACAGAGACAGGCAATGTACGCACAATCGTCGCGGAACTTCTTGAGGATTCCAAAGGCCTCTGCAAAAGCCGCTGAATGGCAAGAAGCCCAGTATCTACCGGCTCAGCGAGCTGATGCTGGCTCGAAGGGAGCTGCTTTCTGCGGCATGCACCTGGCCCCACAGAAGTCCCGCGCCTCGGCTGCTGGGGGCCCAGCCCTCGGCATCAAGGGTCGCTGCATGGGGGCCGCTCCCGTCTGTGTCTCCTTCTCCATTGATGGAAACCTCCGCAGGCTGACCCTCGGGGGGAAAATCGAAAGGATCAGACCACAGCAACTCGCTCATGCCGCCGTCAGGCGGAGGCTCTTGACGTCTGGAATGGGGGGACAGGATGAAACAGCGCAGTCATGGAGAGGACAAGGCAGGAAGACTGTGCGCGGAAAAGGCACGGCTACAGGGTCAGATACCTCGTAGCGGTAGGGGTCCAGCCGGGTGGGAAAAGAGGGACGGAAGAAGCAAGCTCGGGGAGCAGGGTAAACGTTTGATGGCGGCTCCTTGCAGGTAGATGGAACAGCCTTGCAACCCCTTTCACAGCGAGCGTCAGCACTACAAGTTGAAGGGCCACCGAGGACAGAAAGTGAGCACGAGGGCTACTCAGGACATAGTGACATCAGTGGAGCCCTTTTTATCCGTGTACCTGTCGATGCGCTGTATCTGGTCTAGGGTTTGGAGCTCCCTACTGAGGCCCCCGTGAGTGCAAAAGTAGCTGCCGTCCACTGAAGCCGCGAGGGGCAGCAAATCGAAGGCTTCGGTCATAGCCTCCCATACGCGAGCTTGAGCTCCGTACTTCCTGAGGCACTCGTCGTAGAAGCCGTAGACCTCGGTGATGCTGCGGCTCTCATGGTTTCCCCGCAGCACTGCCACTGCAGGACAGCAGCGGATGCGACAAGAAAAGCACTTCGAAACGCAGGCATACATATAGCCACTCCCATAGAGCAGCCGCAGCAGTGGCCGCAAGACTCGCAAACGCAACGGCAAGGATGCTGCAACAAACAGGAACTCACTGGAGTACGGATACCGGACCTTAAGCGCGGCGATGAGGCAGAAGACCTCCACAGAGTAAAACCCCCTATCAACGTAGTCTCCCATAAACAGGTAATTCACTTGGGGGGGCATGCCACCTGCAGCAATAAAAGAGATAAATATATACAGGCCCTGGAAATATTCGCACGGCTATATGACCGTCCTATAGCCTTTCCGGTACGGTATCCTCCGTTGTTCTCAGAGACTGAAAACGTCTCAGCGCCGCCGCTGTACGGACCGAGACTTTCTCCTACGTCTCAAGACGATTGCTTGCGGCGTTTTCTCCCCTTGGAGCAGGTTTCTCAGGCTTGTATCTTGCAAGGTCATCGCTACGTGCGTCTTTCTTTGCCGTCCCTCTGCCCACTTGGCTGCTTGCCTCCCACTTAAATGCTTTGCCTGCATGTGTAAGCCCTTCGCTGCCCCTTGTAATTTTTCTGTGAGCAGCGTTGCAGCAAGGGCTCACCAACTCTGAAGAGTTCAAGAAGGTCGTAAAATTGACCGTGAATATCTCCAGCAACCGTCACGGGGCTTTGCACGCATACGCAGTTCGGTTCGCTGACCTGCTCACAAGCAACAGGCGACCAGAAACTTTAACCTCTCCAGCTCGCTTCTTCAATTCAGTCGTTTCATGTCTACTACACGCCCGACTACGACAGCAGCCAAGGGGGCCTTCAGCGTGACTGTTACTTGAAACCAGGGTCGAGGAGTTGACGCTAAATCAGCAGAGATCCTCCCTCACGTGGCGGGGACCACCGCAAGTCGTACAAGCACAGACACCGACGAGCGAAAAGCAATCACTCGGATTAGCCAGCCTCCTTGCAAGGATCGGGCTACCAGCAAAGGTGAGGTAGAAACACGTAGAAGGGGAGGCACGAAAATAGGGTGTAGCCCAGAGGGATAGGAAGCAATACGGCTGAAAAGAGAAGGGGATGGGTGGTCTTTTCCGAACGAAAGGCCGTCGGCCTCGTTGCCAAAACAAGGGGTGTTTGCTCGCACTCAAGCTCACCAGCAAATCAGAGAGCAGTTTACAAAGTGCTTTGATCTCCTCCGCCTTGAGGGGCTGGCAGCGCAACAACTGTGCAATCCAGTCATCGACCGAATGCAGTGTCGCACGATCGAGAGCGCCGCTGCCTGAATGCATGCAGTTCAGTGATCTACCCGCTGTCCCCGTGCATAAAATGCAGATTCCTGGAAGCATGCGCTTCATGTGAGCGCAAGAGACTACGCTCCCTCCTGCAGCGGCGCAGGCAGGCCGCACTGCGAGTTTGCGGAGGATGTTGCTGAGACTTTCGGCGTAAATCAGCCACAGAGGCTGCTGGTACTATCGCAGCAAATATAAAACTAACTCACAGTACGTGGGTAGGTGAAGTGGCTCCTGCCCGTAGTCTGGTGTCGCCATGCGAAGATTTTTCTTCTCAGAATCAGAGGCAGGCCCCTCGAAGCCCCTTGACGCGCCGTGCGTGGCGTCTTGTTGCTGTAGGGAACGATTCCTGCTGGCGTTTACTGCCCGTTCGCTGCGCTCCTCCTCCCTGCGTATATCTGCGGCTGAAGGCCTGGGAGAGACTGCCGGCGTGTCGGCCAACAAACCGGCGGGAAACAGACTCTCTCCCCCCGTGAGAGGAAAGGAACTCTCAGAATGCGATCGCAGGGTGGTCATGCTGCTGTCACTGCTGCAGCTCGTGCTGGCAGCACCTGATGAATACGCCAGCGAGATAGATCCATATTCGAGATTCACCGAAGGAGGCTTAACGGCGTCCAGGGCACCCACCTGGACTCCCTCGCATGGATTGGCAAGCCTCTTGTGGGACATATCTGCCGCAGCGGAATTCATGGAGGGTGGACGTCCTTTTCTTTCTGCCGATGCTCTGGCTGCTGCTGCTGCTGACGCACAGCGGCGCCTCTCTGCCGTGCAGCAGACTACGTTGAAGAATCCTAGCGTTCCTCCGGCCTTAATAAACAGTGAAAGCGGCCAATTAGCAGCCAAACTACCATACACCGACGAGCCTGTGGCCCTCCAGTCGCGGAAGAAGGGGGGTGATCCCGTTGGTGCCGACGGCGGCAGAGCCGTAGGCAACAGCGGCGCTTGCTAGACCTCCCAGGAGAGTTGGGCAAGTAAATTAAATATGCTGTGAGACCCCGGAGGAGGGAGAGAAGATTTGCTCTGCGAGCAAAACTCGCTGCTGTGTGGCCAAAACACCCACCGACCCGAAACAGAAGACACCGCTGTTTGTGGCTGCTCTAATGTAACGCTGCTGCGATTCAGTACAGCCACAACGTTAAACAGCAACGAATTTTGACTAAAATCCCAACAAACACATCTGCCTTGGCTGCCGCGGCTGGTGTTCCCAGGTTTGCTGGTGGTGCCGCCACTAGTGACGGCAGCACCAGCCAGCAACGCTGGGTGGTTCCTTCTCCGATGGGTGCTCTTGGGCAACTGTCTGTCAGGCCTTCTCAGCGCTTCTCTCTGTGGTGTTGTAATTGGGAGTCGTCGCCTCCTAACTGTCGTTCAGAAGCTGTGAGGGGCTGCGCATGTAAGTTTTCCAGCAGGTTCCTCACTGCTGCCGCTCATGCTGTTGCAGAAGGGCCCCTTCCGATGCTAAGGCGCTGCTCCTCAGTACACCCTTTTTTCTCTCCGCCAGGCCTCTCACGAGCCTCGTAGACAGCATGGGCCCTACGGGGGTGCCATTCAAAGGACCCTCGATGGGGACTCCTTCGGATCTTGCCCACCAGCCCCCATGGGAGGGCCCCCCTCGTCCCTCGCCTCCTCCTCCCCCTCGATCGGAGGATTTTCCCTTCTTCTCAGAGGCAGCAGTGCAACAGCTGCTGCGGCGCTGCAGTAACGGCACCACCGACCGGCCACAGATGCTGTGGCGGCCGCAACGATGGCGACTAAGTCCCCGAAATGAAAGGGATGGTGTGCCTACTCGAGCTCGTCGCAGCGAGGACAGCAGCAGCAATGAGGACAGCAGCAGCAGCGAGGACAGCAGCAGCAATGAGGACAGCAGCAGCGATGAGGGCAGCAGCAGTGGTAGCGTCCGTTGCGTCTCTGGCCTAGCCCTAGGGGGCATGGTGGGACGGGGAGCTCTCTGCTTGGTTACTGCCGCAGCCACCATGGCAGCACCCTCTCCCCAGGCGCTTGTCGCGAAGGCATGTCATCCACCTCTGTGCCCGCATATTCCTCGCCTTGCGTCTCATGGGTCTACCCATGTGGATCGAACGAGATATTCCCCTCTGTTTTCCTTGCTGCACTGTCCCTGTGTGTGTCACTCTCCATCTATGTGTGTGTCCTCCCTATGATATTCTCTGAAGAATTCTTCAGCACCCTATATGTTTGGTCTGTCTTTGATTTGTTGACGCCTCTTGCATGCCCCTGACTGGCCTGCTCACACCCATGTTTGCGTACCCCGAGCAGAACCCCCTCCTCTTGCGCTATGTGCATGAAGGAACCCCTATGCGGAGCTCTTGTACTGGAAAATATCTGCTTCGTACCTTTAAGACAGATTGGATGGCGTAGTTTGATCTTGCTGATGCGTTCAGAGGTATCTGTTACACGCGTTGCGGCGCCTCCGCACCGCATGCTTCATCGCGGGTGACGTGCAAGTTCACACGGAGTGGCAGCGGGTGAGGGCTGGGCTATACAACAACACAACGCTCACTTTTGTGCCTGTACAGTTGTGCCCTCCACACGCATGAGTTTTCAGCCAATCCAGGTGACGTCTGTAGGGGTCAAGCATAGGAAGGGCGACTGGGCATGGCTGTTGCCGTGGTCTCTTTTTTGAGCTGTGTCAGTTAAGATGCCGCCGCTGCTGCTTGCTGCAGGTGAAGTGCGAGGTGCTCCTGCATGCATCTCTGCGACACCCCCTCATTTGTCCACTACAAGGAGTTGTAATAGACGAGGATGCGGGGTTGTTGCTGCTGCTCTTCCCTAGAAGGCACTGCACGCTGCAGCAGTGGAATAAACGCACGGCGGCCTTCACGCTCCCTCCTGAAGATAAACAGGAGCAGCAGGAAGAGCAGCAGCACGCCTGTGAGGATCCGAAGATTTGCGGCTGCTTGCCGATCTTGCTGTACACTGAGGAGGTAGCGCGTATATTGCTCAAGCAGGTAAAAACGCCGGCTCTCGTCTCTCTTTCCCCTCACTTCCTTTTGCCCTGCTACCCTGTAAGAAATTTCCTGTGTTTCCTAGCGTCCTCGTCTTCTATCAACAGTTCACCTGCCCGGTTCTCTCTTGGATTTCCTCCCCATTATTTCTACTCGCGGAACATTCTTTTCTTGCGTTTTCTTCTTTCCTTGGGAGGTCCCTGGACTTCTCGCCTGCTTCCTTTTCCAACCGGCCTCTTGGCTCCTCTGTAAGGCCTTCGTGCGAGGCAGATGAGTATACGGCTGTGTGTTTTGCGCAGCTGCTGATGGCGGTATCCGCGCTGCATGCACTCCGAGTTGTCCACAAGGATATTAAACCTTCAAATATTCTCCTGTTGCGTGCCTTGCCCCCCAGTAAGCCCGTGAATCGAAAAATAGTAGAGCAACTCCCCTGCGTCCGTTGCGCGGCACTTGCCGCTAGAGCGTCGTGCAGGCTTTTGCTCAGCTCCTGAATGCAACCATCAGCGAGAGACTGCGCACAATAATAGGCGTTCTGCGCTCTTTGTAACTCTGCGGGTCGTGTGCCTCTAGACGCAGCATGTCGCGTGTGGATGCCCCCACTACGTAGGAGGGCCTCTCGTGGCAAGGAAAGCTCCACCGCAGCGGGCCCCTTGGAAGACTGTGAAGGGCAGCTGTTCTCGGACGCAGAAGTCGAAGATAGCTCAGAGGATGAACAGGATTGTGAAACAGCGGATTCTTTCCTGTTCGCTTCGGCACCAACGCTGGCAGCCTCTGGAGACAGTCTTCTGCCCTTGAGAAAGGCCTTGTTGGTACCAGACAGCCGGCCGCTCCCAAGAACCCCTCATATTTCTGCACTGCATCTCCAGCTCAGCCACTTCGCAGCATCAGCAAGCGCAGCCGATTCAGGAGCAGCGACAGCAGCTGCACCGCTTGTTTGCTTCTCAGAAGAGCGACAGGTACCCCTCTACAAGGCCCTCAAGGAGGGCCTCCTAGAAGCAGTGGCCTTTCCCCCAAACAGCAGCAGCGACACTGAGGAAGCAACCAGCTGCAGCAACTGCAGCGCAGATGAAGATTCCGAACACCAGGAGGATCAGCAAGAGGAACAGCAGGAGCATGGAGTGGTAACAGGGAAAAGGGCCCGCCAACGATCGCGAAGGGTACCACGAGATAGCCCCACTGATGAGCCTCCGCCCACGAGAGTTTCCAAAGATACCCTCCAGCCTCTCGCCAGTGATGAGGAACCGGGCACCGGAGGCTACTGCATCGATGAACAGGAAGTGCTGCTACAGCTGACCGACTTCAATACTGCTGTTGTGGCGGATGATGATGCGTGCACAATTTGGGATGCAGGTAAGGCTCACATGCGCTCCTCTCCAATCTCTCCACCCTTGTATCTAAAGCCTCTGGGCTTGCTGTCTCCCTCGCTCTGCTCTCCTGTCTGATACGGAGGGTGCTTGATCGCTATCCCTTCGACGCGAAGGGATTCTCCCAACGCCTTCCGATGATGCAGCCAGTCTTCAATTCTTGTTAGCTGCCTGCCGTGCCACAAATATATGCCTTAAATGGTGTAATGTGTATTGCTCAACGCTTTCTGGCTGCAGCGGGGTCTCCTCACTTCGTACCTCCCGAGTGCCTGGGCACCGGAGATGCTGCAGGCACGGACGGGCGGGCCCGTGACATGTGGGCGGTGGGGATGACCCTCTTCTGCATGCTTTTCGGGAGGCCCCCTTTCTGGTGAGTGTGCCTTAAAGTCAACGCCTCTCTTGGCTTGCATGTGAACGACTGCTGGCATCAGGAGAGGCGGTCGTTCTTCACACTGGGCTGGCGTGGTGGGGTAGCGTGGAACAGCTCTCTCTAGGGTAGTTGCTTCTGCTAGTACTACTGCTGATTCTAAGCCAGTTGCCAGCTGTGAGTGGCTGTCGGGTGCTGCGCATGCTGCAGGGGCTGCCGAGGCCTGGATCTGGCCTGCCGCCTGATGCGGGAGGACTTGAAGACGCCAGCCTGGCGCTGCATCTCTCCTGAGTGCACAGACATCCTCAGGTGAGGGCGGCTGAAGGACTGCACAACCTAAGGCACATACATCTTACGTCCTACATAGAAACTGCTGCTTATTTGGAGACGACGGTACTTCGTGGAGGGCTATTCGCTGCTGTTTTGCTGCGACTGGTGGTACTGCAGGCGCTTACTACACCGGGACCCGCGGGAGCGGATGACAGTGGCAGAGGCTTTACGCCATCCCTGGGTAACAGCGCAGTCCCAGATACAGCAGTGCGGTCTAGATGCGTAAAGGGGGTGGACAGCAATCATTGCGGCACTGTCCTGAAATGCCAAGAGGGAGGCCCGTGGCCGCATGATAAGGGGCTGCACGAAGTGAGAGGCAGCGGGCACAGTATGCGCGGTTCCAGCATTATGCCTAAACAAAGTCTACACTCTTGTAGCCTGAATACTTGTATGCCAGACTAGTTTTTGAGATAGGAGCACCAATGTCCCGGACAGGCGTTTTAGAAAGCAGGGTCGCGCCGTCGCATATGTGCTGTCACTGAAACGAGCTTATGGCGACCTCGCAGTTGGAGAACAACTGGAGGATAGAGTGATAGCAGTAAAGGCCAAGCATGCAGACGTTAAAAAAACCCACTGTAATAATGCCACATAAATGGAGGATGCTTAATAGCACACCGTGCATTGCAAAGGTCAAACATCTCAGGAAAACTGTGGGTCCGAGCTTCCGGC